AAGAAAGCAATATTCATAAGGACTAGAAAGTTTAAGAATGGCATAACATTTTTATTTGCAGGAATTAATACAGGAGTGTGTTTGTTTTCATGTAAGTTAATATAAATTTAATCTGTCTGTTAAAAAATCTGAACATCACTTATCAAGATCCAAAACTGGAGTACATCCCCAGTTTTTGCTTCAGCGGTCTTGCTTTGCTGTCAGATGATCTTTCTTATCAGCACTATTGTTAGCACATCTTTTGTTCTTATCACCCAGTTCTTTATCACCGATTGCTATGGGAGCAAAATGACCCAACACAGAAAGCAGTTGTCTCAAATACTTTGTAATTTATTTGAGTGCCATTAGTTTCCTGATTCTAAATAACCTTATAGTTAATGGGTAATGTAAATCATTTCTTAATAGGCTATCACATTGGAATAAATCTGTGAGTTAAGAAAACTTAAGGAGTGGAAGAAATGCCTACTCCCTACAGGCATTTAATGATGTGTGTGGCTTTAGTTCCTGAAGAAAAGTAAACAAGTGCAGTAAATATATTGAATATTATATATTTACTAATGAATATTAATTTCATTGGGGGCAAAGGTGTTTGCTTTCACATTTCATCATGTGTATGGCATCATCTGTCATATATTTCTCATTTTGTCTACTTTATTCTTTATTCCTTTTGTAGTTGATTTTATGTAGCTGTATATTTTGTAATAAGAACTTGTTTTTAGTATGATAATTTTTAAGAATTAGCCAAGAGATTCATCTCAGACCCATAGAACTGCAAATTAAATTATTATGATTTAAAAATGGCAATTTCATGGACTTCCCTGGTGGTGCAGTGGTTAAGAATCCGCCTGCCAATGCAGGGGACACGGGTTCGAGCCCTGGTTCAGGAAGGTCCCACATGCTGCAGAGCAACTAAGCCCGTGTGCCACAACTACTGAGCCTGTGCTCTAGAGCCCGCGAGCCACAACTACTGAGCCGGCGCACCACAACTACTGAGCCCGCGCACCACAACAACTGAAGCCCGTGTGCCTAGAGCCCGTGCTCCACAACAAGAGAAGCCACTGCAATGAGAAGCCCGCGCACCACAACGAAGAGTAGACGCTGCTCGCCGCCACTAGAGAAAGGCCTCGTGCAGCAATGAAGACCCGATGCAGCCAAAAGAACAAACAAAAACCCCACAACATTGCAAATCAGCTATATTTCAATGAAAAATATTTTAAAAAAATTAAAATGGCAGTTTCTCATTACAGATAATGAATAAAATGTATTTTCTTCCTAAAGATATGAACTTGGTCTTTTCCTGGTGTCACAATGGTTATGAAGAAAAAAATTGGTGTGCTGTTAATTGCTATCTGATTTATATTGTGTTTTAAAAGCAAGAGTAAACTCATGGGTCATATAGATCTGAATGCATGGACTGGTCTGTTTAGCTAGTGGATAAACATTTATTGAGTACCTGGCTTTATGCAGTGCTGGGTACTATGCTAGGAGTTAGAGTTTCAAAGATAAGGAAGACATGTACCTCCTTGAATTTATAGAGTATTTGTCTATTCTTTATGACTTAAGACACCAGTGACTTGGTGAAAGTAAAATTTAAGAGAAAAACCTTAAATTGCAGGTGTAACTAACATACCATACATGTGAGCTCATTCAGATTTTAATCTCTAAATCTGATCTCCAAGGGACTTTTTAGATACTCTTTGAAGGTTTAGGGCTGCTTATAAATGTTTTAAATGACCTAGAAGTATTTGCCCTAACGTTAGAGAGTAGTCCAGCAGCCATTCTAGAGGAGAGAGGCATGGGGAGCTCTTAGAAGAAAGGAAGGGGAAGAAAGGGGAATGGAAGGGAATTCTCCTGAGAATTTCCTTACAGCTCTCTTCTTAGGAAGGCTTTAGAGCTCTGTATTTATCTGAAACATAGCTCTGAGTTTACTAGTCATGACAGTACTTTGGGCCTAATGAGCACCTCACTCCAGCATCCTTTTGCTGCAGGATCTAGATTGTGTTCTCTCCCATATGGTAGCCACTAAACATGCATGGCTATTCAAGTTTAAATAAAATTTAACATTCAGTTGCTCATTATCCACATTTCAAGTGCTCAATAGAGCTACCTAATTGGACAGTGTAGATACAGAATGTTTCCATCATTTTGGAAAGTTCTTTTGCACGGCACAAATCAGGATGAAAAAGTTACATGAGAAAAATGTTAGAAATTAGAAAGGGCTTCGTTGTGTGGAGGAAATTAGTATAGAATTGAAAAGTATATTTTCTTAACTGAGATCCTCTAAGATTTTGAATATGACAACATTAGTTGACATTTGGAACATTTCAGGCATTTAATTCTTACACTTTTGCTCCCAGAGTAAAATAAATAAGTTCTGTAGTTTTATTTCAGGATTATAAAAATTGGCATGTTTGAAATGAACTCATGTACAAAACAGAAATAGAGTCAAAGATGTAGAAAACAAACATGTTTACCAGGGGTTAAGGGAGGGAGGGATAAATTGGAAGATTGGGATTGACATGTACACGCTACTATATATAAAATAGATAACTAAAAAGGACCTATTGTATAGCACAGGGAATTCTACTCAGTACTCTGTAATGGCGTATATGGGAAAAGAATCTTTAAAAAAGTGGATATAGGGCTTCCCTGGTGGCGCAGTGGTTGAGAGTCCGTCTGCCAATGCAGGGGATGCAGGTTTGTGCCCCGGTCCGGGAGGATCCCGCGTGCCACGGAGCGGCTGGACCCGTGAGCTATGGCCGCTGGGCTTGTGCATCCAGAGTCTGTGCTTCGCAACGGTAGAGGCCACAACAGTGGGAGGCCCCGCGTACCGCAAAAAAAAAAAAAAAAAAAAAAAGTGGATATATGTATATGTATAACTGATTCACTTTGCTGTACACCTGCAACTAACAACATTGTAAATCAACTATACTCCAATAAAAATTTAAAAAAAGTGTCATGTTTGACTCTCAAGATGATTCTGAAAGTTAGAATTTGTGAATTCATATTTCTGTCATACATTTGATTTCATTATGTAATCTTCTGAGGCAAATATTGCTTTAATAAGATTTTCTTTGTTTTTCTTTGTTCCCATTAGTTGATTAAGCTTCTGAAGTTTTGAGACTTTTTATCTGTTTAGATAAATCCTCATCCACTTCACCAATCCTTCAACTTCTCCCCACTTTAGAAAGCAGCAAATGAATGTTTTTATGTTAAAAGGAAGGGCTCTCATTCTTTAGTTTCCCATTCCACTTTAGACATATGAAATTAGGGAGAAAAATTTGTAATATAGCAATATGGAAGACTAATACAATCTATCGTTTTTCCCCAAAATGGGAATTTCATCATTTTTATTATATAATATTATGATTAGAAGAAATAATAGGGAAATTAAAATGTGAAAGAGAGCTCTTTTGATCTTAATGGGAATACTCCTAGTGTGTGACCCTTGAGTCAGCTAGTGGCTGCTGGATTAAGGTGCCTTTTTACTGTATTAGTAGTTTAAAGCAGAAAAGCACAGTCTTTTCCATACATATAAAAAAGGCATCTGGGGGGCTTCCCTGGTGGCGCAGTGGTTGAGAGTCTGCCTGCCGATGCAGGGGATGCGGGTTCGTGCCCCGGTCTGGGAGGATCCCGCGTGCCGCGGAGCGGCTGGGCCCGTGAGCCATGGCCACTGGGCCTGCGCGTCTGGAGCCTGTGCTCCGTGACGGGAGAGGCCACAACAGTGAGAGGCTCGCGTACGGCAAAAAAAAAAAAAAAAAAAGGCATCTGATTGTGTTTAACGTACATTTTTGATCATTTAAAAATCTCTTATTAAAATACAAATAGATATTTCAATAAATATTATCAATTAATACATTCTTCTGATATTCAACTGTTTTCCTAAAATGACTGTCTTTGGTCATGGTGTATTACTATTTGAATATGCCATTTGATTCATATTGATAGTATTTATTTAAAAATAGATTGGTGTATTTTTTTTCTTTTTTGTATTGACTTACTAGATTTTAGTATCACTGAAAGAATTGAGAAGCTGTCCTTAGTCTGTTTCTTGGAACAATTTAAGAAGCATAGGATTTACCTGTTCCTTTAAGATTTCATCTCCTTGTTTGAGCCTTGGTACTTTTTTAGGGTGTAATTGTTTGCAGCTTTCTTAAATTCTTCTATATAGGGGTTGATTTATTCGTAATTTTCAAATGTATCAGCATAGACTTACATCATTTTTTTTCTTCTGTGTCTATGGTTATAAATTCTTTCATTCCTAATTTTGTTTTTGTATTTTCTTAGACCTATTTTATTTCCAAAGAGCTAATTCTTCAGTTTTAAATAAATTTTTCTAATTCAGTTTCCACTTTTATCATTATGAATTGCTCTCTCTTCTAAAGGATTACTGATACCCAGATGGTTTTTCTCCTTCATATATGTTGCTTTAAGTGAAGGAAGTGAAGTGAGAAGTGAAAATTGCTTGTCTGTGATGTAGCCTTCCTACTTCTATAAAATGGCAGCACTTAAATGTAATAGGTAGTTGCTTAAATAGAAATTATTTAGATTCCAGAATAGTAGTGTGACAGACCAGTTGTAGGCCATAGCTTTTCCTTCATTTGCATCATGTTCTTGTCGAAAGGATATTTTGAAACAATTAGTAGTGTACAGTGTCTTTTTTTTTTTAATAAAATTTTCCCATTTAGAATCTTTTGGCATCCTCTGGCAGTGATTTGCTAACTTCATGTATACTAACAGCACAAGATTGCTTGCATAGGTTTTACTTTTCTACTTAAGGATCTTACTGTTTCACAGTAAAATGAGTGATGGGTGGGTCTTAATACCAGTAGCATTTCAGAACATTAAAAATGTGAGAATATAAAACGAAGATATATTTAGTCACGTTAATCAGTTAACACATTTCTATTTATTTATTGAAATGTTCCTTTTGTGTTATATGTATTTTGTTATAAAATGTTTCTTTTATTTAAGACTAAACTTAAGTACTTCCTTTGTAGGTATAAGCGTGTCTTTTCAGTTGGAACCCATGCGATTACTACATATAATCCCAATACCCTAGAAGTAACAAATCAGGTAATTATGTTAGAAGCTATTAGGTGTTTGAACTCCATTTGAATTTTAAAAGCCAGGTTAAAACCTGACCCATGACTCCCTGTCTGAAATCAGTACTTTAGGGTAAAAGTGTCAAATCTGAAAAAGATTAATATGCTTATATAATGCTAAGTGCTCAGGACCAAGCATAAATAAAGGGGGCATGTGTGTGCTTATTTCTAGGCTCTAAGGGGTATAACATTTTAATATGTTACTATTGATTACAGCAGTCTTTTTAATGTAAAATTCGTAAATTCTTTATAATTTTAAAGGTAGCCTTGTTACTGTAATACAGGCATACATAAGTCACAAGTGCAGTGGTTGGAAAATACTTGTAATGAAAGTAAGGTTACTATTTATAAAGGCAAGACTAATGTGAATATGGGTAAGTAAACATAAATATATTCTAGTTTATTTTAATTCTAAATTAGGTATGTTTTACAGATTCTTCTTTTTGTTGCTGTTTTTGACACATTTGTAGGTAACCATAAAATGCTATTCCCCAGTTCTTTTCACATCTATGTATTTTAATTGTTTTGGATTAATGTCATCAATCATTGAATTTGGAAAACGGATAGGACTTCTTTATTGTCTCTGATGACTGAAAACTTTTAAAAGTTTGTTTTATAGAATTATTGTAAGACAAAACCGTTTCTAGACCTCAGTACTGTTTTGTAAAATTTTCTCATTTAATCAGTGATTGTGAAATTAAAGTAGTAAAAATAAGTGTTGCATTTCCCCATAGTATAGCACAAGTTGAAAGAATTCCTTTCTTTTTGTTAGTGGCCTTATGGAGACATTTGCAGCATCAGCCCTGTTGGAAAAGGACAAGGAACAGAGTTCAACCTCACATTTCGTAAAGGCAGTGGAAAAAAGTCAGAAACATTAAAATTTTCTACAGAGCACAGAACAGAACTTCTTACAGAAGCATTGGTAAGAACCATTTCATGTTAATAAACTAAATTTCTCTCTTCTTTTTCTTAATGAAACAGTTACATTAAACTACAAATATTAATGTTCTGAGTCCCTGTTCCCACTATGCTTATTTTTTTCTTATTGACCCTTAACTCGACACTGTGAAACTTTCACTTTTTTCTTACTGATAGGCTGGTTAATCCTTTATATTTGATAGTTTTTAAATACATTATACAGAACAAAGCAGTTTAACGTTTAATTAATCTATCCTGTTTTTCAGTAAAATTTCACACTTTATTGAATATCCTTAAACTATAACTTTAATAACATTTTTTGTAATAGATTTATTTATTTATTTTGGCTGCATTGGGTCTTTGTTGCTGCACACAGGCTTTTTCTAGTTGTGGCGAGTGGGGGCTACTCTTTGCTGCAGTGCAGTGGCTTCTCTTGTTGCGGAACACGGGCTTTAGGCGCACAGGCTTCAGTAGTTGTGGCGCGTGGGCTCAGTAGTTGTGGCATACGGGCTTAGTTGCTCCGCGGCATGTGGGATCATCCTGGACCAGGGCTCGAACCTGTGTCCCCTGCATTGGCAGGCACATTCTTAACCACTGTGCCACCCGGGATGTCCCTAATAACATTTTTTAATATCAGGGTTACCAAGTTAGGATTTTAACTTTGGATAGAAAGTACTGAATTGAAATGTGAGTCTTTCTTACCAATCTGTGGTTATAAACTATGCTTATATCTTCTCTTTCAGAGATTTAGAACTGATTTTTCAGAAGGAAAAATCACAGGAAGGGCAAGTATTTAACATTTATTAATATCTATCTTTATTATTTCAAATGTTGTGCTTTAGAAATCATTCCATGAACTGTGTGTTCCCTTTATGGCAAAGTTAAAGGGGAAAAAAATGAAACAACTTTAATGTCTCCTGATATCATGTGATAGAGAGATGAGTGTAATTTAACAGGAAACTCAAATATGAATAATTAGACTTATGACTGTTACTGCTGATAGTTGGGAAAAAATCTTCAGCTAGAACTCAGCATTAAAAACAATGCTTCATTCACGAAGTCTTTATTCAGTATTCTGAAACAGCAAGAGAAGCTTCACGCTGCTGATAATACTTGTTAGACCATGCAATAGTTGTTTGGTGTAGGAGATTCCTATTTCAGAAGTATTAAAGTTTTAAGAATGTTTATGTATTGAAACTGTCTTATTACATGTTCTTGCACTGGATCTGGCCAATAATGAAGCTTTGCAGGGTGCACTGACAGCTTTCAGGAAGCTCATTAGAATTTAATTTTTCCAGGCCTTCTCTAGTCACGTTACAGCAGCATTTAAACTAAATCAGAGTCTTCTGGGGACGGTAAATGGGTGTTGATACTTTTTTCACTCCCTTGAAATAGGGGGGATGTAGAGTAATGTGTAAACTCATAGCACTGTCCAGAACGCTAGCCTCTGGCAGAAGGCAGGATCTGAACTCTCATATGCTGGCAGCACTGTTCCCCTGTTTTTTTTAAAAGCCCTCACGCATCTTGTATATAGATGTTCTATTCCTGTTTTAGTGTCCCAAAAGCCTCACTGATCTCAACTCAAGCAATTGACTGGTTGCCCAGGAGCCATTTAAAATAGCTTAATGGTGTTTGGTGAGCTGCTTGTTTCTTATACATGATGAGGCACAATCAGATTTATATAAATCATAATTTGGTATGCTTATTTTAGTTATTTTATGTTAGTGGGTGAGTTTTCTGTATATCTCGTCTGTTTGGAAAACAACTGCTTCCAGAAGCATACTTAGAGATTTTGTTTATAAGCTTCCTTTTATATCCGTTAACTTCAGCAACTTAATACTTTTCAAAATTTTGTGGTGAAAACAGTATCCCTAGAAGATTGCCTGAAGGACAGCAATTTTACATAAGTTGAATTTGGCCTCAGGCCTCTCATTGCCCCTGGATATACTCTAAATCAAGGTCTCTCAAGACTGTCTTGGCCTCCACAGTCCTGAAGGACAGTGATTTGTTTCCCTTGGCAAATCTCTTTACTTGACAGTTGATTATCAGCTGGAGGAATGGAGAGTATCCTGTGCGAGTGGGCTGTGGGGCATGTAAACCAGCATAGTTGGGAAAAGCACCACTTTTTGTGGCCTCCCTTCTACCCCCACTTCTGCTGGAAAGGTGTGGCACTGCTCCATCCTTTAGTTCAGAATCAAGGCTCTAGATATATTCTTGGGTTAATGCAGGCCTTTTTGTCTTTCAGCAGAATTCCTTTTATGAAACCATAATGTGCATGATGCCATAGATCAGTAATGCTGAGGGGATTGATGTGGTATGATCTTGTGAACTTCATTGCTGGGTTTAATGTTGGAGTATTAGCGGAGGTGTTTATTATCTAATGCCTTACTGTCTTTTCTGAACACCTGCAAGAGAATTTTTCTCTTATTTTAGTATTAGAAATAGTTGTACTCTTGAGCAGCAACCAGTTTATTTTTACCTTAAGAATCATGTAACTGACCATGTGTTCCTCTTCATATTGATGGGTAGAAAACTTTGTGGTCTTTTTGGGTAGACAATGGAATGTTCACTACACATCTGACATTTTGTTATCCTTATTTTCTCTTTACCTCATTTTGCCTTTATTTTAAATTATTCTATACACATCATTTTAGTTAGCAGCCTCAATTAAACATTTTTTTCTTTTTAAGAGTAAAACTGGGTAGTAAATGGATGTTGACCATTGTAATTATTTCTGATACTAGGTACTTTAATTTACAAAGGAATGTTCTCTAAATGGAATTTTACTTGCTAATGAGATCAAACTTCTAAAGATGTTTCCAATGGTGTGATTAGAAAAGCCTACGGTGTTTAAATTGAATACTGTAACAGCCCTGAAATGTGACTTAGCTCTTTTCTATATCTAACTTGGTTAAAAGAAGCATAGGGACCTCAGCTCAGTGCTCTGTGATGACCTAGATGGGTGGGATGGGGTCGGGGGCGGGGGGGGGGGGAGATCCAAGAGGGAGGGGATATATGTATAAATATAGCTGAGTCACGTCGTTGTACAGCAGAAACTAACACAACATTGTAAAGCAACTATAATCTAATTTTTAGAAATCCATTAACAAAAGTTGAAATCTTTTCTCCAATAGAACTCTTGAAGAATAACATTTCTATTTAGGATTTCCCTAAAAAAATTTTTTTATAGATTTGCATAAAGGTGACTTAAAATTGTTTCACAAAATATTGTAACCCAAACCTTTGTTAATTGTAAAAGGACATACTGTCTTCAGTTAGCATGAACATTCTTAATTGAATAAACATAAACCTCCAAATGTCTAAAATAAAAATGATTTTAACAATTTGGATAGTATCTCTACATATTTATAGTTTTTGGTTGTTTCAGTAGTGACTGATAAGTTAAATGTAACTGTGTTTTATGGTAAACTTAAATATGAATCTAAAAGTATTATTATCTTTCTCTCTAGAGATATAACTGCTATAAGCATCACTGGAGTGATATAAGAAAACCTGTCATTTTGGAAGTAACACCAGGAGGCTTTGACCAAATTAATCCTGCGACCAACAGAGTCCTCTGTTCCTATGACTATAGAAATATTGAAGGCTTTGTAGATCTCTCTGATTATCAAGGAGGGTTTTGTATACTTTATGGCGGATTTAGTAGATTGGTAAGTAGTGTTTTTAAAAAGCCATTTTAAAAGGGACATGACCGTTTGAAGGACAGCAGAGTTAATTTTGAAATTTCCTGAGTCCTCAGGGAGGAAGTATGATATGTATTATGAGTGCAGGCTTTGGTATCAACGAGACCTGAGCTTGAATCCCAATTTGCAGCTCTATAAAATGAGGAGAGTAATAGGTATGTTAATAGGTTTTTGTGTTTTGGATCGAATCAGATAATCTATGTAAAATGCTTAGCACAGTGTGTGGCTTAATATTCAATAAATGGTAGTTACAGTTTTATTTTCATTATTATTAATGTCTTACCTGAAAGTTTCTAAGCTTTCTTTGAAAAGGTATTTTAAAATCTTTTTTTTAATAGTCTTCTTTCCTTCGCCCAGCTATTTGTAATCTGAATATTCATTGAAACTTCAAATTTGGAATTTATTGCATGTTTTTGTCTTGAAATTCTGAATTATATGTAAATTTTGGGATACGGCAGAATGCCCTGTATGTTGGCAGTAGAAGCTGAGCTGTAGAAGATGACCATCTTTTTTTTATAAGAAACGTCCTGCCTTAATTAAACCCCACATCTCAAAGATGAGCATTAAGAGGGTCCACATGGAGAGGCTCAGCTGAACTTACTCTCAAGAATCCTTTCTCTTGAGAATTTTAATTCCCATAGCTACCTTAATGTCCTGGGAACACTACTCCAAGATTTAGTGTTCTGTAGATAAATTATCCATCCCTGGGTAACAGAGCCAGGGCAAGTCTTTTGGATATACAAGAGGCTAGAGGGTAGCAAAAGGGAAGTAAAAAGAATGGTGGGGCTTCCCTGATGGCGCAGTGGTTGAGAGTCCGCCTGCCGATGCAGGGGACACAGGTTCGTGCCCCGGTCCAGGAAGATCCCACATGCCGCGGAGCGGCTGCGCCCGTGAGCCATGGCCACTGAGCCTGCGCGTCCGGAGCCTGTGCTCCGCAACGGGAGAGGCCACAACAGTGAGAGGCCCGCGTACCGCAAAAAAAAAAAAAAAAAAAAATGGTGGATGGGGTGAACAATCTGACTTACAAAATATGTTAACTCTTCAGAGTTACAGGCCTTTACTCATCCTAGATTTCACTGCTTACCCAGATGATGGGTACCATCCTAGTGTCCCTCATCTAGGAATGTACATGTAGACATTTTGTTACCTCTGAGTCTAGACCCAAAAGGTGAAGGCCCAAAGAGAAAATTAGTTCCTTCTCCCACACTAAAGCAGCCTAAAGCCTGCTGTCATAGTGCTGTCCAAAGGTCTTTCTCTTCCCTGGGTGGTGGAAATTTATAATGATTAACACCTTGGTGGAAAACATACCTAATTACAGGAATATGGCCTCACAGACCTTAACAGAATCACAGTAATTCACCAAGCCTTACAATGCATAAGGTAAACATTAAGGATAAGAATTGCCAACATTTTTTATTGCTTGATGGCATCAAGCACTTTTAAATTTTAATCATCCACTTTCTAAGCATACTGTCTGCCTTTTAAAAGACACTAGCTAAAATGAGACATTCACTACAAATATGAGACCATGACAGATCCATTCAGCAAACCTTCATCTGGTACCTGCTGCATCCATAGTGACTAGATATGCTGCTGGGAATAAAATGAGGTTTTAAAACATGATCTGATCCAGCGTTTCTCAGCAGGGTAGTTAGTGGCATTCTGGGCAGGACAGGTCTTTCTTGTGTGGGATTCTCCTGCCCTGCCCTTCACGGGATATTAAGCATTTCTGGCCTCCAGGTACCAAATGCAAGTAGCAATATATCCTTAACCTTTGTAATACACTCTGGAGGTTGGTTTGTAATATTCATAGGCCAATGACTTGTAAACATTTAAACATTCTTTAAGGTAATCTTACAAGAAAGTCCACTATATAAAAACAGACGAAGTCAGAGCTACCTTAGTTGAAACTGGGAATCCTGTCCACATAGTACCCACGCCCTGACTGGACTTAGCTGGGGTTCCTGGGGCCTCTTCTGGAAGCCCCAGAGCGCTGTTTTCCACGCGGTGATGAGAACCAGACTCTGAGAAGTTAGGAGATAATTTCTATTCAGTGATTATTTTGCCAGGCTCTCTATCTCAGACTTTGTGATTTTAATTTAATAATAGTATTTCAGCCACAACACACTGCTTATTTACTTCTGATAAGATCTACCTTTTTTTGCTAGAAGTGCCCCTTCAGTCACTTTCCTATGAGCTGATTTCACTAAGGTCACATTTTAGTTATTTCAACGCTGACTTTTTAAATTTCAAAATTTGTGCAGCATTTATTTGCATCAGAACAAAGAGAAGAAATTATCAAAAGTGCAATAGATCATGCTGGCAACTATATAGGTATTTCATTGCGGATCAGAAAAGAACCTTTAGAATTTGAGCAATATTTGAATCTTCGCTTTGGGAAATACAGCACTGATGAATCCATCACATCTTTAGCAGAGTTTGTAGTCCAAAAAATATCACCTAGACATTCGGTAAGCCCATATGTTAAAAGTAAAAATTTGTTCATCTGATTTTGACATTTTTCTTCAATAATTTTTTAATATGTATCAATTTTGTTTGAAGGAACCTATAAAAAGAATTCTAGCACTTACAGAAACATGTTTAGTGGAACGTGATCCAGCAACCTATAATATTGCAACATTGAAGCCCTTAGGAGAAGTAAGTTTCAGCAATATTAGCTTAAATGAGATTTCTCCTTATTGATAAATTAGAATAATTTTCTTTCTATTTTAATGTTTTTTAATACCTGAAGAATAGGAAACAGGAAGAATCTGTATTCTTCATTGTATTTACTGATCTTAGAACAATGAATATTGCAAAATTTACTTTCCAAGTATACAATGAAAACTTTTTATTTGATATTGTGTGAAAATTTGAATGAGACTTTTAAGTGGCTCTTAAAGTCTGATATTATAAACAAGTTACATCTTTAAATATTGACTTCTGTCAGCTAAATGATGTGTAGTTTTTCTAATGAAATACTGTAAAACTAAATGTCTTTCGTGGAACTTGTGTTTTATTTTCCTTAGGTATTTGCATTGGTTTGTGACTCAGAAAACCCACAACTTTTTACCATTGAATTTATAAAAGGCCAAATACGGAAATACTCTTCAACAGAAAGGTATTTTTTAAAATTCATCTAGCTTTTAAGATCCTCGTATGTGCAAGGCAAAGTGCTTCATTAAAGTGCTTCATTACATAAGTTACATTAAAATTATGTAACTTAGGAAAAGACAACTCTATTTTGTTGCATATGTAAAATGTCCTTCATTTAGTTTTCAAGTTTCTAAAGAGTATAAAAATGGTGACTTGATTTTAAATGAAAGGATGAAAAATAAAGTGTATTTCTGAAACTTACACTTTTAAAGTATTTAAAAAATAGCACCTTTCACTTTCATTCTTAAATTGTTTGGGTAGTGGCAGCAAGTTACTTTAATATAAATATACTCAATGAAACTAACACAGCATTGTAAATCAGCTATAATTGTGTGCAGGTTTTGTGTGGATGTAAGTTTTAAACTCCTTTAGGTGAATACAAAGGAATGTAATCACTGGATCATAGGGTAAGAGGATGTTGAGTTTTGTAAGAACTGCCAAACTATCTTCCAAAAGTGGCTGTACCATTGTGCATTCCAACCATTTTGCATTCCAACCAGCAGTGAATGAGAGTTCCTGTTGTTCCACATCCTCATCAGCATTTGGTGGTGTCAGTGTTCCAGATTTTGGCCATTCTAATACTGGTGTTGTGGTATCTTGTTTTAATTAGCATTTTCCTGATGTCATATGATGTAGAGCACCTTTTCATGTGTTTATTTGCTGTCTGTATATCTTCTTTGGTGAGGTCTCTGTTAAGGACTTTGGATCATTTTTTAATTGGATTGTTTTTCTTGTTGTTGAATTTTAAGAGTTCTTTGTATATTTTGGGTAATAATCCTTTATCAGATATGTCTTTTGTAAATATTTTCTCCCAAACGTGGCTTGTCTTTTCATTCTCTTGATGAAGTTTCTTGAAAAAGTAAAACTGTAGAGACAGAAGGAGATGAATGGTTGCCTTGGGGTGATGGAAGTGTACAAAAACTGGTTTGTGATAATGATTGCACAACTGTACAAATTTACTAAAAATTACCAGACTGTACGATTTAATTGAATGAATTTTGTGATTTGTAAGTTATACCTCAGCAAAACAGTTAAAAATCTTAAAATTACAAAACAAGAAGAAAACGTTAACACTCCATGCCTTTAGTAACTCATACATGGTATGTAACAGCAAAGTGAAGAGCTAGTATTGGAATGTCAGGTTCTCTCCTAATGCCACTGTTCTTTTTAGCTTCCCTTGTACCCAGAGTGCCCCCCTGAGCAGGTAGCCTGCTAAAGGGCCTATGCTCCCTTCTAAATCAAAATTTTCCTAAATTATCAATCCTAAAACCTTTTTATTTTTAACCTTGCTTAGAGATTCCTTATTAGCAAGTTTGTTGGATGGAGTAAGAGCCTCTGGTAACAGAGATGTTTGTGTAAAAATGACATCAACTCATAAAGGTCAACGATGGGGGTTACTCAGCATGCCCGTTGATGAAGAAGTAGAGAGCCTTCATCTCAGATTCTTGGCTACACCTCCAAGTAAGTATTGATTTAAATGTAATTTCATTTGCATCCATCTACTTAACAATAATTTAAGAAATATAATGCAGATCTCTAAATCTTTTTGAACATTTCATCTCCTTACAGATGGCAACTTTGCAGATGCTGTATTCAGGTTCAACGCTAATATTTCATATAGTGGAGTTCTCCATGCTGTAACGCAGGATGTAAGATAAATTGTATCATAATATGTTCATTGTCATTAACTTTTGGTATGGAAACTTCTTTGAACTATTCTTCCTTACCTAGGGTCTCTTCTCAGAAAACAAAGAAAAACTGATCAATAATGCCATAACGGCATTATTGTCCCAAGAGGGGGATGTTGTTGCTTCCAATGCAGAACTTGAGAGTCAGTTCCAGGCTGTGAGGAGGCTTGTGGCTTCCAAAGCTGGTTTTCTAGCCTTTACTCAGCTTCCAAAGTAAGTTGCCTTAATTTTTTTCTTCAGAGAATTTGAACAACTCAAAATAGCAAATAATCAACAGTTTACCTCTTTATATCTGAGTAAAACCTGATACCTTTTAATATGGTGATACAGTAGTTTCTATTCATGAGAAATAAAAAAGGAAGGTGAATGGAAATGATATTTCTGACTTATTTATCCATTCACCCGTGATATTACTGACTCTGTTTTAGTGAATTTGAATGGGAAATTTTATGCCTTTTAGTTTTAATTAACCTTAAAAAAACTCTTCCCCTTGAAAGAAAAAAATTATTGTGATAACTGATATGTTCCACAGATGGGATTCAGAATATGTAATTGCTATAGTAATGCAATAGAAACTTAAGATGATTTATGTTATATTTTAATAATAAAATAATAGAATAATGCTCAGGCATTGCTACTATATGCTGTTGTTTTGTTCTACAAGGTTTCGGGAGCGTCTAGGAGTGAAGGTAGTAAAAGCACTCAAGAGGAGCAACAATGGAGTAATCCACGCAGCCGTTGATATGCTCTGTGCCCTCATGTGTGTAAGTACTAGTGTTTTTCTTAAGTAAACTGATTTTGTTTAAGTTGACTGATGGTTTAAACTTCCACAAATCCAGATTTTCATTGTACCAATTAAATTCAGTGTTTCTATATTTCCTAACTTGCTCTCATAGCAATCTACTTATTCAAATAAACATTTGTTTAGCATAAACTAGGCACCATGCTATGTACTAGAAATACAAAGATGTTAAGGCAAAGTTACTTCCTTGAAATTGCTAACAGTTTAGTAAGGTAGGCATACGTATACAATATAAAGTAGTAGCAGCCATGGGATCCGTAAAAAGCAGCACTTAATTTTGGTTTTGTGATGAGGAGAAGATAAAAGATTCTAAGCCAGTCTTTCTGGAAGACATTACCTTGATCTGAATTTTGAAAGGCAGGCAGGTATTTTCTAGCTGTGAGAAGACTTTCCTAGGAAGAAGGAATAGCATGTGCAAAAGCATATTTGGGAAGCAGCAAATAATTGAATATGACTGGATCACAACATATGTATGGGGGCACATGGGATTAGGAGTTATAGCTAGAGATGTATGCAGAGACAGCCATAAAAAGCCTTTTGTATCAGACAGAGAAGCAAGATTTGTATGCTTTAGTAAGGAACAACTGAAGGATTTTTCAACAGGAGTGATAACATACCATGTTTGAATTTTAGAAAGCTCATGGATGGTATGTGGAGTGTAGATTAGAGGTCAAGTTAAGAGGCGGGTAGAGCAAATTATCATGTGAGACATGAGATGCTGAGGTAGGATGGGCTAAAGAAGGCACATTTGAAAGCTGTTTGAGAGGTAAAAATCTAACTTGATGACAGCTTGTTGGGGGGGAAAAGCAGCTGTTCAATATAACTTTCAAGTTTCTGATTTATCTCAATTTTGTGTAGAGTATATGAGACTTTATTCCTTATATTAAGTGTTTTTAGGCAGACTTAGTGGTATACAGTAAACATAAGTAATCACTTGTTTAAAACCTTATTTATTCCCCAAAGTGGATTTTATTATTTTTACTACAAATAATTCCATTAAAGAATTAGTGAGGGACTTCTTTGGTGATCCAGTGGTTAAGACTTCGTGCTCCCAATTCAGGGGGTCTGGGGTTGATTCCTGGTCAGGGAACTAGATCCCACATGCCGCAACTAAGAGTTCGCATGCCGCAACCAAAGATCCTGCATGCCGCAATGAAGACCCTGCACACAGCAACGAAGATCCCGCATGCTGCAACTAAGACCCCACATGCTGCAAGTAAGATCCCGCATGCTGTAACTAAGACCCGATGCAGCCAAATAAATTAATTAATTAATATTAAAATAATAATAATAAAAAGAATTAGTGGAATAACTAGAACATAAAATAACAGTAGTGTGAAGTAAACACATTGAGACCTCATTAAAAATTAGGTGTTTGCTGTGTATTTTACATGAATTATCTCATTTGAACTTCATAATAGTCCAGTGAGGTAAGTACTGTTATTCCCACTTTGTAGCTGAGGAAAATGAAACTAAGAGAGTTAAAATAATTTAACTGTATCTAAGCTTGGTTATAGTCAGTAGCAGAATTAGGATTTGATCTTTACTCTTAACTATCATGCTGGAATCCTTTTTATGCTCTTAGTTTATTCCAGCAGTCAAAAGACAATCATCTTGAGACAGGAAGTATTTACTGCTAATTTTAGTACTTACTTTTTTTTTTTACCTTTTTTTTTTTTTTTCACAAACCCTTGTGTCGAGGGCTGACTTTCAATAGATCGCAGCGAGGGAGCTGCTCAGTACTTACTTTTAAATGCTAAGTTTTATCATTTCAAATTTATATTACAAACTTGGGGGAGGAAGAATGGATGTCATTTGCTTTTTAAGAAGGAGATCTGTGACTTTTTCTCTCAAAATTACCTTGTGCAGTACTATCTACAGTTACTTGTTAGGCAGATCATCCACGAAGTCTCATCAGACCCAGGAGAAATTATCACTTCTGCCCTCTTATCACGAGATTCCTTTCTGCCTTAAATTTTAAAGGCTATGGTTTTTAGTTCTTTCAGTGTTCAATGAGTACTCTTTATAAATGACTTGTGTGTGATGCCACTGCTTATGAATTATCACTGTTTTTAATCAATAGCCCATGCATGATGACTATGACTTAAGACAAGAACAGCTAAACAAAGCTTCTCTTCTCTCTTCAAAGAAGTTTCTGGAAAACTTACTGGAGAAATTTAATTCCCATGTGGTAAGTTATAATTAAATTTGTCTTAATGAGAGATACCATACATATTGAAAGGTATTGTGCAAGTACAGCATGGACAGTTTTTTGTTTTGTTTTTAAATTGTGGCCCTCAACTTTTGGTCAGTATTGGTTTAGCTTGGACATTAATAATAAAATAATCTGTTTTAGGACTATATCCATTTATCTGGAAAGGATAAGTTGCAAAGCCTTTAAATTTTTACAGTTATATCACAGATTTTTGCTTTTTTTCTCTCTCTTTAAAAATGTCATTATGAAATAAGTTGCTTAAAAAAAAACTGAGCCAAATCTTTGTTCCTCAGTCATTAGTAACAGTTTTGGAGATAGGCAGTAATATAACATCTAGAAGGAATATGAACAAATTGCCAGAGTTTTGCAAGTGTTGTCCAAGATTGCTTATTATACAAATACACATTAACCTTAGTTATATATGTTTGAGGAGTCTTGGTTCTCTAGAAATTTGACAGAATTTTAATTATTTTCCCTTTGAGATATGGTAAGCACTGTGGATTTGATACATTAGTAAAACAAGTACTGCTTCCAGTAGTACTCAAGTTAAGAGTACTTTGAAACTCATGTAGGGAAATTAAATGTTTACTTCTAACATATAGAATAACAGAAAGAAACCCATTACTGCTATGTTTTAAGTGAAGCTCTCTGTACTAAGCCAAGGCAATATGTTACTTTGTTTCAGGATCATGGGACTGGTGCCCTAGTTATTAGTTCACTCTTGGACTTCCTTACTTTTGCCCTCTGTGCTCCATATAGTGAGACAACAGAAGGGCAGCAGTTTGATATGCTCTTGGAGATGGTAGCATCCAACGGAAGAACACTTTTTAAACTCTTTCAGGTGAGAGCTTATACTTTTATCAGATCACAACTAATCTAAGAGAACCACTTTTTGGGTCAGTTTGTTTTTAAAATAGTACATGTATGCTTCTGTGGTAATATAAATAAATATAGCCTAAGTACATTATCATTTTAGGACATTTAATTCCATGAATTTCATTGTGTTTCACATAGAGCTCTGTTGATAGCCTTTGACCACTATTTGACACTGTTGCCCATCTTTTCCATCTTAGAAGTAGTGAAAAACTCATTTTTTTTCTGTGGTAGACCCAAAGTTCCCTTTTGTAGTTTTTTGTAGTTCCCTACAAAATTTCCAAATAATAAGATGAGCTTTAGCAGGGCTGTTCGTAAGCAATTGAAAATACTTATTTCATATAATACCATAATATTTATTATGTACATGTGCGAATATGATATTTATAGTTTATGTTTATATTATAAATGTTGATTTCTGTTATTTTAATACCATAGTTATTTGATATCATTTCAGTAAGTAGAATATATATTCAAATAAGTGCCAGCTGTTTTCTACTACTATAAACTCAAGTATGTGTGAAGCTATATTGTAAGAATACCTAACATTTTTAAACCAAACTGTGAACTGACTTTGAGATGTAGCCTTTACTAATTTTATGGCTTTTATACCCTGCATAAAATTGTGTATCCCTCTTAAGAGCAACAGCTAAATATGTTGGGATAAGATTCTTTTATTCTATGATACTTTTCTCTCCCTATTTTGAAGCATCCTTCCATGGCAATTATAAAGGGAGCTGGATTGGTTATGAAGGCAATAATAGAGGTGAGAGAACAATTTTGAAATGTTAAACTTACTTGAATGTTGATTGGCTATTTTAACTTGGGCTGACAAAATTACCTTTCAGTCTTTTATGGAAAATATGCAGTTTTTCTGGGTAAGAAAAGTAATTTTAAATCCTTAGATTAGTTTTAAACTAGTTGCAGAAACAGTCCTCAATAATAAACTAAGAATTTAAAGTTCTTAAGTGGATTTAGAGCAAATGAATCTTTCTGGTCCTCCATTATTTGTTTGGTTTACTTTAAAAGAAAAGTTAGCATTTTTTCTCTCTTCCTCTTTTTTTGGGGATGGTGGTGGTGATGGTATTGAAACTTTAGGTACTGAGTTTATATGGAAATCTGTTAATGGAGTTAGTTTGTAGCCAAGTAGTATCAAATAAGTATGGTAACAAAAAGTTCCTCATGTTAACCTGCATATGTAATTAAGCTCTAGAGATCAGGACATACTATTGGTGGACATGAGCTATTGCTTCTCCAGGATAGTTGCTTTAGCCTTATATGTTTTCTGGAAGATGAGATGGGGCTATGAATGTGAACTTACATACTGGATATTTACAATATCAATCTAATGGCTTTTGAATTCTTGTATTCTTCTATTGTCTTAGTAATAATTTGGTTAAAATGTAAGAGTGTTTGCTCCTTTTATCAAAAAATTCTGCCATTATTGCTCATAAATATAACAAGTAGCTAAATAATAAGCACAGAATTAGTATACTCATAAGCAGCTATTAAAAAAATTATATATAGACATTAGATTGATTGGAACATCAAGGTTTATTTGCATTTTTAGTGTATACATGCAGCTAAAGACTAATTTTCCCCCTCCAGCTAATGGGTTCTATGCTCAATATTAGCTTCCAAAGTAAGTACCACATCTCTCACTTACAGAGCTTGAAGTAACCAAGGACAGTTAGGACTGTGAGACCATACAAAAGTATCTTCCTGACCTTGATCCACTAATATATTGCCATTCATTCAGAAATATTTAATGAGTGGCAGGTATAACCAAAAAACCAACTTTGACTTCATTGCAAGCCACATGTATCAGATTCGTAGCCAGTGACTACAGCCAGTGTCTGTGTAAGGCAGGCTTTATTTATTTACACTGAAATCCTGGCAGGTATCTTAAATTATTGTTTTCTGATTGCGAAAGCAGTATATGATCTTTTAAGAAACATTGGGTTGTTCAGAAAAAAACAAGAAAGAAATAAATCACCTGTATTTTTACCATCCAGAGACAACTGCTATTAGTATTTTGGTAAATTTCCTCTTAGACCATGTTCAAAATTATATATGTACATATACATACTATGTATATTTTATATACATACTACATGTTCATTTATGTCAAAATGATATATGTACGTATTCATACTGTGTATATTTGTATACTTACTGCATATTCAGTTATTCTATTTACTTGTACTTTTTTTCAATAACGTGAGCATTTTTACTTTTTGACAGGTTGTCTTAAATATCACACTGCTTGCTTAATTCATAATTCTATGATTACCTTTGATTAATAGTTCTATCTGTCCTACCCTTTTGTCAAAGTGGGTCTAAATAAGCAGAGTGACATCAGAATAGAAAGAACTACCTCAACATTACATCATTCTTTAAAAAAGATAAAGAATTGTATTCACCATGAAAATGAATATATCTTTAATAACAAAAGCAAGCCAGGTTTGCAGATGTCTTTGGTAGGAATTGCTGATTTCTGTGAGTCACCTCTCCCCTTCATTGGCTGATATTATATATACTAAGGGAACGAACCTAATTTTAATATTAAGCAAAGTATAATTCATAAGATAAATTTATCTGGGAACATTTAAACCTCATTCCAAAGGCAAATAATTTTTTTAAAGTGACTTATACTACTGTTAGCTTATGTTATTTTTGGATAATTGAAGTGGCATTTTTAATTTCTATTATATTGTATACTGAATAATTTTATCTAGAGATGTAAAATTAGTTTTACAAAATCAGGATAGCTTGCTTTAGATTGTTGCTTTAGGGATCATCTTGCCCTTTTTCCAAAGGAAGGTGACAAAGAAATTGCTACAAAAATGCAGGAGCTTGCCCTAAGTGAAGGTGCCTTACCTCGACATTTGCATACTGCGATGTTCACAATAAGCTCAGATCAAAGGATGCTTACAAATAGGTAGGTTAAATTTAATTTGCTATAAGTTAACTTGCTGTTTAGAGAAGGGGTTCAGATATTATGTAAAACAAACAGAATAAGTCTTTGAATTACACAGATGTTTCATTTTCTTTTGATTCACCTAGTTCTTTTCCTTTCCTTATGGAAGGATTTTACCTAAATGATCATTGTCCCTATCCCTGCATAACTTGGGAGGAAAAAAATAAAACTGCTTTTTTTCCCCCCACTCTGCTCATCAGGCTCTATACCCATAGTCATGGGACTGGAACATGGAAAAGAGTGCCTAGTAGCTTATGGAACTAGAGCCACATGTCCCCAGGGTTTTTCTCCTTTTATTTCTTCCTGACCATCTTGCATGTAGATGACCCACCTAGACAATTTTCAGATAATTTTGGTCAGTTAGGTACTCTAAGAATAAAGAAAACTTTAATATCTAACCAGCCTAATCTAAGCCTATCCTAAATCTCTTGTAGTTAAACAGTTTTCCCTTTGGCAAGTCTTTTTTTTTAAATGATAATCCTTCAAATATGAGGAAACACATAAATCTGTTTACTCCAGGCTATATGAATTCCAGCCCTTTTAATTTTCTTTATAATTTCTGACATGTGATCCTTTCCTATATCCTTAGCATACCATATTATTACTCATGACTCATATTAGTTAAAAAATATATATAATAAATGTTTTAATCATGTTCTTTTTGACCTTTTGAAATAACAAATTGCTGACTTAGGGCTTACTTTGTTATGGAAATATAAATTTCATTTTTTTATCCCCTGTGTTCGGTTATTGGATGTTGTAGTATGCTGCCCTGCCAATAGTTTTCTGCTGTTTATACTATTATAAGAAGCTATCTGCATCCCTTACTTGTAAATGTTAGTCACAAAAGTAGTCTTCTGTGTTGCTTGTGAGGATAAAAAATATAAAAGGAAGGTTATTTCCTTGGCCTACTGCCTTATTAGCAATGCTAAGCACCATCTTTCGTTACACTAGAAACTATTTGATGTCTAATTCTATTAAACCCCTTCATGTTAGCCCTTTGCTTCTTGTGTTCCTTTTTATTATAATCAATTGCGTTCCCTACTGTGATCAATCACAATATTGAAAAGCTGTCAAATTATAGAAATACTACTTTTCATTTGCATTGCTTTATCTTTTACAAATTGCTGCTATAAAATGTTATCTCTTATCCCTAATTAAAACCTTTTTAGGAATCATTGGTATGATACCTACCAAATGCCAGTGAAGGAAATTACAAGTGTCATTACTTCAATATGTTAGCTTCCAAATAGGCATAAGAGTGAACAGTTTTAGTAGTTGTGTGTGTGTGTGTGTGTGTGTGTGTTTGTGTGTCAGAACAAAGCACAATTTGGGTTTTCCTATTGAACTTTTTTCTTCTGGGAATATAACATATAAATACGTAAGCCTGTAGATGGTTATTTGGTTATTCCCCTCACAGATTTCATGCGCATTCTTATTGCAAATGGCAGTTGAATCCTTATCAAAGCACAGAATGGTCTGTGGTGAATAAAATATATACCCTGTTTGTGAGGAGCTTCCAGTCTGTGTAGCAGATATCATCGTGGGGATTAAGATTAATAAATGGCTAAGTTACAGCTTCAACGTGAATCTTAGATTTTCACTTTGAACCGAAATGTGCTTTTAGCTCAAAAGTGCTCTAAGTCTTTGTTCAGACTCCAAAACTGAAAATATTTTCTCTCTCTGACCTTGTCAAAAAGTATATATTAGAACATAGTTGACTTTTGCTCATGTTCAGAATTCCAAAGAATTCCAGAATGCTCTGGTCACTATAGCAGGATTTGTTATACAAACTTAATTATATTATCAAGTCTAATTGTTTCCCTATCTTTAAAAGTGGTAAGAACCTACTTCTTCATGTTCAGGTCCATTGAAAATTAGTGAGTTCATCAAGGAAGCATTTTAGTTTGGAGAAAATACTAAAACGTTAGTAGTATTTGAATTAACTATCTCATACATCTCTCCAAATTAAAATATTAATTTTTAGTATTTAACATCAGAATGATTTTTAAAACTTTTTATTGGAGTATAGTTGATTTACAGTGTTGTGTTAGATTCAGGTGAACAGCAAAGTGAATCAGTTATACATATATCCACTCTTTTTTAGATTCTTTTCCCATATAGGTTATTACAGAGTGATAGAATGTTTTTTTGTTCTTTTTTTTTGTTTTACTGTAGTCTTATTTCTTATATTTTGTTCTTAAAAATTCCTTTTTGTTCTACCTGAGATAAAGAAGCAAACCTTTCTCAACGTCTGCTTTTTTCAGACAGCTGAGTAGACATTTAGTGGGACTCTGGACAGCTGATAATGTAACTGCAACAAACTTGTTGAAACGCATTTTGGTAAGTCAGTTGAATAACTGGAGAAATGTATATATTCTTGCCCAATAAAATTTCATTGATAAGTTGTCTATACTGTTAAGGGTTTTTTTAGATTATCTGTTTGTTTTTAATCTAAAAGATATTTATCAAAGGAGTTGTCATATAATAAATGCTATGCTTAATAGCTAAATCATAGTACTAATTTATTTGGGTTTTGAAGGCTAGGTTTTTTTTGTGTGTGTGTGCAGTTGTTTTGAAAATGGACTTTATATCTTGTTTTTTTTTTTTATTTTATTTTTATTTTTTTTTTATCTTGTTTTTGATTGTTGTTTTTAGCCACCAGGCTTGCTAGCTTACTTGGACAGCTCAGATCCAGTTCCTGAGAAGGATGCTGATCGGATGCATGTTAGAGATAATGTGAAAATAGCAATGGTAAATATGCTTGTCCTGAGTATCTTTTCGGGATGAAAGAGTACTTTTTTCTGAAACACATGTTAAATAGTAGTATTCTTTTAAAATTATTATTATTAACAGCTTTATTGAGGTAAAATTTACATCCCCCAAATTTTAACCTGTTTTTAGTGTCCAATTCTATAATCATTACATTTATGCAGTTATCACCACAATCTAATTTTATGAATAATAATAATCTTGTATTTTTTTTCTCTAACTCAGCATATTGGTACATTCACGAATGGATTTTTTTTTTAATTTTAAATGTATAAGGTGATATTTTGCACATAATATGTAATTGATAAATGTTGGTGAAGGTGATAATGTTGGTGGTAAACGTTACTGAAAAAAATAATTTATGTAGGGCTTTTTTTCTTTACAGAGCTATCTTAATTATTAATGTTGGGCTATCTTTGAGAAAATTACTTAACATCTTTCAAGATATGCTATTATAATAATGTCTTATATGTGTTCTTTTCCTGTCTTCACCCCACTTCTGTCTGTACCCATCTCCCACTTAATATCTTGCCATCCCTCTAAAAGGATTCATCTTGAAAACTAGGTAGAAAAGTTTAAGATTTCTTGGACAAAATGTATAATTTGTTGTAGAAATTTTCACCTTGTTCTTTCACTATTTTTTTTCAGTATTCATTTAATCATGTAAAATAGTGCAACTTGGCTTTAATTAGATTTTTAAAATAAATTTGAAATTATAGGACTGTAATGGAATTCAACGTTATTTTATAGGATCAGTATGGAAAATTTAATAAAGTTCCAGAGTGGCAAAGACTAGCTGGTAAAGCTGCTAAAGAAGTTGAAAAATTTGCCAAAGAAAAAGTGGATCTTGTGTTAATGCATTGGAGGGATAGAATGGGCATTGCACAAAAAGAGGTAAAAATAAAGTCTTCTTCCGAATTTCTAGCACTTCCATATATCCTAGATTACTTCAATTGTTGCTGTTCACAAAAATGGTACAGATACTTTTGACCGAACACCTGAAGAAATGTCACTTAATTCTGATAATATTTTTATATAAATTTTTCTTAATTCATAGTTTTATGAGTCAGTGGTTAGGATTTTAGTTAGTTAATATAAAATTCCACTCTTTCTTACATAAGTTTCTTCCCATAACTTCCAGTTTCCAGACTTTTAAATTCATATGTATCTTTTTCCTTCCTTCTCTGAACTTTGTTTTGTAGCTAGACAAATAAAGTTGCCCTTCTTGTTTAGCTTTTTTATTGAGAGCTAGCTAGACAAGTATTTTGAAAATAAGATTCACATTGTTAAAATTAAATTTACTATATGTACTTAAATTTCAGTATTATTGCTCCTCAAATCAAAATCAGATCTGAAACAGTTTTAGTCTCATTTTTCAGCATGTGGTATGTGCTGCAGAACCTAATTCCAGTAATATTCATCCTTCTATCTAGGATGGAGTGTGCAGTGGTTAAGAATGATTTAAGGTTTCATGTAAAAGTTGACTTGATCTCAGTTTTTGTTGACCACACTTATATTCTTTCCCTTTAACCATCTCTTTATTTATGGTGGCTATTTTCTTATTCAAGGAAAGTAATATAAGTAACTTTCTGAAACAAACATGTTTCTTTTGAATTTCCAGAATATCTAAACATAAGGCATCAGGTGCAACAGAACAGAAATATTATTATCTTGTGTATCTATCTGAAATTGATACCAAAATTGAGTTCTTTAGAAGTTGAGCATAATGAATTAATGCTAATTTGTATGAGTGACATATGCACTATAAAGAATCATTAAACAGGCTTTCAGAGGTCTAGGATAGTAAAGAGAATACTGAACTTTGAATTGGTTAACCTACATCTGAGCCTGGTTCTGTCACTTACTACTAACCCATATGGCAAGTTATGGGTTTTCAGAATTTCACTTTCCTCTTTCATAAAATCAGAATTAACAGTACCTCCCTTCTCTGTCCTTTGGGGTTGCTTTGATGTACAAGGAAGTCAATAATAAAAGCACCTATAATAAAAGACAGTGCATGTCTTGTCATGATAATATTGCTGTAGCATTTGAAAATTGAAAGTCTGTAGATATGAAATGAATGATTTTCACAGTTGTTAAAAATTACAAGCTTTTGGCTTCAGGAAGTTAAACCCATTTCTGAAATAACAGTTGTTTCAAGCTGTTGGGTATAATTATACTGAAAATAAGTTTTTGGCATCAGATTTCATATATAACATTTATCCAGCATACACTTGAACACAAAGCTATTTTAGCTAGAAATGTGGATAGCATCTGTTATTTAAAGATAAAAAATTCAGAGGGAAAACAATGTATTTTTAATATCAATAATGTTTTATTGGTCTGTTGGTTTCATTTACATGAGGTGTTATCTAAAGTGCTGAGCAATTATTTCTGCCAGGATACTGTTTTCAACATTAATTTCTTTATGAAACAGTGAATAATCTTTGTGACTATTTTATTCGTAGAAATATTAACACCAAAATATCTAATTAATGAACCTGTGCTTTAGCTAAAGTCTGAAAATTAACCATTGTCTAGATTAACTGTTAGTCTTAAAATGAACTGCATTTCTTATATAATCAGAATGTTTAGGGAGTCAGTTCCATTTGTAGCTAATGTTCTTTGTTGGATTAATAATAACCTTTGGCTAATGTATAAAATTGCTTTTTTTAATTTATGTTATTTTCAGTTTATGGATTTGTTTAGCCAGTTAGAGCTTTTAACCTAAGTCTCTAAGTCAGTCAGCTTAGTTTATGGAGAGCTGGTTGTCCTTTTTCTGTATAGTGTTTACATTTTCATAACTCTAGACTCCCAGCTTTTTGTCTTGAAGGCCGAGGAAATTGAAGAAAGTAGTACTTGATTAGAGGTTTTAAGGAAGGGTTTGTCATTAAAACTAAAAATATGAACTATTTATATACTTTGTTCAAGTCACCTAACATTAGTTTTCATGATAGTGTACAGAATTAAAATTTGTAGGGAATATTTCCTTAATTAATCAATGTTTTACATTTCAAACAGCATTTACTTTTTAAAATTTACTTTACCTTTTTTCTTTCTGTGATATCTAGTCTGTTTTCTTGCTTTATTTTATATGATTTGCCACTTCTTAATGAAGTTACAGACTTTCATGTTTTAATCTATAACTACTTTCTACTTTTCGCTTCTGTCACATTGAGGATTAGAATTTTCATGACTGAAATATCTACACGTTTTACTCGGAGCAAAGATTCTTAACCTCCAGTCCATATATAGACTTCCAAGAAATCTTTGAAATCTTCCCCTCCATTGTAAACCTTATGTATGTGTCTTTCTCTGGAATAGGACCATAGCTTTCTTTGAATTCTCAAATGGGTTTATGACTGCCTAAAATTTGAGTCATAGAATTTAGAGAAGCAGGTGGGCCTTTTTCTGTCTTAAAGATGATTTATACTGGTGACATCCTTGTGGAATTTGTATAATAGAGATAGCATAGCAGATGTAGGCTCACTCTCTTATTTTTATTTCATTTAAATTTTTTTTTTCCTTTTTTACAATTAAATTCAGGACAGAAACAATATGGTGAGTTTAAGTCCCTGCTACATGTGTGAAATGCATTAAACTGCCTGCATGTGGAGTTGTCTTTGATATTCTTTGTCTAGTAAATTAAAGTCTCACTTCACATGTGTCTGAATGTAGATACTTATTTCTTGTGCATTAGCTATTTCAATTTATACTTGCTCCTCTTGGCTTTGGTAGCAATTTAATAACCTATAATCTTTTGTGTTTATTGTTTTGCCATGATTTTTGTATTAACTGCATGTAAATGTTTAAAATAAGTCACCTCTTTTTGACTGTTACAAATTTTATTAGTCATCATTGTAAACTTTAACAAAATTTGGATTTAAAACAATAACTTTAGGCTACACGGAAAATATTTCAGCTACACTATAGAAATATATGCTGGCAAAGTATTATATTGTGATATAACCTAATATTCTGTATTCATATTTTATAGATTTTGTTTCATTAATTTTGTCTCTGCCAAAATTTGATGAAGGAAATGTTTCTCATCACTTACAAAGTGATGATATTCTGACTGAGCTTGTTTGGTAGCTCCAGATTGAGCACTATGAAGTTTTTTTCTTTTCCAGAATATAAATCAAAAGCCAGTAGTTCTTCGAAAGAGAAGACAGAGAATAAAAATAGAAGCAAACTGGGATCTCTTCTATTATAGGTAAACTTTAGGCCTCTCTTCCAATTAATTAAATTTGGTATTGCCAGATTTAATTTTTGGACAGTTGTTTTTTTGTTTTTGCCTGAATCTAGTGCTTTATGCTACAGGTATTTTTATGCTCTCAGGGTCAAGAATTATAACTGTTAAGATTGGTATGATTAGTGATGCTTTCATAAAATTAAGACCTTTTATAGAGTGTTGGTAGTCTGACGAGCCAAAGGTACTTTTAGCATTTTATTAAGGCTTAGAGATGGTTACTTTAAAACACTTTATCATGGCTTAGAAATAACTGTATTATAACTTCTTTCAGCCTTGTTGGAAATAGAGTCTTTAAAGCGTTGGATGATGAAACCATAAGGAGACTTGTGGGAAATGGGTATCCAAGTTAGCTGACCTGATATACTTTTCCAGCCTTTCTAATATGGTAACCCTTCCTCCCCATCTACTGCTCCCACCACCTCCCCAGCGCCCTCCACCTCAACACCCTCCCCACACACACAGTCATACACACATAGAAGGACTTTGGAACATTTTGGGGAGTTTGCAAAAACTTTTTTGAGATAACTCACAATACTCAGTCTGGAAGCTGACCTATTGATTATACCTTGGTTAATAAGGGAAAATATGTGCTTTGGGAACTTCCCACAGTACTTTAAAAGTATAGTATATATATAATACAGCCTTCAGAATATGCCTTGGTTTTCTTCCTCTGGAATCCCTCAGTTGTGTTGTCCTCCCTAGAATTCCCTTGGAATTCTGGCATCAGACTTTTTAGAAGGATTGCAGTTTGAAAGTGAATGGGTATAAAGCCCACCCACCCCAGTTTAGACTTGAATTCAAATTTATTATGATAGTTAAATAATTTCATGAATAAAAGGAAGGTATTTTGAAAATATCAATCAGAGCTTGACAGTTTAGCAGTATTTTTTCTTGGGTAGTTTTTAAGGTTCTAATCTAGAATGTTGCTCATCCCACACATTTCATACTCAATTATCCAGAAATTCTTATCCCCAATATGTAACTTGATATCTGTTTATAATTCTTTTCTGACTGGAATTTATATTAGCAATAAATATTAAAATTGAAATGTCAGTTCCTTGTTTTAAAATCCACACAGATTTGTCTTATAGTTTGGCTTCATTTTTTCCCCCATTTTATAATGAAAACTTTTAAACATACAGAAAAGGTGAAAGAATTTTACAATGAGCACCTGTATACCTGTGACTAAAATTCTACCATTAACCTTTTACTATACTTACTTCACACAGTAGATTTTATTTTCTTTCTATGCTTGCTAAAGTTAATTAATTCCACTGTTTTGTTACTTATTATAAGTTGTAGTAGGGGAGATTTATAGATTTTTAAAACTGTTTATTGCTTCCCACTATTTTCTGATTACATGTATATCTAGGTTTGGTCAGGACCATGCCAGGTCAAACTTAATTTGGAATTTCAAAACACGAGAAGAATTGAGAGATAGTCTTGAATCTGAAATGAGAGCATTTAATATTGATAGAGAGCTTGGTAGTGCTAATGTGATCTCCTGGAACCACCATGAATTTGAGGTAAATTTTAATTTTCGTAATATAGTAGTTTTTTTTTGAAGCATGTATTAGTTTTGGAGTTTTTCTTTTTTTTTTAATTTGTAGTTGTTTGACATATATCTTTACCTTTCACTCATAATTTTATGAAGGAAATATTAGAAAACTTTCACTTTGCCTGAGACAAATGAAAAATTAATTTTGTTTAGTACCTCAGCTTTGTATGTGAAAATCATGTAGGAGTCAATAAATTTGATCCTGTGCATTCTAGATCTGTTCCTTGCTTTTTTTCCCCTTTAAATTCTTTATTGAAACATAGCCTGTTCTTATTTCTTTTAGCTTGTTTAATAGACTTTTTGTGGTAATTTGATTCTGAATGTGGCCATTTTTTTGCTGCTTAATTAAAATACTGATGTGAAGAATGACAAAGTAAGAACAAGAAACATGTTGGTGTAGATAATCTTGTGTGTGTGTGTAAATTTTTATTATAGGTGTAAATTTGAGCATGTTTGTGACCCTGCCGGCTTTGCTGTTTAACCCAACTGCATTTCTTAAACATGTTAATGATTTGTTTTTGCTCATTCCCACCTCTTTGTGAAAACTTTCTTTTCTTTGGTTTTGGGAGTCTGTATTCTCTGGGATTTTCTCCTTCACTGTCCATTCCTCCTCCTTTGCTCATTTTTCCTTATTGCCCCAACTGCTAAATGCTGGTTGGCCCTGAAGGACCAGTTCTTGGGCTTCTTTTCATTTATATTTATTGCCTCAGTTATCTCATCCATTCTCATGGGTTAAATGTTTTTTATTTGCTGATGGCTTCAAGATTTTTATCTCCTGCTTAGACTTTCTTTCCTAGACTTCATACTTTTACCTTATAAATTGGATATCTAATAAGCTTCTAGAACTTCGCTGTAAAACTCTGCTCTGGTTCTTCCCTCAAACCTACTTCACTTTCAGTCTTTCTGATCTTAGATAATGGCTATTCCTTATTTTCTAGTCAAAACCTTTGACATCATCTTTTTTTCTTATGCCCCAAATTCGGTTCGTCAGCAAGTCCTATTCAGTGCACCTTCAAAATTTACCCAGAACCCAGCCCTCTTCTCTCTATGGGATTGTAGCAGTTTCCCTGCTTCCACCATTGCCTTTCTGTAATCTGTTATCAACATAGTAGCAGTGTGATCTTGTTATAATGTAAGTAGATCTTGTCCTTCTCTGCTCCAAGCCCTCCCTGGTGCTCTTATTGCTTCCCAACTCACTTAGTGAAAAGCCTGGGTCTTTAAAATAACTTACAAGGCAAGATCTGTAGCCCCAAAATCCAGCCATTGTTTCTTTGATCTCATCTCCTAATATTCTCACCATTGCCTGTAGCCACACTGGCTTCCCTGAAAACACCAAATTCATGTTCTTAATTCAAGGTCTTTCTACTTGATGTTCCTTCTGCCTAAAATACTCTTTTCTACAGAGAGCCTCATTTTCTTCAGGTCTTTTCCCGAAGGTTGTCATCTGAGTGGGCCTTCCCTGGCCACCCTGTTTAAAAATATAGCCCTCTTCTCTCTCTTTCTCTCTCTCTCTCTCTCTCTCCCTCCCTCCCTCCCTCCCTCCCTCTCTCTCTCTCTCTCTCTCTCACACACACACACACACACACACACCTGGCCACCTTGTTTAAAAATATAGCCCTCTTCATACACACACACTTACACTCTCTCTCTTTCTCTCTCTCTCTCTTCCCCCGCTCCCCGCTTTATTTTACTCCATAGCACTTACTGTCATCCAACTACCATAAGTATTTTACTTTTTTATCTGCTACGTCTGTAAGGATAGAACTTTTTACGTTTGCTTAATGCTATATCCCTGATGACTAGAACAGTACATGGCACATACCTTATATTCTTAATAAATGGAGTTGAACAAATTAAAACTCAGAATTTATAGGAAAAAAATGAAATGGATATACATATATATTTGATTTTGTATAGTTTATATTTTTAGTAAACAGCTGTTTTAGGCTTTGGAAAAAGAGTTTTGATAATCTAGTCAAGAAATTCCTTTTTACAGCTGCTTGCAAATCTTTGCTTGAGACAAACCCCAGTTCCCAATCAAGGGCTACTCCCTCACATATCACTTCCAGTGTGTAACCTGGAGTAATTGTACATACAGAGAGTGAATACTGTATAAAAATGTACCATAAAACGTAGTTGATGTGTTGGGAGATCAGGGAAGACCTGAAGTGCCTTGTGTGAGTTTGGCAAGCTGTGTGTAGTGTGGGATCATTTACTTCTTGCTTGATTGTAGCCAGCTGAGAAGGGAAGGAAGCACGTTATCCTTTAATGGTGTTTTTAGTGTTTTCTTCCCTTAAGTCTTCATGGACACCATATAGTCTTGTGACAGTTTTTATCAGCAAATTTTTTTTTTTTTTTTAACATCTTTATTGGGTTATAATTGCTTTACAATGGTGTGTTAGTTTCTGCTTTATAACAAAGTGAATCAGTCATGCATAAACATATGTTCCCATATGTCTTCCCTGTTGCGTCTCCCTCCCTCCCACCCTCCCCATCCCACCCCTCCAGGCTGTCACAAAGCACCGAGCCAATATCCCTGTGCCATGCGGCTGCTTCCCACTAGCTATCTACCTTACTGCGTTTGTTAGTGTGTATATGCCCATGACTCTCTCTCGCCCTGTCACAGCTCACCCTTGCCCCTCCCCATAACCTCAAGTCCATTCTCTAAGAGGTCTGCGTCTTTATTCCTGCTTTACCCCTAGGTTCTTCATGACATTTTTTTCTTAAATTCCATATATATGTGTTAGCATACGGTATTTGTCTTTTTCTTTCTGACTTACTTCACTCTGTATGACAGACTCTAGGTCTATCTACCTCATTACAAATAGCTCAATTTCGTTTCTTTTTATGGCTGAGTAATATTCCATTGTATATATGTGCCACATCTTCTTTATCCATTCATCCGATGATGGACACTTAGGTTGTTTCCATCTCCGGGCTATTGTAAATAGAGCTGCAATGAACATTTTGGTACATGACTCTTTTTGAATTTTGGTTTTCTCAGGGTATATGCCTAGTAGTGGGATTGCTGGGTCATATGGTAGTTCTATTTGTAGTTTTTTAAGGAACCTCCATACTGTTCTCCATAGTGGCTGAACCAATTCACATTCCCACCAGCAGTGCAAGAGTGTTCCCTTTTCTCCACACCCTCTCCAGCATTTATTGTTTGTAGATTTTTTGATGATGGCCATTCTGACTGGTGTGAGATGATATCTCATTGTAGTTTTGATTTGCATTTCTCTAATGATTAATGATGTTGAGCATTCTTTCATGTGTTTGTTGGCAGTCTGTATATCTTCTTTGGAGAAATGTCTATTTAGGTCTTCTGCCCATTTTTGGATTGGGTTGTTTGTTTTCTTGTTATTGAGCTGCATGAGCTGCTTGTAAATTTTGGAGATTAATCCTTTGTGGGTTGCTTCATTTGCAAATATTTTCTCCCATTCTGAGGGTTGTCTTTTGGTCTTGTTTATGGTTTCCTTTGCTGTGCAAAAGCTTTGAAGTTTCATTAGGTCCCATTTGTTTATTTTTGTTTTTATTTCCATTACTCTAGGAGGTGGGTCAGAAAGGATCTTGCTTTGATTTATGTCATAGATTGTTCTGCCTATGTTTTCCTCTAAGAGTTTGATAGTTTCTGGCCTTACATTTAGGTCTTTAATCCATTTTGAGCTTATTTTTGTGTATGGTGTTAGGGAGTGATCTAATCTCATACTTTTACATGTACCTGTCCAGTTTTCCCAGCACAACTTATTGAAGAGGCTGTCCTTTCTCCATTGTACATTACTGCCACCTTTATCAAAGATAAGGTGTCCATATGTGCATGGGTTTATCTCTGGGCTTTCTATCCTGTTCCATTGATCTATCTTTCTGTTTTTGTGCCAGTACCATACCGTCTTGATGACTGTAGCTTTGTAGTATAGTCTGAAGTCAGGGAGCCTGATTCCTCCAGTTCCTTCTTTCGTTCTCAAGATTGCTTTGGCTATTTGGGGTCTTTTGTGTTTCCATACAAATTGTGAAATTTTTTGTTCTAGTTCTGTGAAAAATGCCAGTGGTAGTTTGATAGGGATTGCATTGAATCTATAGATTGCTTTGGGTAGTAGAGTCATTTTCACAATGTTGATTCTTTCAATCCAAGAACATGGTATATCTCTCCATCTATTTATATCATCTTTAATTTCTTTCATCAGTGTCTTATAATTTTCTGCATACAGATCTTTTGTCTCCTTAGGTAGGTTTATTCCTAGATATTTTATTCTTTTTGTTGCAATGGTAAATGGGAGTGTTTTCTTGATTTCACTTTCAGATTTTTCATCATTAGTATATAGGAATGCCAGAGATTTCTGTGCATTAATTTTGTATCCTGCCACTTTACCAAATTCATTGATTAGCTCTAGTAGTTTTCTGGTAGCATCTTTAGGGTTCTCTATGTATAGTGTCATGTCATCTGCAAACAGTGACAGCTTTACTTCTTCTTTTCCAATTTGGATTCCTTTTATTTCCTTTTCTTCTCTGATTGCTGTGGCTAAAACTTCCAAAACACTGTTGAATAATAGTGGTGAGAGTGGGCAACCTTGTCTTGTTCCTGATCTTAGTGGAAATGCTTTCAGTTTTTCACCATTGAGGATGATGTTTGCTGTGGGCTTGTCATATATGGCCTTTATTATGTTGAGGAAAGTTCCCTCTATGCCTACCTTCTGCAGGGTTTTTATCATAAATGGGTGTTGAATTTTGTCAAAAGCTTTCTCTGCATCTATTGAGATGATCATATGGTTTTTCTCCTTCAATTTGTTAATATGGTTTATCACATTGATAGATTTGCGTATATTGAAGAATCCTTGCATTCCTGGAATAAACCCCACTTGATCATGGTGTATGATCCTTTTAATGTGCTGTTGGATTCTATTTGCTAGTATTTTGTTGAGGATTTTTGCATCTATGTTCATCAGTGATATTGGCCTGTAGTTTTCTTTCTTTGTGACATCCTTGTCTGGTTTTGGTATCAAGGTGATGGTGGCCTCGTAGAAGGAGTTTGGGAGTGTTCCTCCCTCTGCTATATTTTGGAAGAGTTTGAGAAGGATAGGTGTTAGTTCTTCTCTAAATGTTTGATAGAATTCGCCTGTGAAGCCATCTGGTCCTGGGCTTTTCTTTGTTGGAAGATTTTTAATCACAGTTTCAATTTCAGTGCTTGTGATTGGTCTGTTCATATTTTCTATTTCTTCCTGATTCAGTCTTGGCAGGTTGTGCATTTCTAAGAATTTGTCCATTTCTTCCAGATTGTCCATTTTATTGGCATAGAGTTGCTTGTAGTAATCTCTCATGATCTCTTTTATCTCTGCAGTGTCAGTTGTTACCTCTCCTTTTTCATTTCTAATTCTATTGATTTGAGTCTTCTCCCTTTTTTTCTTGATGAGTCTGGCTAGAGGTTTATCTATTTTGTTTATCTTCTCAAAGAACCAGCTTTTAGTTTTATTGATCTTTGCTATTGTTTCCTTCATTTCTTTTTCATTTATTTCTGATCTGATTTTTATGATTTCTTTCCTTCTGCTAGCTTTGGGGTTTTTTTGTTCTTCTTTCTCTAATTGCTTGAGGTGCAAGGTTAGGTTGTTTATTCGAGATGTTTCCTGCTTCTTAAGGTGGGCTTGTATTGCTATAAACTTCCCCCTTAGAACTGCTTTTGCTGCATCCCACAGGTTTTGGGTCGTTGTGTCTCCATTGTCTTTTGTTTCTAGGTATTTTTTGATTTCCTCTTTGATTTCTTCAGTGATCACTTCGTTATTAAGTAGTGTATTGTTTAGCCTCCATGTGTTTGTATTTTTTACAGATCTTTTCCTGTAATTGATATCTAGTCTCATGGCGTTGTGGTCAGAAAAGATACTTGATACAATTTCAATTTTCTTAAATTTACCAAGGCTTGATTTGTGACCCAAGATATGATCTATCCTGGAGAATGTTCCATGAGCACTTGAGAAAAATGTGTATTCTGTTGTTTTTGGATGGAATGTCCTATAAATATCAATTAACTCCATCTCGTTTAATGTATCATTTAAAGCTTGTGTTTCCTTATTTATTTTCATTTTGGATGATCTGTCCATTGGTGAAAGTGGGGTGTTAAAGTCCCCTACTATGAATGTGTTACTGTCGATTTCCCCTTTTATGGTTGTCAGTATTTGCCTTATGTATTGAGGTGCACCTATGTTGGGTGCATATTTACAATTGTTATATCTTCCTCTTGGATCGATCCCTTGATCATTATGTAGTGTCCTTCTTTGTCTCTTCTAATAGTCTTTGTTTTAAAGTCTATTTTGTCTGATATGAGAATTGCTACTCCAGCTTTCTTTTGATTTCCATTTGCATGAAATACCTTTTTCCATCCCCTTACTTTCAGTCTGTATGTGTCTCTAGGTCTGAAGTGGGTCTCTTGTAGACAGCAAATATATGGGTCTTGTTTTTGTATCCATTCAGCCAATCTGTGTCTTTTGGTGGGAGCATTTAGTCCATTTACATTTAAGGTAATTATCGATATGTGTGTTCCTATTCCCATTTTCTTAATTGTTTTGGGTTCGTTATTGTAGGTCCTTTCCTTCTTTTGTGTTTCTTGCCTAGAGAAGTTCCTTTAGCAGTTGTTGTAGAGCTGGTTTGGTGGTGCTGAACTCTCTCAGCTTTTGCTTGTCTGTAAAGGTTTTAATTTCTCCATCAAATCTGAATGAGATCCTTGCTGGGTAGAGTAATCTTGGTTGCAGGTTTTTCTCCTTCAACACTTTCAATATGTCCTGCCACTCCCTTCTGGCTTGCAGAGTTTCTGCTGAAAGATCAGCTGTTAACCTTATGGGGATTCCCTTGTGTGTTATTTGTTGTTTTTCCCTTGCTGCTTTTAATATGTTTTCTTTGTATTTAATTTTTGACAGTTTGATTAATATGTGTCTTGGCGTATTTCTCCTTGGATTTATCCTGTATGGGACTCTCTGTGCTTCCTGGACTTTATTAATGATTTCTTTCCCCATATTGGGGAAGTTTTCAACTATAATCTCTTCAAATATTTTCTCAGTCCCTTTCTTTTTCTCTTCTTCTTCTGGAACTCCTATAATTCGAATGTTGGTGCGTTTAATGTTGTCCCAGAGGTCTCTGAGACTGTCCTCAGTTCTTTTCATTCTTTTTTCTTTATTCTGCTCTGCAGTAGTTATTTCCACTATTTTATCTTCCAGGTCACTTATCCGTTCTTCTGCCTCAGTTATTCTGCTATTGATCCCATCTAGAGTACTTTTAATTTCATTTATTGTGTTGTTCATCGTTGCTTGCTTCATCTTTAGTTCTTCTAGGTCCTTGTTAACTGATTCTTGCAATTTGTCCATTCTATTGTCCATTCTATCTCCAAGATTTCGGATCAACCTTACTATCATTATTCTGAATTCTTTTTCAGGTAGACTGCCTATTTCCTCTTCATTTGTTAGGTCTGGTGGGTTTTTATCTTGCTCCTTCATCTGCTGTGTGTTGTTCTGTCTTTTCATTTTGCTTATCTTACTGTGTTTGGGGTCTCCTTTTTTGCAGGCTGAAGGTTCGTAGTTCCTGTTGTTTTTTGTGTCTGTCCCCAGTGGCTAAGGTTGGTTCAGTGGGTTGTGTAGGCTTCCTGGTGGAGGGTACTAGTGCCTGTGTTCTGGTGTATGAGGCTTGATCTTGTCTTTCTGGTGGGCAGGTCCACGTCTGGTGGTGTGTTTTGGGGTGTCTGTAGACTTACTATGATTTTGGGCAGCCTCTCTGCTAATGGGTGGGGTTGTGTTCCTGTCTTGCTAGTTGTTTGGCATAGGATGTCCAGCACTGTAGCTTGCTGGTGGTTGAGTGAAGCTGGGTGCTGGCATTGAGATGGAGATCTCTGGGAGATTTTTGCTGTTTGATATTATGTGCAGCTGGGAGGCCTCTTGTGGACCAGTGTCCTGAAGTTGGCTCTCCCACCTCAGAGGCACAGCACTGACTCCTGGCTGCAGCACCAAGAGCCTTTAATCCACAGGGCTCCTTAATTTGGGATGATTCGTTGTCTATTCAGGTATTCCACAGATGCAGGGTATATCAAGTTGATTGTGGAGCTTTAATCCGCTGCTTCTGAGGCTGCTGGGAGAGATTTCCCTTTCTCTTCTTTGTTCTGACAGTTCCCAGGGGCTCAGCTTTGGATTTGGCCCCGCCTGTGCGTGTAGGTCGCCGGAGGGCGTCTGTTCTTTGCTCAGACAGGATGAGGTTAAAGGAGCCGCTGATTAGGAGGCTCTGGCTCACCCAGGCCGGGGGGGTAGGGAGGGTCACGGAGTGCGGGGCGGGCCTGCAGCGGCAGAGGCCGGCGTGCCGCTGCAGCCTGAGGCGCACCGTGCGCTCTCCCGGGGAGCCGTCCCTGGATCCCGGGACCCTGGCAGTGGCGGGCTGCACAGGCTCCCCAGAAGGGCGTGTGGCTAGTGACCTGTGTTCGCACACAGGCCTCCTGGCGGCGGCAGCAGCGGCCTTAGCGTCCCATGTCCGTCTCTGGGCTCCGCACTCTTAGCCGCGGCTCGCGCCCGTCCCCGGAGCTCTCTCAAGCAGCGTTCTTAATCCCCTCTCCTCGTGCACCAGGAAGCAAAGAGGGACGTAAAAGTCTGTTGCCTCTTCGGCAGGTCCAGACCCCTCCCCGGACTCTCTCCCTGCAGGCTGTGTTCACGCCGCCAACCTCAGTCCTCTCCCGGCGCTCCGACAAAAGCCGGAGCCTCAGCTCCCAGTCCCGCCCGCCCTGGCGGGCGAGCAGACAAGCCTCTCGGCTGGTGAGTGCCGGTCGGCCCGATCCTCTGCGCTGGAATCTGTCCGCTTTGCCCTCCGCACCCCTGTTGCTGTGCTCTCCTCCGCGGCTCCCAAGCTCCCCCACTCCGCCTCCCGAAGTCTCCACCCGCGAAGGGGCTTCCTAGTGTGTGGACACTTTTCCTCCTTCACAGCTCTCTCCCGCTGGTGCAGGACCCGTCCCTATCCTTTTGTCTCTGTTTAGTTTTTTCTTTTGCCCTGACCAGGTACGTGGGGGGTTCCTTGCCTTTTGGGAGGTCTGAGGTCTTCTGCCAGCGTTCAGTAGGTGTTCTGTAGGAGTTGTTCCACGCGTAGATGTATTTCTGGTGTATCTGTGGAGATGAAGGTGATCTCCGCGTCTTACTCTTCTGCCATCTTCCCGGAAGTCTCCTCCTGTTTTTTTTTTAATTTAATAAAGTTTGTCATTTAACATTTCAGCAAGGTGGGAGAAGAACAAACAGATCAATTCATCCATTATGCAGCTCAAATTTGAGTGTTCCTTACCTGTATACATTTTACTCTTTCATTTGTATTTACATTCCTCTTACATTTAACAATTTAAATTTCAGTGAACTGACAGAATCATTTCACCAATTTTTAAAATGGTCATCAGTGCTTGCTATAATTGCCTTAACTGTCAGTCATGCTTTGTGGATTAGAAAACTGGTTCTCAATAAGTTTACAAAACACACCCAGGAAATAACCAGATGAAAACCCTTATTTTTTGCTGTTACACGAGATTTCTCTATTGAATTCTAATTCACTCTTACTCCAGTGAACTGAGTACTTGTGGCATAGCATGTGTATTTTAGGCAGTTACATTTTTTCCTTCTTGTGTTCATGATGATGTGATTTATGTGAAACATCACTTACCAATTCTTTAGAATTTTTACTTAACTTGGGAGTATCATTTGGGCTAATTCTTTCATTTACTTCAATTTTTATGTGCATTCTTAAAGCTATGTATTAATCTGTTTGTGACTTAAAATATCTGCCTTTCTAGGGAAATTAAATAAGGTTTATCAAATTGCAGAGAATGTAAGACATTGAGGAATTGCAATAATTGACAGTTTTCTCTGATTTTCTTTGTTTACAAGATGACTTTATTTCTTTTTGGCTGTTGGTTGATTTTGTCCAGTGATGGTAATGTCTTAATTTCTATTTACTTCTGACTAAATTCTCATTTATTTCAATAGTGCACAGATAAACTTGAACGAGATAGGTTGATCATCTTCCTTAACAGATTGATCCTTAATAAGGTACAGTATTTTGCATAAATATGCTATTATTTCCAAGTTAAGTCACATGTATGTAACAAAGTAAATGATTACAGTTTGACTTAATTATCAAGACATGGTTCTTATCTTCTCCTTTTGCTCTCAACTCTTGAAGGGAAAAGTTTTTGCCAAATATTCATTTTTGAAACCAACACTGACTTGCTTAATTTTATTCTCACTTTTAGTAAATAATGCAGATGTTTTTAAATGAAATAAAATGAGTAAGCCCTAGGAAAATTTAATTTGAATTATAATCTCTTACAAACTTCTAAGAAATTACCAGTTTTTATCTTGCTTACAAAAACAAACTGGAACTTTAAAAAGTTTTTTAGTGTACTGGATTCTATTTCTGAGTACAGAATATTTATTAACAAAAAGACATTGGAAAAATGCAGGATAATTGTAGAACCAGAGAGTTTATCCTGGGTGTTATTCCCGCCAGGCTTTAATTTGTTTATTTTTATTTTATTTTGTTTTGCTCAGAATATATTTAAGTAAAAATTCTTTTTTAATTTAATTAATTAATTTTCGGCTGCATTGGATCTTCATTGCTGCACATGGGCTTTCTCTGTTTGTGGCGAGCGGGGGCTACTCTTCGTTGCAGTGTGTGGGCTTCTCATTGTGGTGGCTTCCCTTGTTGGGGAGCATGGGCTATAGGCGTGATTGCTTCAGTAGTTGTGGCACGTGGGCTCAGTAGCTGTGGCTCACGGGCTCTAGAGCGCAGACTCAGTAGTTGTGGCGCATGGGCTTAGTTGCTCCACAGCATGTGAGATCTTCCCAGACCAGGGCTTGAACCCGTATCCCCTGCATTGGCAGGCAGATTCTTAACCACTGCACCACCAGGGAAGCCCAAGTAAAAATTATTTATATGATCTCTCTGTAGTATAGTTTTGCCTTTTTAATTTTTATCTACATTTATGCTTCCTTGAACACAAAATCCTGAAAATACTGAGTAATACCAGTTATGTGCCAGTTTTTCCAAAGAGATTCCAAATATTCTCTTCTTTGAGAGCCTTTTAGGTAGTAGTATCTATTGGAGAGAAAGATTTTAAATTATGTAAACATGTTTCTGTCTTTCAGAAAAATGTTAAGGACCTTATGGATTCAAATGGAATTAGAATCCTTGTGGACTTGCTTACCCTTGCACATCTCCATGTAAACCGAGCTACAGTACCACTGCAAGTATGTATGCTTACCTAGATTTTATAAGTTTAACATTCTTTGAGTACAAATTTAGGATTAAAAGAATCATACAAATCTGAAAATATGTCAGGGTGTCTGGCCGTGAATCTCCTTCTCTGATAACTATAATAGTACTAATGCCTGGGAGATTAAGTCACACACACAAAAAGTGAAATAACCAAAATGGACAATGATGATCCAGTTTTATTTTTCTGATGTCTCTTTTGTCTTTTAAAGTAACTGCATCTCTAATGTGGCTTATTTTGAGGCAATATGTCCTTTAGGATTTAAACTGAATCCATCAGTTATGTAACTAGAACATTCAGCATTGACATCCACTGAGAGTATACTTTGCCTTGAGGAATCTGGAGGCCTTATTGAAACCAGCCAGTAAGAGGACAGAGCTGCAGGTCTCTACCTAAAGGCCTCTTCTGATACCTAACTTATAGAAGGGATCTATACTTGGCTCATTGGTGTTAATGTTAAATTTTTGTTTAATCTCCTTCTTTGAGGAGATGTGTCATGTTTTGGCAGAATTGTGTACAAAAGTGCTATCTGAATATTAGGACATGGCATTTTCTATTATCAGGTACAAATAATAGTAATCATAATGCTTGCATCGTGTTATAGTGTACCAGGTACCGTTCTGGTCCACATAATATATTAACTCTTTAAACCCCACAACAGCCCTCCCATTTTACAGATGAGGAAAGTGAGGAACAGAGAGACTAAGTTTGTTGTCCAGGGTCACCTAATAAAGGACAGAGCGAGAGTTAGAACTCGGAAGTCTGTGCTCTTAACCACTTTCCTATAGCTGTCTATATGAATCTAACTAAAAGCTGATGGTAATGAGGGTATTTAAAATCATGTTTTAATAAAATATACTAAGTACATAAAAATTCTATCCTAGATTCTTATAAACATCGGTATATGAAATTATAAGAATTATCTGTCATGAGGGTAGTAAATTGAAAGTAAGTGTTTAAAACCACTAAAAACTTTCCTGTTAGCATTTTAACTCTTTGATCTCAGGCATTTATTTAAACTTCTAGTTGGAGTGAGTTTTTTTCTTTCAAAAGAACTTTAGTATTTTTGAGCATTGTGGTTTTGGTTAATGGTATATGTTTGATTATATAGCTATTTGCAGTATTCTTTGCTACTAAAATTTTAGTGTCCTGAGAATTTATTAATGACCATCTGGAATATAGATGCCTTTGAGTTTAGCTTAGATTGCCAAGTGAATTTAGGAAACTGTTTACTTCAAATGCATAATAAGGAAGTAGCATTTTTGGACTATTAGTTTAGGCATCTAATCCTTAACTCTTAAGATTGGGTCACTTAAAATTTTAGATGGATTTCTAAAGAAATATAAACTCAAGAAATTAGTACTGTGTAACTTTTTATGACATCTGCCCCCTTAGATTTCTGCCTTGAAAAATAACTAAGTATTTTTAAAACTTAGAGCAATGTAATTGAAGCTGCTCCAGATATGAAAAGAGAGAGTGAAAAGGAATGGTACTTTGGCAATGCAGACAAAGAAAGGAGTGGCCCATATGGATTTCATGAGGTATGTGTTTGGGAGAAACTTTTCATGGAAGTCTTAGTCATTTTTTATATCCTCCTGATAGCACATATAGAGATGTGGAATATTTTAAATCTATGATTTGATTTACTGTCATCAGCTCCAAGGACTCTGCCATTCTATTTCCACATAAAGGACGAGATGACTTGTATTTCTAGACACACATACACACAAAATCATGTCTTCAAATCTTACTGTTTAAAAGCTATTGTTATGACACTGCTAATTATTAGAGAAATACAAATCAAAACTGCAATGAGATACCACTTCATACCAGTCAGAACGGCCATCATTAAAAAGTCTACAAATAACATTTGCTAGAGAGGGTGTGGAGAAAAGGGAACACTCCTGCACTGTTGGTGGGAATGTAAGCTGGTACAGCCACTGTGGAAAACAGTGTGGAGGTTCCTCAAAAACCTAAAAACAGAGTTGCCATATGATCCAGCAATCCCACTCCTGGGCATATATCTGGACAAAACTATAATTCAAATAGATATGTGCACCCCTATGTTTATAGCAGCACTATTCACAATAGCCAAGACATGGAAACAACCTAAATGTCCACCAACAGTTGAATGGATAAAGTAGATGTGGTACATATATACAATGGAATATTACTCAGCCATAAAAAAGAACAAAATAATGCCATTTGCAGCAACATGGATGCAACTAGAGATTGTCATACTAAGTGAAGTTCATACTAAGTGAAGTAAGTCAGAAAGAGAAAGATACCATATGATATCACTTATATGTGGAATCTAAAATATGATATAAATGAACTTATTTATGAAACAGAAACAGATTCACAGGCGTAGAAAACAGACTTGTAATTGCCAAGGGGGAGGGGGAATGAGGGGAGGGTTGGAGTGGGAGTTTGGCATTATCAGATGCAAACTAGTTTATGTAGAATGGATAAACAAGGTCCTACTGTATAGCACAGGAAACTATATTCAATGTTCTGGGATAAACCATAATGGAAAAGAATATAAAAAGTATATATATATAACTGAATCACTTTGCAGTATAGCAGAAATTAACACATTATAAACAACTATACTTCAATTAAAAATAATTTTAAAAATTAAAAATAAAAGTTATGGAAGTAGCACTCAGGTTTTTAATGACTTTTGTATAATAATTATGTTAAGCTATAATGCTTCTTTATGGTATGAACAGGTAAGTTTTAATATACAGTCTTAAATTCATTGAAAATTGCCTATACACTCCAAGGGCAATTTCCATCTTAATTAACATCTGGTGATGTTTGGTCCTGCCAACTTGGCTTCCAATTCTTGACTTCCCAGGCTCAGTCGGAATTTAGTCAAAGATAGTTTTATAGAAGACCAGCCTTCCACTTATATATAATTTGGTTGCTTTATACTCTGCCTATGGTGTTTATTCTTTCCAGTGTTCCTTATGCTCTGCAGTTTGGCCAACTAAATGGTTATTTTCTGATATTAGCAGCCAAATTTGAGTTCCTGAAGGCCTGTCAACAGAAGTCTTTTGCTTTCTAATAGTGAATTTGTATGTGTATTTCATAGTTCAGTTTATATTTTCTGTAAAATAGAAAACATTAGCAAACCTTTTCATTTTGTTTGGTCTGCTTGTAATAATGATGCCTTCCATTCATTTAGATGCAAGAATTGTGGACCAAAGGAATGTTAAATGCAAAAACCAGGTGCTGGGCTCAAGGCATGGATGGATGGCGACCACTTCAGGCAATACCCCAGCTTAAGTGGTGTCTGTTAGCCAGTGGACAGGCTGTACTAAATGAAACTGACCTTGCTACCCTTATATTGAACATGTTGATCACAATGTGTGGATATTTTCCAAGCAGGTAAAATGTAATTGAACATTTCCATGGTTAACAAGGACTCTAAAACATCTTGTTCTCCCCATTTGTATGGGTGCTTGCTAAGGCATGGGATTGTTCTAGTGACTTAGAGCAAAGGTTTTCTATTTGTGGCTTTGGGGGAATGCTGCTTTGGATTTTGGAGCTTTTTGAAGCAAGATATAAGAAAATAATTTGCAAATTTTATTGATAAAGTAAGCTAAAAAGCAACTTTCTCTGGGAAACTTCAAATAATGTTACAAAATTGAGGCTTACTAGCAGCTCTCTAGCAACAGTAACAATTGTCATATTCATTGAATCAGGTATGAAAGTTTTGAAATGAACACTCTGTGATTCATAGACCAGTGGTGAGTGCCTAGTGACTGCTCCTGATCTGTCAGGTTAGCCTCTCCTGGTTTAAGAACATGAGTCTAGGCCCACATCTTGCCCCGCTTGACTAGTGAAGGTGAGACTTTGTTATCCAGTGATAGTCATAATTATAACCCTTGCATGGAACTTTTCAATTTTTCAAACTTTTCAGTCAAAATTTGCATATATATCATCTTGTTTTATTACTATAGTAAAGATACTTTGTGATGGAATTTAATGAGTAATTGTTAATTTTATAGCATTCGAGGCTTTTATAGTTCCAGTTCTCTTTAAAATTCAGATCAGGCTTAAAAACATACAATTAGTATTTAGAAGTAATGTAGCACTAAAATTGAGGCTACACTTGGAAAATACTGAGAGTAGTTAAATTAAGGTTTACATTTATTGAAAAAGTTTGATATGCCCTTTGGGGGGAATATCCACTGACAGTGTGTTGGAAAACACCAAGTTTAAATAATAAATAAGAGTCTCTGGCTGTTCTAGGGTACTGTTTTTCAAGGAAATCTTTTGGAAGGAAATGAAGTCATATTAAGCAGCCAAATAGATTTAAACCAAAATACCTAATCATGTTCCCAGCTGTATGAGAGCTTAGTCTTCATTAACAAAAATGTAAGGTAACATGCTTCATGCCTAGTAGAATGTCATATGCTCTGAACATACAAATCTTAATAAATATATTAAATGTTGACCATAAAAAAATGTTTTTCTAGGGATCAAGATAATGCCATCATTCGACCTTTACCTAGAGTGAAAAGGCTGCTGTCAGACAATGCTTGCCTTCCCCATATTATTCAGGTAAGTTACTTTTATGTTATAAACTAGGAACAATATTTTAAGAATCATTTTCCCTTATTTAAGTTTATTGTGAGCCCCAGTCTTTGTCTTATTGTAGTATGTTCCATTTTCAAAAGGCCTGAATTATACTTACCTCACTTACTCCTAATTGAGTTGATATTCTGAATATACTGTGGAAGGTTGTGTATCCAAGAGCCTAGACATGGGAAGCTTCCATGCTCCAGAATTATTCTCATAAGGTTTTATTTATTATCTGTTCTTAAAATCACAACATTGTAATAACTGAAAGGTGACAGTTTGTGGTGCATGTTGGTGTTGTTAGGGGTACTGGGAAGCACACCAGCATCCCACAGATGTGGGCATGGTGGGTTATATCTTAAGAAATAGTTACAGCAGTCTTGTCAGCTTGCCTCAGAGTATTTGAGTCTTAGTTATATGTTATCATGGATAACAACTAATCCAAAGCATTGAGTTGAAATTATGTAGGATATACTAAGTATCTTTTCTTTCTTTCTTATTGTTATTCTGCTCTTTGGGAATTAAGCTACTTAAACTCCAGATGAGCCCTAAGTCAGGTCACAGAGATGTCAGGTCACTGTTTCTCTCCTGTCTATAGATTATTCTGTCAAATCTAATTTTTTTATATTAACCACACATGGTGTGGCTTTAAAATATGTCAGTAACTTGTGCCATTTGTATCTCTCAGTTGTACATTGGTGTGAAAAGGGAGAGGAGAGTTACTCAGTATATTTTTACATTCACCAATAGTGAAAGTCACTGGTAATGAAAAAGGCTTCTGAATATGACAGTACCTTATCAACTTTTAAAAGAATTTTCCCGAACTTCTGTTATTTAAGCATACCAGCATTTCAACATTTGTGCGCTTTTCTGTTGTGGGCATTTCTTTTCAGAGCCTTAATTGAAAGCCACTACCACCCTGGCCTGTGTGTGTCTGCAGCTGCATATGTGAAGTGGTACAAGGAGAGGGATTTGTTCCCTATCCCGGCCTCTCTCCTGTAGAGAAAGGACCATGCCTAGAAAATCTGTCTCTCCCAAACATTTTCCCAAGACTTATGAAACTGAAAGGAAAGAAGCAAGGTTGAATTTCAGGCCAGGGAGGATTGACTGAAAAACAGATTTTAAGAGGTGTGGTCAGTGTAACATGAAACTTTGGGGGGAAGATCTATTTTAATTAACAAAAATTTTTAATAGTAACTGAACAAGTAGGAAGATTGAAGAAATTTAGTGATAAACCTAGCTGCTTTTAACAGTATATGCCTCCCATATTTTTTTATACTGAGTTCAAAAAAACATTTCTTAGAAGCTGTTTTTGTTTTCACTTAATTTTCTATATTCTGGGAGGCCTTATTCTTGCTAAGCACAGTTAGGCAGTTGTAGCGGTTTTTAGGAACATTATCTATCTACATTGCTTGGTACAGATTTCTGTACATCATTTGACTGTAAGAGCAATCACCAGTTTTACCATCTGATACAGCTTCAGAATTTTTGGAGTCGTCTAAGATACAGTGAATGAATGTCCTAGGTTTTCTGATATAGTCACAATTTCAAATATTCTAGGTTGTTGCCTGTTAATTCCTGTATTTTTGTTAGAGTGATATCGAATCTTAAACACAAACACCATTAACACTGTTATTATATCTCAGTTTTTCTTTTGTAAAGTATATCATAGTACTGTTTTACTATGTATAATCTAAATACTTTGTTGAATAGGTAAGACACCAAAAACAGAGAAATTTAAATTACTTACTTAAAAGACATATGGCTATTCAGTCTCATACACTGAATCTAGAACTTTGACCCCTAATCTGAGCTAGTACTTATTCTTGTTATTGTAATTTTTTACTGGTAGCATTTGACTCCAAATTGGGAATTCTTCAGAAGTAAGTGTTTATACGAAATTGAAATGCCACTTTTATTAAAGAAATTTAATAAGTTTTATCTTATCAGGTGTTTAGTCATAGCAATACTGTATGCTTTTTTTTTATTAGCCCAGATTCATTCCAGTGATCCCAGATAGTTCCTTCAGTATTGCTAGCTCAGATTTCTGTAAACCACATATCTTGGTACTTTCTGGTAGTGGCACTACTGGTATTTGGTTACCCTCTTGCCTTGTACCTGCACTTGTAGATCTGTTTTTTAGTGCTGTTTCACTGAAAGCTGTTCTCTGCTCAGCTCTTTTGAGTTCTCAGATAGTCTTCAGAGGATGCTTCCTTTCAAATCAACTGACCTGAAACTAACCCAAAGGGTAGCTACTTTTTTTTTCTTCTTTTGTCATTAACAGAGAAATCCATTCAGGAAGATTCCTGCACAGGAAATAATTTTATCTATAATCATGACAAAGCAGCTTCAGGCATGTTTGCACTTTTTATGAATAAGTTTTGATCAATTCTTTATTAATATTTTACTATCTCTGCATTAAATGCTATAAAATATTTTTCAAATCTGTTTAGAACCTGGTAGACAGCATACTGAGTCTGATTTTTATTTTGTTACACTACTTATGAGAAACTGTAACCCCAGCACATGAAATGCATAAACCTAAGATGAATGGTGATGTTGCAAGTTTTTTACAGCCCAATAACCAGACATTTTATTTCGTTTTTTTTAGCTACTGCTGACCTTTGACCCTATCCTTGTTGAGAAGGTTGCAGTTTTGTTATATCGTATTATGCAAGATAACCCACAGTTACCTCGACTTTATCTTAGTGGAGTATTTTTCTTTATCATGATGTATACAGGTTCCAATGTGCTTCCTGTTGCTCGGTAAGAACTCTAGTGATAATCTATTTGAAATTACTTGAATTGTACATGGACAGATTTATTAAATTAGTTTTTTGTGAGCATATCATTGTATTTATTAAATTTTTCTTTATAAGAGCTGTTTATATATGTCTGAAAATTTGAAAGTTAGAAGAATAGGGGAGGACTTACCTGGTGGCGCAGTGGTTAAGAATCTGCCTGCCAATGCAGGGTACACGGGTTCGAGCCCTGGTCTGGGAAGATCCCACATGCCACAGCGCAACTAAGCCCGTGCACCACAACTACTGAGCTTGCACTGTAGAGCCCACAAGCTACAACTAGTGAGCCCACGTGCCACAACTACTGAAGCCGTGTGCCTAGAGCCCGTGCTCTGCAACAAGAGAAGCCACTGCAATGAGAAACCTGCGCACCGCAACAAAGAGTAGCCCCTGCTCACCACAGCTAGAGAAAGCCCACGTGCAGCAACAAAGACCCAACGCAGCCAAAAATAAATAAATTAAAAAAAAAAGAATAGGGGAAAAATTATTCTGAATTACACCATTTTACCACATCTAACATAAGAATTGTATCATCTAGTATTTTAATCATACAGATTTAACTATATTCATATTATATACAGTTTTACATTTTGCTTTTTTCTTAAAATTGAGTAATTTTTTAATATTAATACATAACTGTAATATGACCATAATTTAAATTTTTTTCTAATTCATTTAAGTTCTTGCCTTAATTAGAAATTAAACTGTTTGGGAATATGGATTTACAAGTTGCCTTTTGTGGCTCTTATTTACATATAAAAGATGTGGTCTTAAACAACAAGGTCATACTGTATAGCACAGGGCACTGATATTCAATATCCTTTGATAAAACATAATGGAAAAGAATATTAAAAAAAGAATGTCTATATGTGTATGAGTCACTTTGCTGTACAGCAGAGACTGGCACAACATTATAAATCAACTATTCTTAAAAAAAATCTGGTCTTAGAAAACTGAGGTTACTAAATCTAAATCAGTTCCTATACCTGATAAGTAATTTTCTTTTTCCTAGATTTTTGAAGTACACACATACCAAACAGGCTTTCAAGTCAGAGGAGGTAAGGCAAATTAATCCTCTGAATACGTGACTTAATACTGGGGAAGCTGTCTGGGCACTAAAGTTTACTTAGCTGTGAATTTTCCTTCCTTCCTTTCCTTATAAGCACTTGAGGGCAGGTATTGTTTTATTTTTTGCATTCCTTGTGGTACCTTGCACATAGAAAGTTTACGCTAATATTTTTAAAATGAAAATAAATGTTGCCTATTAGAATTAATAATTAAATTGTAGATACGAATTATAACCTGGCATTGCTATGAATATAATTTGTTCCCTTAGTGTAAAATTTACATTAGTAATGTTCATAAATAATTCAGTATATACCTGAGTCTCATATAGTCAGCTCACATTCAGTAAGACTTCCACCTTCTTTTTGTTCATATCCCAACATGTTAGAAGTGCTAAGTTTCTTTTTTGAAGCTACTTAATTCTTCAGGTGCTCTCAAGTATTATTGCCATTTTACTGGGGAGGAAAAGTAGGAATCCAAAAAAAAGATAAGACTTATCCAGGTAGCTCTGACAAAATGTAGCTTTATACCTGCATTTTACAGAGATATTTATTGTAAACACATAACTGAATTGTGTTTGAAATTTTGTTAGGCTTTTCATGGAACATTGATTTTCATATTTTATTAAGAGCAGAATAAACCAAAACTAGACCACTGTTTAAGAGACTAACCAAGGAATGTTACACCAGTCTGACAACAGACACAAGACCAAAACTGCATGTTTTATAGAGAGGCCAGTAAAGCCCTAGAAAGTTATCTGTCTACAGTCTAATAATACTAAAGTGATACCCATGGAAGTATGATTTCCATAGCTTTATGCAAATAGAAAATGAGAATATAAAGTTTTTAAAAAATTTGCCCCTATTGTTACCACCTTAATGTAACATTAGGCACTTTTAATCATTCTTTTTTTTCCTTTTTTTCTGTGAAGTTATGCATATGTAATCTTTTTCTTCAAATTTTATAATATGAGAAACTATATACATCATTTTCCCTAACAATATTTTGAATTACAGCCAAACAATATTTGTTTATAGCAGAACTCTAGATGTAGGAATTATGAAATAATAGTATTCTAAAGAAGAAGCAATTCTTCACCCCAAAGTTTAACAGATAGTCAGTTTATGGCTTTTATTAGTAAAAAGCCTGAAAATATTCATCATCTAATTTGTCTTTGCACTAAGTGGTAAAACCATGTCTGGATTTTTTCCCCCCTGTCTCTCTGTCAGATCCTAGAAGAATAAAACATCCTCAGTTTGCCTAGAAGGAAATAAGAAAAGTATTCATAGTCTTTAGGAATTTTTTCCATCAGGTAAAGAAATGAGTTTAAAATTTTAGCATGATAAATATGAACATTACCCTGACTTCATTTGGCCAGTCAGAGAATATGGAGTTCTTAGTACAGTTAATTATAATTACTTTGTATAGAAATACTCCATCTAAATTCTAGCCACATTTCATGAGGATAGGCTCTTTAAGATCTCAATTTTTCTGGACTTATTTTTGAAAACAGAAGCAGGTGCAGGTGGGAACTACAGCCAACGATGTAACACAGAATAATTGATGTAAATCTTTGCAGAGTCTTCCTTGTGTTGTTCATTACTGTTATACATGGTCAAAGGCTAATTGTGCTAAATAATGTTGGCAACACCTGACCGATGAGGAGGTTAAGGCTACTGCAGGGTTAGAGCGGGTAGTTCCACCTTGGAGTTCATGCCAAGCCAGTTTATACCAGACACCTTGCACTTCTCATTTTGCCATTTTTCCATCTAAATTTCAAAAGCATAAAAGCAGTATGTTCCAGTTATTCTCCTTTCTTAAAATGTTCTCTAACCCCAATTCATTTATTAGAAAACTGAAAGATAACTTTAGTGTTTCTGATTACGTTTTGTTTTTTTTTTTTTTTAAAGACGAAAGGACAAGATATTTTTCAGAGAAGTATACTTGGGCACATTCTACCAGAAGCAATGGTTTGTTACTTAGAAAATTACGATGCTGAAAAGTTTGCTGAGATTTTTCTAGGAGAATTTGATACTCCAGAAGCAATCTGGAGCAGTGAAATGAGGTAAATAGCCAGCTGATTGTATTTTATACACAGAATCTTTGCCTCTTCCCATCTGGTTTGACTTCTGTGAAAAGATTTCCTTTCACTAGTTACATAATCTAAAGCTACAGTAGTCATTGGTGCCAAATCAGGTGACTGCTGTTGACAAGGCCCTGAGCTTTTTTCTGTTCTAAGATGATTTGACAAAATTACTGTTACCTTAATAGAGCTTTATATAAGGGTGGAGCCTATTACCACTGGTGCTTTTAGACAATGAATTAATATCTATGTAAGAGATATATAGGAATAAAATCAAGACACTCCTTCTGGGTATTTGGAAATAGAACTGTACCCCACTAATTAAAAACTATGCCCACATGGAATGGATCAGTCTAGAGATACCCACAATCATTTTAGAATGAGGGCTCCCTAGCCAGCACATATTGACCATAATCTGGAGGTTAGCAGGAGAATGCCATAGGAAAAGCCTGTTTCCACCAAGAAAAAGGAGAGGCCCAGAAGCAGATGTCAGTGTCCAGGCAGGCACTGTCCAGGAAAGACTCGGCAGTTAATGGTTCCAGTGTCAAGTCTGGCTCTCTGGAGAACCCCTTGGTCTTCTTAGCTGGATGGCAGTTGATCTTCTGAGTCAGTTACTCACTCTTCTTTGGCTGACTCATACTCACAATGCCACCTGCTCGTCATCATTTGGCTTCTCTGATAGGTTGACCTACAGGCTTGGCATATGCTAGCCATCAATTTGAATATATTCTGTATGAATATTCATATAGAAAATTGAAAATTTTCAATTTGAAAATTGAAATTTCATATTGAAAATATTCATATTTTTCATTGGGAACAAATGTATAGGAACATGAATACGTTTATTACAGTTATTCTGTATAATATTTTTCTCCGGAGATTGGTTAGTATGAGTCTCTCATCTAAAAGATGTAGCTCTCTGTATACTGAGCAAATCAATTTTCTGCTTAGCTGAGGGCCAGATCCCAGGTTGTGCTACATTAACTAAAATAAAGACCAGGCAGTGAGCTTCTTTGGGGTGATAGCTAACTTGATTCTGTGGCTGTGCCCTCATGCATGCAGATTCCATACCATTTGACTTTCTAATGACTGAATTTTCAATAAGAAGGACTGATATTGTCAGCCTTTTTCTCTATGGTCTTCTTTATAGATCATATTACAAATAAGTTTATATGCATGGAGTGTTTTTACATAGTAAGTTTAGAATACTCTGAGTAACATTCTTACAAGCTCTCATTTTAGGCCAATAACTAAGTTATTCTGAAGAAGATCCATTTAATTACCTTGAATGATTACCTGTCTTAACCTTTTCTTTAAAATAGAATAAAATAATGCCTTCATAATGCTTGGAGACTTTTCTAATTGTAGGCGCCTTATGATAGAGAAGATTGCTGCCCATCTTGCTGATTTCACACCTCGTCTTCAGAGTAACACAAGAGCACTTTATCAATATTGTCCCATCCCAGTTATCAACTACCCACAGCTAGAAAATGAACTATTTTGTAATATTTATTACCTCAAACAACTTTGTGATACATTCCGGTTTCCAGATTGGCCAATTAAAGACCCGGTAAGTCAGCAGATTAATTTTTGCCTTCTTAAACCGTAAAAAAACCTCTAATCACTTCTGGGTATTTCTTCTTTCTGTGATAAGAAGGATAATAGCTTTCTTAAATATTCCTCCTTACTTAAGCACTGTGTAATTCTTTCTTAAATATTCCTCCTTACTTAAGCACTGTGTAATTCTGAGTGTAGTTCAGTACATTTGGGTAAATCCCAAACTGAAAGAGTTTTTTCAGGGAGCATAAAAGGACTTTACAATCTTGATCTTTTGTGACAAAAACAAAACAAACTCAATTTCATGTATATAATACAATTACATACTATAATACCTTGGTGGAAGCTCATCTTTATAGGAGATTCATTAAGCTCACAGATGCTGGAGTTAGGCAGTCTGGGGTTGAGTTTCAGTTTGGCCATTAATGGCTCTGTATGTACATTCAGTGTACCGCTTGACTTCTCTAAGCCTCAGTTATGGTAATAGTACTACTACTACCAATAGCAACTGTTTCATGTGGTGGTTGGTAAGATTAAGTGAGAATTCATATAAAAAAACACAGCATATTCCTGGCACACACTGGAGGCAGTAAGTGTGACTTGCACATTTGTATAGTAGTATCTGCTGTCGCAGTGCCCTTGGGACCCGTCCAACTTGAGCCCCTGGATACCTAGTGAAAGCCTGGAATAAAGTAGGCCTGGGTGCCCCTGTTGGTCTGTTACTATAGCAGAGGTTTTACCATTACCCTTACCATCAGAAGACTTAAGAACAATTGCCATTTGTACCACCAGGCACTGCCTCTTTACAGTGCAATGACCAAATGAAGGCAGGTAGACACTGCTGCTTGTTCCGGATTCAACATGAGATAGCAGAAAAAGTGTGGGCTTTTTAGTCAGACCTAGGTTTGAATCCAGCTCCATCACTTATTAACTGTGAAGTATGCAGCTGTCTCTCAGAACCTCAATGTTTTCATGTATTACTGAAATTTTATATAAGAATTAAATCTGCAGTCTGTAAAGCACATACCTTCTTGGCACATAGGCATGCAGCAAATATTAGCCCTCTTCTTCTCACCCCTACCCAGACTCCCTTGTGTTCACTATCCCTTATGTTTGTTTGAATACCAGTATACCAGTAATTATGTTAGATCACCTTGAGAAGCATGCGATCATATACTGCTTCCTCTCTTACTACAGTGAATGCTAATTCCAAAGTTTTCTGTACTTTCTGAACGTTTCTTTAACAGTTAAAAGTAGAGACAGGGCTTCCCTGGTGGCGCAGTGGTTGAGAGTCCATCTGCCGATGCAGGGGACACGGGTTTGTGCCCCGGTCCGGGAAGATCCCACATGCCGCGGAGCAGCTGGGCCCGTGAGCCATGGCTGCTGAGCCTGCGCGTCCGGAGCCTGTGCTCTGCAACGGGAGAGACCACAACAGTGAGAGGCCCGTGTACTGAAAAAAAAAAAAAAAAAGTAGAGACAAAAATTGGCAGAGAATTAAAATATCACTTTAGGGACTTCCCTGGTGGTCCAGCGGTAAAAGAATCTGCCTTACAATGCAGGGGACGCGAGTTCAATCTCTGGTCAGGGAACTAAGATCCCACATGCCACGGGGCAACTAAGCCCGGGCACCACAACTACTGAGCTCTCGCGCCTCAAGTAGAGCTCACGTGCTCTGGAACCCGCGCACCACAACTACGGAGCTCATGTCCTCTGGAGCCGCCTGTCACAACTAGAGAAGCGAGAAACCCGCACACCACAACTAGAGAGAAGCCTGCGTGCTGCAGCAAAGGATCCCGCATGCCTCAACGAAGATCCTGTGTGCAGCAACTAAGACCTGACACGGCCAAAAATAAATTTAAAAAAAATAAAATAAAATTAATAAATAAATAATAAAATATTACTTTTAAAAAATATAGCCCCATAACAAATACCTTGCTATCTGACCATTTAACAGTGCTAGAAGGTGATTTTGGTTATTTGTATTTTAGAAAGCTGTTAATTGGTTAGCCTAGAAATGTCAGTTGAAATAAATACAGCACAACAATTCTGTAATTTAAAAATTATATTCTGAAATAGTTTTACTTTAATAGATATAAATTTTAATTCTCTGTCTTTAAGGTTAAGCTTCTAAAAGATACCCTTGATGCCTGGAAGAAGGAAGTAGAAAAGAAGCCACCTACAATGTCAATAGATGATGCTTATGAAGTGCTTAATCTCCCTCAAGGACAGGGACCGTGAGTCATTTTCAGTATCATCTTCCTCCTTCTTGCAGTTTGTGTTATACATGAGGAAGAGATTTGACAACAGTGTGTCTAGGATCGTAAATGACAAACGTATAGGAAAGAATGCAGATTTAATTTATCATCAGTGAAGTTTTATAGTAGAATAGATATGTTAGAGAAAAAGTTTAAAAGACATTTTAAGTATAGACTGAATTTGTTCATTTTTGACAAGGCTGATAGTTAAAATAACTTAGAATTATAGTTTGAAGTGACAATTTGAAAAGTTAGTTTAAAATTCTTAGTTCTTCAAAACCTAAATATGGTTTTGTAATTTGAAGTGAATATGGTAACCTTGCATAGGGAATGTTTAGGTTTTATCTTTTATGTGTAAAGATAACACATAGGAATCATCTTACTTAAATCTTACTGGGTTTAATTTGATATCTACTATATGATCATATACAGTAAAAGTAAGATTCTTAAAATATCATTTTAGATGATTGTGTAAGTACTTTCTTGCACCTTACTTAAGCACTTTTAGATGATTTTAGATGATTGTGTAAGTATTTTCTTGCACCTTACTTAATTCATGAAACAGTTTTCCTATTTTGTAGGCATGATGAGAGCAAGATTAGAAAAGCTTACTTCAGACTTGCACAGAAGTACCACCCTGATAAGAATCCAGAAGGGAGGGTATGTACTGCCTTTGGAATTAGGGCTTTGGGGTTGACTTACTTTTGCTTTATTACTATTTCAGGCAGAGGAAAGATACGCTCATCTTATGCGCCAGTGTCTGCCTCATAATATATGTCCAGTATATGTTTAATTAACCTCTGACCCACGTGCCCAAGTTTTCAGCGTAAATGATCTTCTCTCATTTTATCAAAAGGACTACACTGTGACTAGTAACTTTTGGGTTTTATTCTCTTTCCTTACCCATGTCGGTTTGAGAATTAACTCTAATGGGCAGTCACATGAATAACTGAAAATTAGGATATGGGTGAACTTAATTCATTTGTAGTGATGCCATTGCCACCCAGATTGCTTTGGGCAATTTATTTTTTTCTAATGACATCCAACTTCATATCACTCTTAATGAAAAAGTAGAAAATTTGCTTCAGACTTAAAGTCATCTGCTGCCAGCATTCCCTGATCTTGTCTTTTCCAGCTTCCTACTACAGCGCCAATGGAGATTCATAAAAGATAAAATCAGACAAGGACCAATAAAAACAGTACTCATAGTTTGTTGCTAGAAACTTGGAGTAATTTCCACTGATTCAGGGCTAGTGTTTTTTATTAGAGACAGGCAGTATTCCTGAATAGGAAGACAGCATTGAAAAAATGTCACTTTTATATGTTTAAGGCATTTTTAATCAAAAGCCTAGGACATTTTTTGAGAAATCTAAAGCAATTCAAATTCATCTGGGAAAGAAAACAATCAATATAGGAAGAAATTTTGAAATTAGAATTAAGTTGCTAAACTTAAACTACCAGATATTAAAATACTCTATAAAACTGCAATAGTAAAATAGTATTATATTGGCACAAGGATCAACATATAGATAAGGAACATTATAGTATAGTAGTTTAAGAGCACAGATAGAGTCAGACCTGGGTGTGCGTCTTAGCTCTGTGAGCAATGGGCTTTGTGACTTTAGGCAAGCTAACATCTTTAAGGTGAGGTTAATAAGGGTACACACCTCACAAGGCTGTTTTGAGGATTAAGTGAGATAATGTATGTAAAGCATTTAGCACAGTGCCTGCCATAGTGCTCAAAAAACAGTAGTTCTTATCATAACTATTTTTGTAACAACTCAGAAACTATCTCTGGTGTGTATGAGTTTAATATGACATATATGGTATAAGCTACTGAAGAATAATTTTCAGTAAATGGTACTGAGATCATTGAATAAGTATTTGGAAAAAAAAATTGTTTCACCTTAAAAGTATACCACCTATATTACAGTTGGAATGAATCCCTTTATGTAAAAAACAAAACAAAATAGTAACCAAAGAATTTACTGGCAAAATACAAATCATCTGTGTTCTAAGTTGTAATTCGAGATGTTAACAAAAGTTAATTGTCTTTGGTTACATGCAGGATATGTTTGAAAAGGTAAATAAAGCCTATGAATTTTTATGTACCAAATCAGCAAAAATAACAGATGGACCAGATCCAGAGAATATAATTTTAATTCTGAAAACACAGAGCATCCTCTTCAACCGTCATAAAGAAGGTAAGGCATGTGTTATTCTCAAATTTTGATTTACCCTCCAGCTAATTCTACCATGCTTCTTGTTTCTGCAGCCTATTTCTAATTATTATTGCAAAAGACTCTTAGAATTGCATTTTAGATATAGTAAAAGAGTAGTTTTCTGTAGTTAGAATAGTTTACATTTCCAACCAGATTTCATTGTTCCGTCCTAAAGTACATTTCTGTTCTCTGGAGGTACTTGGTTAGTTTTTGTCTTTAGCCATTTAGCAGTAAACATATTAACTGAGATATAAAATGGACCTGGCATTTAAGGATCATTAAATGTCTTTTATAAGACTGTACCTATCCATAAACCTCTAAAGGCTGAAAACACCAAGAGTGTTCTGGTTTTTAAAAAGCAACAGAAACTTTTCAAATGATCCTATATATCCCTTCACACCTCATTTCCTGTGGTAGCTTTCGAAACCCTCTGATCCTGTGGGACAGTTTGAAAAATTTATAGATAAAATAGGTGTGATTTTGTAACCAAAAGTGGGATCCAGCTGCTCACCATTCAAAAGCCAATAAAGAGGCAAGGTTGGTGGAAAGGAAAGTTTGCTTTATTTTGGATGCCAGTAATCAAGGGGGTGGGGTGGAGGAAGGGCAGCTGCCTGTTCAAAGGCTGATTCCCCCCACCCCAAACCAGTGGGCAAGAGGTTTTATAGGCTGAGGGAAGGGGCTACATGCAGAAACAGTCCAGTCAGCTCTGACAGTCATCTTAAAATTGGTCATGTGGTGGTCTGACCAGTGTCATCTTGATTGCTTTAAGTACAGTTAGTCTTCAGTTCCAGGGTCAGTTTGTTCCCATTTCCTTGAGGCCACTTCTCAGAATTGTGGCAGCTTATGTCATGGCTATAGTCTGGTCATCATGTAGTTAACTTCTTCCACCTGGTAGGAGTTTTCAGTATCTATAAGACAGCTCACAGGACATGGCTCAGAACATTATCTGTAGCCTTTGAGGAGGAACTAAAGGTCCTTGACTTTGCTTAATGACTAAACTATTATTTGGTCTCCTTTGACTGTTTGCCTTTGTTTCTGTATTTCCTCACTTCTCTGATTAAACTTATTCTTTGGCTAAAGTTTTTGCACAGGTGGAGGACATGGAGGGCAAGGACCATAGGGTCCTGCTCTGTTTCAATTTCAGGATACAGGTTATTGGAAATCTCCAGCATGTTTTCAGGGCTATTTAGTAGCAGCCAGAAAGCTAGGAGCACGTTGAGAATTTTTAAGACTCTGTTGAGGGTGGGAGTTGGGTTCAATATGGCATGTGTCCATTGGCTTGGGAACTAAACTTGTCTTACACACAAAGTGGGAGACCCATTTGCTCTATAGGATGATGGGAGAAAAGAGAGGACAGTGGGGATCTGAGATAAGCAGGAGTGTTGGGTAACTGAAGACAAGTAGGGTTCCAGTTTAAGTATTGGAGGGGACAGCGTAGGGATTGAGCAGCTTGGTCATTAGAGAACAGTGATTAATTGATTCACTTTTGCATATGAACTCAACAGAAAACATTTGTAAAGCATTTAGTTATATGGCATTTATCACTAATCAGAATGAGTTTAAAGAAGTCTTTTTCAAACCATTGGTTGTTTTTTGATGGCTGGTAAATCTATATTAGCCACAAGGTGCAGTTGTAGCTCATCATTGGTATATTATCAAGGTCAGAATGTTTTTTCAGGCTGTCTTCCACTTTTCCCAAAGGGGGTTTATACTCAGTAAGTTGGGATGGGGGTCCTGATCTGATAGAACTTAACATTAATTCACTCTTCTTCTTATGTATGTATGTGTTAGGACTACTGGGACCAGTTCCAAGGGGCTTTTTTTTTTTAAGCCATCTTAGAAATGAGTTAATTTAAAGCAGATTATTTGTCATCTTCAAAAGGCAAAAAGCTTTATGCTGATTTCAAGTGGGATGACAGAGATACTTATAAAGTCAAAGCCAATTAATTTACATATTTCCACCTCATAGGTTAGTTTAAAAAAAAAAGAATGAAAAGAACAGGAATTGAGCACCAGTATATTTCAGATTTCACTTTTAAATTTGCTTGTCAAAATATGGAATTAGCCAAATACAGTTAATAAATTAACTTTCTATTTTGTATTCATAGTAACAAATTATATTCAGTATTTTCAAACATTTATTTTATGATAACTGGTAAAATAGGAAAGTACTCCTGTTATTCAGAAAGCAGAATATAAAATATTCACTCATTTAAATCAAATGTTTCTATCTCTTTATAAAGAGGTATGGGTCTCTGGTGCATTGGCTATGTCTTGCTGTCTGTGATCAGGTGAAAAGTTATAAAGATCACATGGACAACATAGAAAACATAGATATTTTGCAAAGGATCAAAACCACTATACACAAAGTTCAGTTTTAATCTACCAGAAAATACTCTTTTTCTAGTGGAAACATTTTAGAAAAGTCCACCAAACAAGTTTGCTAGTTGAAAAGATCCAAGGGATTTGTACTTGGTTTAATTTCTTTTTATAAACTAGAATTAGGAAACATTTAAGATGTTGCATATTTTAATCTCTTTTTTTTTGGCAACATAATTGAAAGTAGTGTCAAAATTAACTTAGAACCATGATTATTTCAGATTTACAGCCTTATAAATATGCAGGCTACCCCATGCTAATTAGGACAATAACAATGGAAACTTCAGATGACCTCCTTTTCTCAAAAGAATCACCATTGTTGCCTGCTGCTGCAGAGCTGGCTTTCCATACTGTTAACTGCTCAGCCCTCAATGCTGAAGAGCTCAGAAGGGAGAATGGAATTGAGGTAATATGGAATGACCTTTGTCCTTGTCTTTAAGCTAGTTTAGGCAAACTGTATGTCTCTTAGCAATAAATAATTCACCAAGTACAAATACAGTTGATACAGTTTCTTTAATTTTTTGCAACAGATAACAATATTCTGTATATTATAATACCAAAATTAAAATAAATGGAGCTTTATTTCACAACGTGAATTGGAGAATATTGGATTCAAAATTGGTGAGCTTAATATTACTTGCAAAATAGCATAGTGGGATGCTTAAAAAAACTTCAGGGTCCTTTGTTTACTTGTTTATTTAACAAATGTTAATTGAGCAAATATTTCTTTGCCAAGTTTCAGATATTAAAAGGTTATTAATGTTTTATCCCTACCAGAAAAGGCTTTTCAGACTCCAACTCAAAATGGAGAGTTGATGGCTGTCTTCTTTTTCTGCAGGTGTTACAAGAGGCATTTAGTCGCTGTGTGGCTGTCTTGAATCATTCTAGTAAACCAAGTGACATGTCTGTACAGGTAAGACTAAAACATATGGTTCCAAGAAAGTTACGCTAGACTAGTAGTTCAGACTTTAACATCTGTAAGAATCACTTGGAGGGCTCATTAAAACCTGGGTTGCGGGCTTCCCTGGTGGCGCAGTGGTTGGGAGTCCACCTGCCGATGCAGGGGACGCGGGTTCGTGCCCCGTCCGGGAGGGTCCCACGTGCCGCGGAGCAGCTGGGCCCGTGGGCCATGGCTCCTGAGCCTGCGCGTCCAGAGCCTGTGCTCCGCAACGGGAGAGGCCACAGCAGTGAGAGGCCCGCGTACAGCAAAAACAAACAAACAAACAAAAAACCTGGGTTGCTGAGCTCTGCCTCCCAGGTCCCCTGCCCACAGAGTTTCTGATTCAGTATGTGTGGGGTGGGGCGTGAGAATATGCTTTTCTAACAAAATTGCCAAGTGATACTGATGCTGTTGGTCTGTGTATCACACTTTAAGAACCACTGTGCTAAATCATACGTAATCTGTTGGCTTAATTTTTTTTTACCCAGTTTCAAACATTTGTCATTTTGCCATTTTTATTTCACTTATTTTCTATCCCCTTCCTTAATTTCCTTCTCTACCTCCCTCTCCCATCCCTAGTGTTTTCATTGGCTTTTTTTCTGTTGAATTCTTTAATAGAAAATCCATCAGGAGTTCATTAAGATCAGTGTAGATGCATCTTTTTATGTGGCCTTTTGTTTATGCCAGCAAAATTTAGAATATAAAACAATCGAGTACAGGCTTTTGAGTTTCATCCTTATTTTTAAGTACAGTACATTATTAGAATTCTGGACAAAAATACTTTATTCCAGAGGTTGGCAAACTTCTTTTTATAAAGGGCCAGAGAGTAAATATTTGAGGCTTTCAAGTTATGTACAGTCTGTTGCATATTTTTATTTGTGATTTTTGCAACTCTTTCAAAATGTAAAAACCATTCTTAGCTTTCTGGCCATACAAGAACAGGGTTGACTTGGCCTGTTAGCCTTAGCGGCCATGGTTTGCCAACCCTGCATCTATAGGGAATCTTAACCAGAAATACTAATAATTCGATAGAAATGTTCTGTTTAATTTTGGAGTGTCATATATACCATTAAGCATTATTCACGAATCTCCGCTGATTTGATTTCCACTGTCTTAAATAAGGAATGCACATGTGACCTTTTTTTTTTCTCTCTTATGTTGTCTGCAGGTGTGTGGACACATAAGCAAATGCTATAGTGTGGCCGCTCAGTTTGAAGAATGCCGAGAGAAGATCACAGAAATGCCTGGCATCATCAGGGATCTCTGTCGGGTGCTCTATTTTGGCAAGGTAGAGGTCATCTTTACCACTTTCTGGATTCAGTCAGCAGTGGGTTTTCTTGTCAAGTAGCCAGTCCCCAATTTATTAACTAGTTGTTTTCCTAAAAGTATTTTCAAGTAAATTACATTTTTCACTAAAGCCTTGCTGTAAATGGTGGCTTTTGTTCCTGGGCTGGCCCACAAAGAGTAAGACTAGAGTGACATATCTAGAGGGAAGTTGGTCTCATGTGAATATTTGAACAGAGGCAAGGAAGCAAGAGAGAAGACTAGACTAAATCAATCTAATGAAAGTAAAGGACCACGTAAAACCCGAAACTTAAGAGTTGAGTCATTGCCTGGTGGAAAAGCTATAGGGATCTGAGAGCTTGCTGTTTCCTCCCAGTCTGGTACTGCCAGGGGAAGTTGTCTGTGGGTGATGTGATAGGTGGCTGGGAAGGAGAGTGATTTCTCAGGTAACTGGGCAGAGTGACAGTTGTGTTGGAATAGAACAGGATTAGGGTGCTGATCCCAGGCTAAGGTATCTAGAAATAAGGAATCTGATGAAAATAATGTCCTCAACTATATTTACTTGATGTCCTTAGAAGTGTTTAATAAGAATGCAAAGTCTGGTATAAAGAAGTAAATCTGTACACCTGCACTAAAGATATCATTGATACACTTAAGATCACTAGCACATGCGTTGCTATTAATGCCTTATCAGTATTTTTAAAAATTAAAAATACAAGAAGTGAAACAAAGAAAACTGTATTCCCAAGTCTTTGACACTAACTAGCCTCAAAGATAGTAATTCTGATACAGATCAAAACCACAATGAGCTATCACCTCACATTAGTGAGACTGGCTATCACCAAAAAGTCTACAAATAATAAATGCTGGAGAGGATGTGGAAAAAAGAGAACCCTCATACACTGTTCACGGGAATGTAAATTGGTACAGTACAGCCACTATGGAAAACAGCATGGAGGTTCCTTAAAAAAACTGAAAATAGAGCTACCATATTATCCAGCAGTTCCACTCCCGGGTACATATCTGGAAAAATGAAAACACTAATTTGAAAAGATACATGTACCCAACGTTCATAGCACTATTTACAATAGCCAAGATATGGAAACAGCCCAGGTGCCCATCAACAGACAATTGGCTTAAGATGTGTATACACACACACACACGCAACAGAATGTTATTCAGCCATAAAAAAGAATGCTGCCATTTGCAGCAACATGAATGGACCTTGAGAATATTAGCTTAATATAATAAGTCAGAGAAAGACAAACACTGTATATCACTTATATTTGGAATCTAAAACATAATACAAATGAATGTATATACAAAACAGAAACAGACTCAGACATAGAAAATAAACTTATGGTTACCAAAGAGAAAAAGGAGAGAGAGGTGAGAAGGGACAAATTAGGAGTATGGGATTAACAAATAAAACTACTATACATAAAACAGATAATAAGGATCTACTGTATAGCATAAGGATTTATACGCAGTATTTTGTAATAACCTATAATGGAATATAATCTGCAAAAAATCAAATCTCTATGCTCTACACCTGAAACTAACACAATATTGTCAATCAACTATACTTCAATTTAAAAATTAATTAATTTTCTAAAAATAGGAATTCTGTGTCTTTTCACAGGGTTACTTTTAATTTTAGGCTTTAAAAGATATAGGATTCAGATATAAACTGGTATTGAAAATATAAGAGGAGGTAAACACACAATAAGTTAGCTAGCTTGACATACATTGGCAGCCTGTTTCTCTTGGGAGCTTTTTTTTTAATCCTGTAATTAAGTCCATTATTCTTATTCTCAGAGTATTCCACGAGTGGCAGCTCTTGGGGTAGAATGTGTCAGCTCTTTTGCTGTGGATTTCTGGCTACAGACACACCTATTGCAAGCTGGAATTTTGTGGCATCTGCTTGGTTATCTGTTTAATTATGACTACACACTAGAAGAGAGTGGTATTCAGAAAAGTGAAGAAACAAACCAGCAGGTAACCTTAACACTACTTAAACATTGAATTTGAACCCATACCGTAGGTTAATGCAAAGCAAAGCCCTAGCTCAAAGCCTCAAAGGCATAAACTGTTTTTCAAGATTATTAAGTTTATTGCTCTTTAAGCCCCCAAACTTTTTTGTTGTTGTTGTTGTTATGGTACGCGGGCCCTCTCACTGTTCTGGCCTCTCCCGTTGCGGAGCACAGGCTCTGGACGTGCAGGCTCAGCGGCCATGGCTCACGGGCCCAGCCGCTTCGTGGCATGTGGGATCTTCCCGGACCAGAGCAGGAACCCATGTCCCCTGCATCGGCAGGCGGACTCTCAACCACTGCGCCACCAGGGAAGCCTTAAGCCCCAAAACTTTTTATCTTAACCACTTATCCCGGAAGGATTCAAGGCAAGGGAATTTGCAATAGCATATTCTGCACATAACTTAATCTTTTCTTGAGTACTCAGAGTCACCTTTATTTTTGCAAAATTATGGTTGTGTATCTCAGGGAGATCCTAACAGTGCTGTTGGGGCTAGCTCCCCTAAACACTTGAGAACTTAGGTGATTTTTACAGATATTTTTTTCTGTCCTTTCCTGTTCACTGTCATTCATTACTCATTGTGATATGTGCCTGTAGCGATCAGATCTACCTACCCATCCCTATTCCCCACCCTATCCCCCAATGTGCTTGTTCCAGTTATCTACAACATACCATATTAGGTATAAATGAGTACATAGATTCTGATGGTCTTTCATATAAATAAAAGAATAAGCTCTGATGTCAGTGTTGGGGACTTTTTTGTTTCTTTTTTTTTGCTTTCTGTTCCTTAATATGTTCCATACTGTTTTGATTCCATAAAGGTACTGTTGCCTGTGTAAGATAACAGATCTATTTTAATGTCTTAATGTCTTAATTTTTTTATAACAGGAAGTAGCCAACAGTCTTGCCAAACTGAGTGTCCGTGCTCTGAGTCGCCTTGGAGGGTATCTGCCTGAAGAACAAGCAACACCAGAAAATCCAACCATAAGGAAAAGTGTAGCTGGCATGCTGACCCCCTATGTTGCTAGAAAACTTGCTGTAGTTAGTGCTACTGAGGTATGTGCTTCAGAAGTAGCCTGGGTTTTTGATAAATACTGCAAGATTCTTTAGATAGTAGAGGAATATAACAATGTTGATTGCTCTTGGAAACCTAAAAATTGAAAATGTTCACATGCTTGTTCTCTCAACTAAGAAATTTGGTTTGTTGTTGTGGCTTGATGCTGATGTTATCATATCAGCTCTACAAGTCCAGTCTCTCTGTAAGGGTAGATTAACTTCATGTTTCTCAGCTGTAGAGCTCCCCATAATTCTTGATAATATTGAATCAGAAATGAACAGGACAAGAGAGTGAACTTGGAATGGACAGAGGACTGGGAGTCAGGAGACCCAGATTCTATTTTTAGCCGTTTGTTATAAGCTATAACTTGCTTACACTCAGCATGGAAATCCTAAAAGTCAGTATGTACACACATATGCATTCATGACAAAAATAAGTATGATCGTGGCAGATCGCCCAACCTCTTCTGTGAGAATCATTGAGAAACAATCTAAGCATTAGAGAATTGACCTATAGAAATCCATTAAATAGAATATCTTGAAGCCTCAAATTGTAAAGGTATATGGGAAGACATTAGAAGATGTTTAAAGTATTTTAAGTGAAAAGATTAAATCCCATTTTTGGTATTAAAAAATTGAATGGATGGATCTGTATCAATATGTTAACTGTAGTTATCCCTGAATTGTAGAATTGTAGGCTATTTTATTTCATTTTCTCTGATAATCATCTAATAGTTTTAGAAGAAAAAAGGCCTCAGTGTTCCAAATGTAAAATATTTTTAGAATTTATAAACAGCTTATTTGTTTTTTTAATCTAATCTGATTGAGTCTGTTTTCTGGTGCAAGACACTGCCTTTCAGATCCCCTGAGTAAGAGAGAAGTGCTTTAGATGCCAATCTTGATCTTGGTTCTTTTTCCGGACTTTGTGTTCACCAGTGTGAAGTATTTTGCTGACTGAAAACACTCTTTCCAGAAATACTAACAAGTTGTTGATTAACTACTACAGGAAAGAAAAAAAAAAAGTAACACTTCAAAATTTTGGCCTGGACTCCATCTGGATTTAATAAAATACTTATTTTAAACTGCCACTTCTCAGAGTTTTAAAATTTTCTTCATGATAAATTTTTTCAGTTATTTTACTTAACTGGTAGTTCATGTTTTGAAAACAAGGGTTGGATGTCTTTTTGTAAGATGGAGGTAATAACCCACTGCTTTCCTCCTAGCACAGAGCTCTGTAAATGTAAAGTGTAAAAAGTTCTTATTAAAACATTTAGAGAATTCCTGGTATCCCAATGGTTAGGACTCTGCTCTTTCACTGCCGAGGGCCCGGGTTCAACCCCTAGTCAGGGAACTGATATCCCACAAGCCACAAGGCACAGCCAAAAAACAACAACAAAAAACATTTAAAGGAGAGTTAAATGTCTATGTGTACACTTAAAATTGAGGAGAGCTAAACAAAGGGAAAGCACCCTGGATGGCTAAGCAGGCATAAGCTATGTCTGCAGAACTACAAGGTTTGGCCAAGAAAACCGGAACTGAGTCTCTGCCCATAAATATTACTTCCCTTCCTAGGAGTATGCTTCATAAAGACTTAGATTTTGTTTTCAAATATATGTATGTAAAGGCAGTATGGTATGATTCTTTTTAAGCTTACATTTACTGAGTTTATAAAATGCTTTAACACAGGATATCATATGTAATTTTCACAAAGCAGAGCAAATGTTAAGAATGTGAAGTCAAAACGGACTCAAATTTGAATCCCAGTTTCACCACTTAAGGGTTGTGAGACCTGGGGCAAATAATTTGATCTTTCTCAGTCTTGATTTTTCTCAGCTGCAAAATGGAAAATATTAACATACTTGGTAGAATTACTGAGATCTGTTATACTTAAGGCACCTATTACGGTGCTTGGCATGTCATAGACAATTTTAATGAATGGTAATTTCAATATATTTCCTAAATATTATAAAACAGTAATGTTCTTTCTCCTAGATTTTGAAGATGCTTAACAGTAACACAGAGAACCCCTATTTGATATGGAACAATTCTACAAGAGCAGAGCTACTTGAATTTCTTGAATCCCAACAAGAAAACATGATTAAAAAAGTATGTTATTGTTTTATAAATTACTTACTCTAATGGAATCTCTGGAAATATAACTTAGTATTGACGAAACAGAAACCCATTATTTCTCTATTGGGTGTTGATCAAGCCTATAGGTTTTGCTACCTAATATTTGGCCCATTTAATAATAGCATTCTTATTATATTTAATATACATTAGGATTTTTTGTTGTGTTTTTAGTTACCATTTACATATAGCTGTCTTCTATTTTAACCAGTTTTTGTGCCCAGAAGCTCTGTTTTAATTGTTCTCTTTAGCCTCTTTTCCCCAGTAAATTAAAATTGCTTTCTGGTATCAAAATTGAATAATTTCTCCTATCCTGCCACCTTCTAGAGGAGAAACTATTAAGCCATGAGAAAAACAAAAGACAGTAAGTAGAATGGGAAATAAGGAGAAGGCCTGGATAACACATACATTAGATGGTTGAGTCTTGATTGTTTAGAAGAAGTTGTGCTTTGGGGTTTGGACTTCATTAAAGAGTAACCATCACTGGGTGTCCTGAATTATTCAAAATTTAGTTTTGAATTCATTTCATGATAGTCACTCAGAGCTCTTCATTGATAGAAGTTTTGAGAATTACAGAGCTAGGGAGAATAAGTCTCAGATTTCTATGTATCATCTATTCTTTTTTTTTTTTTAACATCATTATTGGAGTATAATTGCTTTACAATGGTGTGTTAGTTTCTGCTTTATAACAAAGTGAATCAGTTATACATATACATGTTCCCATATCTCTTCCCTCTTGCGTCTCCCACCCTCCCTATCCCACCCCTCCAGGCGGTCACAAAGCACGAAGCTGATCTCCCTGTGCTATGCGGCTGCTTCCCACTAGCTATCTACCTTATGTTTGGTAGTGTATATATGTCCATGCCTCTCTCTCACTTTGTCACAGCTTACCCTTCCCCCTCGCCATATCCTTAAGTCCATTCTCTAGTAGGTCTGCCTTTATTCCTGTCTTACCCCTAGGTTCTTCATGACATTTTTTTTTTCTTAAATTCCATATATATGTGTTAGCATACGGTATTTGTCTTTCTCTTTCTGACTTACTTCACTCTGTATGACAGACTCTAGGTCCATCCACCTCACTACAAATAACTCAATTTTGTTTCTTTTTATGGCTGAGTAATATTCCATTGTATATATGTGCTACATCTTCTTTATCCATTCATCCCATAATGGACACTTAGGTTGCTTCCATCTCCTGGCTATTGTAAATAGAGCTGCAATGAACATTTTGGTACATGACTCTTTTTAAATTATGGTTTTCTCAGGGTATATGCCCAGTAGTGGGATTGCTGGGTCATATGGTAGTTCTATTTGTAGTTTTGGGGTTTTTTTGCGGTACGCGGGCCTCTCACTGCTGTGGCCTCTCCTGCTGCGGAGCACAGGTTCCGGACGCACAGGCCCAGTGGCCATGGCTCACGGGCCTAGCCACCCCACGGCATGCAGGATCTTCCCGGACCGGGGCACGAACCTGTGTCCCCTGCATCGGCAGGCGGACTCTCAACCACTGCGCCACCAGGGAAGCTATTTGTAGTTTTTTAAGGAACCTCCATACTGATCTCCATAGTGGCTGTACCAATTCACATTCCCACCAGCAGTGCTACAGTGTTCCCTTTTCTCCACACACTCTCCAGCATCTATTGTTTCTAGATTTTTTGATAATGGCCATTCTGACTGGTGTGAGATGATATCTCATTGTAGTTTTGATTTGCATTTCTCTAATGATTAATGATGTTGAGCATTCTTTCATGTGTTTGTTGGCAATCTGTATCTTCTTTGGAGAAATGTCTGTTTAGGTCTTCTGCCCATTTTCGGATTTGTTTGTTTGTTTTTTTGTTATTGAGCCTCATGAGCTACTTGTTAATTTTGGAGATTAATCCTTTGTCAGTTGCTTCATTTGCAAATATTTTCTCCCATTCTGAGGGTTGTCTTTTGCTCTTGTTTATCGTTTCCTTTGCTGTGCAAAAGCTTTTAAGTTTCATTAGGTCCCATTTGTTTATTTTTGTTTTTATTTCCATTTCTCTAGGAGGTGGGTCAAAAAGGATCTTGCTGTGATTTATGTCATAGAGTGTTCTGCCTATGTTTTCCTCTAAGAGTTTTATAGTATCTGGCCTTACATTTAGGTCTTTAATCCATTTTGAGCTTATTTTTGTGTATGGTGTTAAGGAGTGTTCTAACCTCATACTTTTACATGTACAAGTCCAGTTTTCCCAGCACCACTTATTGAAGAGGCTGTCCTTTCTCTACTGTACATTCCGCCTCCTTTATCAAAGATAAGGTGACCATATGTGCGTGGGTTTATCTCTGGGCTGTCTATCCTGTTCCATTGATCTGTCTTTCCGTTTTTATGCCAGTACCATACTGTCTTGATTACTGTAGCTTTGTAGTATAGTCTGAAGTCAGGGAGCCTGATTCCTCCAGCTACATTTTTCGTTCTCAAGATTGCTTTGGCTATTCGGGGTCTTTTGTGTTTCCATACAAATTGTGAAATTTTTTGTTCTAGTTCTGTGAAAAATGCCAGTGGTAGTTTGATAGGGATTGCATTGAATCTGTAGATTACTTTGGGTAGTACAGTCATTTTCACAATTGGATTCTTCCAATCCAAGAACATGGTATATCTCTCCATCTGTTTGTATCATCTTTAACTTCTTTCATCAGTGTTTTATAATTTTCTGCATACAGCTCTTTTGTCTCCTTTAGGTAGGTTTATTCCTAGGTATTTTATTCTTTTGGTTGCAGTGGTAAATGGGAGTGTTTTCTTAATTTCACTTTCAGATTTTTCATCATTAGTGTAGGAATGCCAGAGATAGGAATGCCAGAGATTTCTGTGCATTGATTTTGTATCCTGCTACTTTACCAAATTCATTGATTAGCTCTAGTTGGTCTCTGGTAGCATCTTTAGGATTCTCTATGTGTAGCATCATGTCATCTGCAAACAGTGACAACTTTACTTCTTCTTTTCCAATTTGGATTCCTTTTATTTCCTTTTCTTCTCTGATTGCTCTGGCTAAAACTTCCAAAACTATGTTGAATAAGCATGGTGAGATTGGGCAACCTGGTCTTGTTCCTGATCTTAGTGGAAATGGTTTCAATTTTTCACCATTGAGGACGATGTTGGCTGTGGGTTTGTCATATATGGCCTTTATTATGTTGAGGAAAGTTCCCTCTATGCCTACTTTCTTCAGGGTTTTTATCATAAGTGGGTGTTGAATTTTGTCAAAAGCTTTCTCTGCATCTATTGAGATCATATGGTTTTTCTCCTTCATTTTGTTAATATGGTGTATCATGTTGATTGATTTGCGTATATTGAAGAATCCTTGCATTCCTGGAATAAACCCCACTTGATCATGGTGTATGATCTTTTTAATGTGCTGTTGGATTCTGTTTGCTAGTATTTTGTTGAGGATTTTTGCATCTATGTTCATCAGTTATATTTGGCCTGTAGTTTTCTTTCATTGTGACATCATTGTCTGGTTTTCGTATCAGGGTGATGGTGGCCTCGTAGAATGAGTTTGGGAGTGTTCCTCCCTCTGCTATATTTTGGAGGAGTTTGAGAAGGATAGGTGTTAGCTCTTCTCTAAATGTTTGATATAATTCGCCTGTGAAGCCACCTGGTCCTGGACTTTTGTTTGTTGGAAGATTTTTAATCACAGTTTCAATTTCAGTGCTTGTGATTGGTCTGTTCATATTTTCTATTTTTTCCTGATTCAGTCTTGGCAGGTTGAGCATTTCTAAGAATTTGTCCATGTCTTCCGGGTTGTCCATTTTATTGGCATACAGTTGCTTGTAGTAATCTCTCATGATCTTTTGTATTTCTGCAGTGTCAGTTGTTACTTCTCCTTTTTCATTTCTAATTCTATTGATTGAGTCTTCTCCCTTTTTTTCTTGATGAGTCTGGCTAATGGTTTATCAATTTTGTTTATCTTCTCAAAGAACCAGCTTTGAGTTTTATTGATCTTTGCTATCGTTTCTTTCATTTCTTTTTCATTAATTTCTGATCTGATCTTTATGATTTCTTTCCTTCTGCTAACTTTGGGGTGTTTTTGTTCTTCTTTCTCCAATTGCTTTAGGTGCAAGGTTAGATTGTTTATTCGAGATATTTCCTGTTTCTTAAGGTAGGATTGTATTGCTATAAACTTCCCCCTTAGAACTGCTTTTGCTGCATCCCATAGGTTTTGGGTCATCGTGTCTCCATTGTCATTTGTTTCTAGGTATTTTTTGATTTCCTCTTTGATTTCTTCACTGATCAGTTCGTTATTAAGTAGTGTATTGTTTAGCCTCCTTGTGTTTGTATTTTTTACAGATCTTTTCCTGTAATTGATATCTAGTCTCATAGCGTTATGGTTGGAAAAGATACTTGATACAATTTCAATTTTCTTAAATTTACCAAGGCTTGATTTGCGACCTGAGGTATGATCTGTCTTGAAGAATGTTCCATGAGCACTTGAGAAAAATGTGTATTCTGTTGTTTTTAGATGGAATGTCCTATAAATATCAATTAACTCCATCTTGTTTAATGTATCATTTAAAGCTTGTGTTTCCTTATTTATTTTCATTTTGGATGATCTGTCCATTGGTGAAAGTGGGGTGTTAAAGTCCCCTACTATGAATGTGTTACTGTCGATTTCCCCTTTTATGGCTGTTAGTATTTGCCTTATGTATTGAGGTGCTCCTATGTTAGGTGCATAAATATTGTTATATCTTCTTCTTGGATTGATCCCTTGATCATTATATAGTGTCCTTCTTTGTCTCTTGTAATAGTCTTTATTTTAAAGTCTGTTTTGTCTGATATGAGAATTGCTACTCCAGCTTTCTTTTGATTTCCATTTGCACGGAATATCTTTTTCCATCCCCTCACTTTCAGTCTGTATGTGTCTCTACGTCTGAAGTGGGTCTCTTGTAGACAGCAAATATATGGGTCTTGTTCTTGTATCCATTCAGCCAGTCTGTGTCTTTTGGTGGGAGCATTTAATCCATTTACATTTAAGGTAATTATCAATATGTATTTTCCTATTATCAGTTTCTTAATTGTTTTGGGTTTGTTATTGTAGGTCTTCTCCTTCTCTTGTGTTTCTTGCCTCGAGAAGTTCCTTTAGCATTTGTTGTAAAGCTGGTTTGGTGGTGCTGAACTCTCTCAGCTTTTGCTTGTCTGTAAAGGTTTTAATTTCTCCATCAAATCTGAATGAGATCCTTGCTGGGTAAAGTAATCTTGGTTGTAGGTTTTTCTCCTTCTTCACTTTAAATATGTCCTGCCAGTCCCTTCTGGCTTGCAGAGTTTCGCTGAAGGATCAGCTGTTAACCTTATGGGGATTCCCTTGTGTGTTATTTGTTGTTTTTCCCTTGCTTCTTTTAATATGTTTTCTTTGTATTTAATTTTTGATAGTTTGATTAATCTGTGTCTTGGCGTGTTTCTCCTTGGATTTATCCTGTATGGGACTTTCTGTGCTTCCTGGACTTGATTAACTATTTCCTTTCCCATATTAGGGAAGTTTTCAACTATAATCTCTTCAAATATTTTCTCAGTCCCTTTCTTTTTCTCTTCTTCTTCTGGAACCCCTATAATTCGAATGTTGGTGTGTTTAATGTTGTCCCAGAGGTCTCTGAGACTGTCCTCAGTTCTTTTCATTCTTTTTTCTTTATTCTGCTCTGCAGTAGTTATTTCCACTATTTTATCTTCCAGGTCACTCATCCGTTCTTCTGCCTCAGCTATTCTGCTATTGATCCCATCTAGAGTATTTTTAATTTCATTTATTGTGTTGTTCATCGTTGCTTGTTTCATCTTTAGTTCTTCTAATTCCTTGTTAAATATGTCTTGCATTTTCTCTATTCTGTTTCCAGGATTTTGGATCATCTTTGCTATCCTTATTCTGAATTCTTTTTCAGGTAGACTGCCTATTTCCTCTTCATTTGTTAGGTCTGGTGGGTTTTTATCTTGCTTCTTCATCTGCTGTGTGTTCTTCTGTCTTCTCATTTTGCTTATCTTACTGTGTTTCCAGTCTCCTTTTTTGCAGGCTGCAGGTTCATAGTTCCCGTTGTTTTTGGTATCTGTCCCCAGTGGCTAAAGTTGGTTCAGTGTGTTGTGTAGGCTTCCTCGTGGAGGGGACTAGTTTCCATGTTCTGGTGGATGAGGCTGGATCTTGTCTTTCTGGTGGGCAGGTCCACTCCTGGTGGTGTGTTTTGGGGTGTTCGTGGCCTTATTATGGTTTTAGGCAGCCTCTCTGCTAATGGGTCCATTTGTGTTCCTGTCTTGCTAGTTGTTTGGCATAGTGTGTCCAGCACTGTAGCTTGCTGGTCGTTGAGTGAAGCTGGGTGTTGTTGTTGAGATGGAGATCTCTGGGTGATTTTCGCAGTTTGATATTACAAGGAGCTGGGAGGTCTCTTGTGGACCAGTGTCCTGAAGTTGGCTCTCCCACGTCCGAGGCACAGAACTGACTCCTGGCTGCAGCACCAAGAGCGTTTCATCCACACAGCTCAGAATAAAAGGGGGAAAAGTAAGTAAGTAATAAAAAGAAAGAAAGAAAGAAAAGAAAGAAAGAATGAAAGGAAGAAGATAAAATAAAGTAAGATAAAACAAAAGTTATTAAAATAAAAAATAATTATTAAGAAAAAAAAATTTTTTTAATTAAAAAAAAAATTGGGCGGACAGATCCCTAGGACAAATGGTGAAAGCAAAGCTATACAGACCGAATCTCACACAGAAGCATACACATACACACTCACAAAAAGAGGAAAAGGGGAAAAAATAATATGTCTTGCTCTCAAAGTCCACCTCCTCAATTTGGGATGATTCGTTGTCTATTCAGGTATTCTACCGATGCAGGGTACATCAGGTTTATTTTGGAGATTTAATCCACTGCTCCTGAGGCTGCTGGGGGAAATATCCCTTTCTCTTCTTTGTTCGCACAGCTCCTGGGGTTCAGCTTTGGATTTGGCCCCGCCTCTGCGTGTAGGTCGTCAGAGGGCGTCTGTTGTTCGCTCAGACAGGATGAGGTTAAAGGAGCAGCTGATTCGGGGGCTCTGGCTCACTCCGGCCTGGGGGAGGGAGGGTTACGGATGCGGGGTGAGTCTTTGGCGGCAGAGGCCAGTGGGATGTTGCACCAGCCTGAGGCGCGCCGTGCGTTCTCCCGGGGAAGTTGTCCCTGGATCACGGGACCCTGGCAGTGGCAGGCTGCACAGGCTCCTGGGAGGAGAGGTGTGGATAGTGACCTGTGCTCGCACACAGGCTTCTTGGTGGAGGCAGCAGCGGCCTTAGCGTCTCATGCCCGGCTCTGGGGTCCGCGCTGATAGCCACGGCTCGTGCCCTTCTCTGGAGCTCCTTTAAGCAGCTCTCTTAATCCCCTCTCCTCGCTCACCAGGAAACAAAGAGGGAAGGAGAAGTCTCTTGTCTCTTCGGCAGCTCCAGACTTTTTCCCGAACTCCCTTCCTGGCTAGTCGTGGTGCACTAACCCCTTCAGGCTGTGTTCACGCCGCCAACCCCAGTCCTCTCCCTGTGCTCCGACCAAAGCCCGAGCCTCAGCTCGCAGCCCTGCCCTCCCCGGCGGGTGAGCAGACAAGCCTCTTGGGCTGGTGAGTGCCGGTTGGCACCGATCCTCTGTGCGGGAATCTTTCCGCTTTGCCCTCCGCACCCTTCTTGCTGTGCTCTCCTCTGCGTTTCCGAAGCTCCCCCAGCCCCCGCCACCCGCACTCGCCACCCGCGAAGGGGCTTGCTAGTGTGTGGAAACCTTTCCTCCTTCACAGCTCTCTCCCACGGGTGCAGGTCCCATCCCTATTCTTTTGTCTCTGTTTATTTTTTCTTTTGCCCTACCCAGGTATGTGGGGAGTCTTGCCTTTTGGGAGGTCTGAGGTCTTCTGCCAGCGTTCAGTAGGTGTTCTATAGGAGCAGTTCCACGTGTAAATGTATTTCTGATGTATCTAGTTTCAAGGTTTTCTAATAATTTCAAGGATACAAATAATCATGAGGCACAAGCAAAGCAGGGGGAGGTCCTGGGTCACCAGTGCAGCTCCTGTAGTGCTTTCTTGCAATCTTCTCTTCACAAAGACAGATCCACGCAAAATGGAATGATAACCCTCGAGCCCACAGATGGAGACAAGGGGTCTTTGAAGGCGATTCTAAGGCAGCTTCGCATGGAGCAGCATAAGTCGGGATCCTGTAAAGTGCTGTCTCCCTGAGTCACCAGGGAAACCACAGACTTAATCTTGTCACCCTCAAAGACCTGCAGTGGGATGACCTCCACATCTTTGCCATGTCTGACAGCCTGCTAGTGTTGGAGGGTCTGCTGCAGAGGTGGGGGTGGCTGTGGCTCACCGTGGGGGCCTCATCTATTCTTTTACCAGGAAAGAACATCATTCTCTCTTCATTTATTAGCCCTTTACAACTTACTATACACTTTTACATATTATTTTAGTCCAACCTAAATTTTGAGTGATTTCCACCTAAATCTTCTTGGGGCTATTTTTTTCCCATTCCTCTTTCCTATCTTTTTCTTTGTCCTTAAATGGAAATTCTTCTTGATTTGTCAACCCCTCTACTATTACCTTGCCTTTTTATTCAGAGACCCTGTTTTCCAGCACTTTTCACTTAATGTATTACTTTTTAAAACCAGTCCAAATGTGTTCATTTCTTAGCTCTATCACCCTATATCTGACTGGGCCAAATGTTTGCTGAGCGGATAGAGAAGAGCCACGTGTCATACTTGCTTATGAACACTTCATTGGCTGACCTCAGTGATCTTTTGAAATATTAAAATGAGTTACAATATTGATCTTTGGATTAAGAAATAACGTAATTCTATGCCTTTTCCAGAGTCTATATTACTGATTACAAACATTAAAATTGCATTGAGTGCTGTGATGTGTATCCCACTACATTTTTCCCTCTGGAAAATGAATGGATCTTTCAAGTTATTTATCTGCTAAGTTATTAAACTCTGAATATGGATAGATTAATAAACCAGACACTAATGATTCCAATTTACCTCTAACAATCTGTTTTCTTTTTTAAAAAGGGTGACTGTGACAAAACCTATGGATCAGAATTTGTCTACAGTGATCATGCCAAAGAACTTATTGTAGGGGAGATTTTTGTTAGGGTCTATAATGAAGTCCCTACTTTCCCACTCGAGGTAAGCTCTCTATTTTAAATTTTGTCTGACACCTTTGATCATTTGTTATTGAAAGCTACTAGTTTATTCACATTGAATACATTGAAATAATACCTGTTTTTTGCCAAATGCTTTATACTAACTTGGGTATGTGATGGGGTGACCATTGATAACTTATGATCCTCTTTATTTTGAATGTTAAAGAATTTAATTTTGTGGATTCATGAATAAGAATTTATTCCTTTCCCAGCTGTTTCTGATATTTTATGCATAATGCTACCCCACTGTACCATGTATATATGCCTTCAGCTTTACTGTTCTCTCATGGAAGTGTAAGGCCATTTACTTACTCATTCCATCATGTTGAATATCAGACCACCAGACAGTAGTCTGTCTCTGTCCCATTTTTAGAAGAAAATAAGAAAATAGAGGTGGAAAGCAAAGAGAAGTTTTAGAAGATGACTGGGGTCACACCAGGTCATCTCTTGTGATGATCCCAAATCACTTCTGGAAGCAAATGATCTTCTTTTCCTTCCGTAGTGCTTGGAAATCATGTAGGAAATTTTTGTTGCAGTTATTTTGGAGGGGTGGCAAAGAGAATTTGTTGGTTGATTGGTTTGTAAGGAAGAAAGAAGTGAGGCTATTTCTCTAAAGCAAAGAGTTTGCTCTTGGAAAAAAAGGAATTTACTAAACTGTAACATTTACTATTTATCACAGAATAATATCTATAAATAGCTGCTAAGCAGAATGAGTTCAGTGATTTGTGAAATGTCTTTGAAAACTGTCTTTTGAATTTATAATCTAAATATATATAATTTTTAAATATAAAACTATAACCAAATTGTAGAAGTTACATATCATACTATCAATACCTTGGTAAAGGGAAGACATACGCATCTCAGAATTATTATACTGAGATACTGATGGGAGTATATCAAATCTCTAATGGATTTGGACAAAAATGTTAAACACTTCCTAATGCAATTGGGTTTTGTCCCCTTTCTCCCCCTTTCCCCACTTAATCCATAGGTATATTCATGTGTATGTATAATTTAATCACTTTCATGGCTTGAAGTATTTTGTTGTTGTTTTCTCTGCTGTGGAGTCTTTGTTATAGGTTATTTCTAAGGGCACACTCGTTTTTAAATATTTTTCCACTCAACTTAGGTTCCAAAAGCATTTGCTGCAAGTCTCTTGGATTATATAGGCTCCCAGGCCCAGTACCTCCACACATTCATGGCTATCACTCATTCTGCAAAAGTGGAGTCAGAGCAACATGGAGACCGCTTGCCAAGAGTGGAAATGGCTTTGGAGGCTCTGAGAAATGTTATAAAGTATAATCCAGGTGTGTGACTATACCCTTGATGAATAAGATCCTACAATGGAAGAGCCCAAAAATTCCAGTTCTCAATTTTACCAGGGAAATGCAGGAAAACTTGTACTTGGTTATAATGTTATACTTTGTATAACATTAAGAGGAATTGACCCCATAATATTTTTACCTCTAAATAATAGTCTGGAAAGAGAGGTCAGGTCACCATGCTTAGAATAATTCGTATCTTTAAGAGCATATGACTTTCAATGAGTTGAAAAGGCAGAGTAGCTTGCTAGTGTAAAATATCACATTGATGACATAAATTGACATACTAAGTATCAATATAAGGGCTTAAATTAGATTTATTTATTAGGTGATCTCATTTTTGTGTCTTCTGGTCCCTAACACAATGCCATGTTTTTGAAAAACTGCCTGAAGTTTTTGGTGTATAAAAACTGAAATAGTAAAGTGAGAATTGTCACTTTTAAAACATCTTTAAGAAGGACATTTCCAAGAACATTATCACTCTTGCCTGACTTCAGGGAGATGGATGGGTGAAAATCTGAAAGCTTCTTCCAATTCTAACTTTGATAACAAGTATAGAATATAAAACCTAAAACAATATATATTCAGTTTAAGTTACATGAAGACCTCAAATCTTTTTTATTAACACTTAATATTATCTTTCATGTACTTCTTTGCTCTTTTCACTATTACAGTAATACATTATTCAAATAAAATAACCAACAATAATTAAATATTTAAGAAAATAAGTCATTCCCATGGTATATATACATGGGGATGTTTTTAAAGGCAGTATTATAAAATCTGAAGAAAACTTCATTTCTTATTGTTTGGAGTTGACATATTAGATACAAAGGAATTGCAGTAAAGCTGGCTATTGATTTGGCACCTTCTTGTTTATAATGTAGTTCTCAAGTGGCAGGGTTCTAACTCAGTCTTAATTAAAAGCCAGATGATGTCACACTCTTCCCAAATGTAATTAGGCTGACTCTAATTACTGTAGCTCTACAGTCTTGAGGTAAAGAGTAAAATACCACCTTACACTTAATTTTTGAGTTGTATTTGGATTGTGTGTTTGATAAATTTCTTGTTTTTAGCCTGTGGGTTAACTAGGGGTGGGGATGGAAAAGACGACAAAACAAACCTAAGATAGTCTAATATCATTTAACTTCTTAAGATTTACTGCTCCTTGTGATACTTCACTCACTTTGTGTCACAAATGTTAAGAAAAGTTTACCAGAGACTTATAATTGACAGTAAACAAAATGTATATCAGTTTCCTAAAGGTGGATAATTTAGAACATCTCTTGGAAATAAAAATTAAACATTTTATTTTTACTTCCTAGGCTCTGAAAGTGAATGCATTGGGCACTTTAAGTTAATATTTTCTCTTCTTCGAGTCCATGGAGCTGGTCAAGTCCAGCAGTTGGCTTTAGAGGTAAAAGAATTTTGTACTAAAGCATGTTGTCTTTCCTACAACTTACTATACATGGTTTGATCCTTGATTAATCATCATCTAAAGTTGAATGGAAGTTTGCATATGGTTTTTTTCATTTTTCCTATTAAGCCAAATGAATATGTTTTTAAAATTTGAATTAATATGCTCATTTTGAAGAGTAAGTATTGTACAGTGTTCAAGGTACTTTCCCTCTGTGGTCATCGTCTGTCATGCATTAGAACAGTGCATGACAGGGATGCATTTGTACAGTGTCATGTGGCGTGAGTTAAAGAATGGGCTTTACTTGGGAAGCTTGGAAGCCACAGATCAACAAGAAAAGGAGGCAGGATTTCCCAGATCTCTCAGTGTCCCCACAGAGAGACATGTTGAGACCAGGGCACTGTGCTGGCTGCACACTGTGGGTTTGTGTTCCCTCCCCCTAAGTTGCTCTCCCTTCTTATGGTCTGGTACAAAAGCAACCTTTCCAGTGAGGGTGACAGACAGACACCTGGTATGTTACGCTGTTTACAGGAGCTGTCTAGGAAAGGCAGCTGCCCAGAACCTGTGGGCCTTGACGGTCCAAGAGTGGTTGGAGGCCCCTCCTTCAGGAGAATGAAATCATTGGTCCCACAGGAAGCTGTTTGGGTGGAGCCTTTTCCTCTGGGAGAAGCAGGAAGACCCTGGTCACAGGGGGCTCCTTGTCCAGGCAACCCAGAGTGAGCTCCCAGGGTCTTTTTTCAGATGATCCTGCCTATTATAACACACGATTTATTATGAAGAACACCAAATTCAACACTGTGGTAACAGTTTAATGAGTACTTTATGAATGATTAAGTGTTCTTAGATTGCAGTTTGGTTTAAAAAAGATGTTTAATAAAATAATAAATGTTAAATTGTTCAAAAACCTTAACAAGCATGTTCTTTAAATTGAAAAGCATGCTTCTCCACTTAATTCCTTCAAGTATCTTGTAACTCTTTAAATAAGCATTATTAAATCTAGGATATTTTGCTTTGAGATGCTGACCACATAGTTCAAGTTAAGTGACATTGATCTTTAGATCAATGTATATAATAAGTTAGACTTAAAAGGTCATCCTCTTTGAAAGAAAAACATGCATATTTCTGTATAATGGAAAGATAGACCTAATCTGTTGTGCTGGGCACTGAAGACATTTACTTTCTCCCTCTAAAAGAAAAAGTCCCAGTAGTAAAGATGATTATCTTCCTAATCACTTGCCACCCCAAATCTACAATTGGAAAGCACTACAGTGTACACCATAGTTCTAGAGCATGAACTGGTGTAGAATTGAAGCCTTCTTATAAGCCTCAAGATTGTGAATGGGTGCTAAAATATTTGTTTAGATGATTATATTTAATTCTTACCTCTAAATTAATAGAAGGCTAATGTATATAATATATGCATTAGCATTAACATTTTTTATTCTCAAAAGAACAGGCCAATCTTTTAAAATTAAACCCTTGCCTAAAAATTAAATATATTGTCCTCCAAACATTTTTCTCACTTTGGTAAAGCCTTTAAGTTTATTTAGGTCTGACTAATTTGACTTAATTTGTTTAGGTCCAAAATTATTTCCAGAACTCTTAACATCCTATTTATTAATTTTCAGGTTGTGAATATAGTGACGTCTAACCAAGACTGTGTCAACAATATTGCTGAATCAATGGTTTTGTCCAATTTATTGGCTCTTCTACATTCTTTGCCATCAAGTACGTATATTCACTGGAATTTTTGAAACAACAGTACAGTCAACCCATTGAGGGGAGCAGTTACACAGATGATACAAAACCTCTGACACAGTGTTATCTGTGTTTTGTTTTGGAATATTTTAAGTGGTATTCTTTTTTTTTTTTTTTTTTTTTGTGGTACGTGGGCCTCTCACCGTTGTGGCCTCTCCCGTTGCGGAGCACAGGCTCCAGATACGCAGGCTCAGCGGCCATGGGTCATGGGCCCAGCCACTCTGCGGCATGTGGGATCCTCCCGGACTGGGGCATGAACCTGTGTCCCCTGCATCGGCAGGCGGACTCTCAACCATTGCACCACCAGGGAAGCCCTAAGTGGTCTTCTTTATATTAGATGTGTCTTTCTAATTATGTTTTTACATAAGTTAATTATTTTGCATTTCTCATATCAAAAGTTGAAAGAGGTAAGAGAGATCGAAAAGCAAAAGGAAAATAATCTAGGATTTTCAATTTGTTGAGTATAAGCTACACGTGAGTAATTGAGAATTGACTAATATTCCATGGTTTATGAAAAAAAACACACACACACAGTTGATCTTGGATGATAGGAAAAAATGCTTAAGATAAAAATCACCTTGTGTTAGCTTAAAGTTCAATCCTGCATTATTTGTCCTTTACTGATTTGATGCTGATAGCGACTGTTACCACCAAATGGTATCAGTTTTTTAAAATACACCAACCTGATTTCTTGAATACAGCCTGAAATAATATAGACTCCTTACAAACTGTACAGTCTTCTAGCATAAGTGCTAGGATCAACCTTGAGATTGCTTTTCAAAGGCAATTGGCGATACTAAGTCCAACTTTGCCACTTAACTGTCAGCAGACATTGCTCAGTTGGCTTTGCTAGCCCCTTGGAAGTCATGTTAATCTTGACTTCACACCTGTTCACCTCCTTGAGAGCAGCAACCTGTCGCATTCGTTTTATGCCCCAGTGCCTTGCACGTGTTAGGGTCAGTGAGTTGAGTTCAGTTTCCATTGAATATTTTTGTTTTCTTTAATAAACGACGTTTGAAATAGCTCTTTAAAATGACAACTTTTAAAAGTCATTCACAGATTATTTTTATCATCCCTACAACCTTAGTTGGTTTTTCTTTTTTTTTAGTTTTTAACAGCTTTACGAGGCTTCAAACAATGCAAAATTAAACTGATTGATGAAGTGAAGAATGTTACAGAAGTCATAACTTGAAAGTTATTTTATATTCATATCGGATTTATATAGTCCAGTCATTATTTTAATCTTACCGGTAAAATAGCTGACATCTAGATATCTCAGCCTACTCTGCTATCATTTATATTTTAGACTAAATTATCTTTAACTGTTTGCTAAGGGACATTAAAAACATAAAATGTTAACTTCCTCTAACCCCTACAAAGACTTGTTTTCCTTTGAAACTATGGTTAGAACAGTGGTAGGTTTTCAATGAAGTACTGTTGCTTCTCTTAAAAATCTGCTTTTGAGTGTTTTTTCTCCTGCCTGTTAACTTAGCTCAGTCTGGCTACCATCCTTTGTTGTTTTAGTCTCAGCCTAATACTTGGCAGCCTTCACCCTCTTTGCCAACTCTTTACTCCTTTGGTCACCTGTCTGTTGTTGCCATTTTGACTTTAGAAAAGTCCAGTAGCTGAGTCTACTTCAATGACAAGGGTGAGAAGCGCACAGACTATGTGCAGAAGGATGCTATTGTGTCTTAGATTGGAACAGTGTCTTGCAACTGCTACTTCCTACTCATTTCTCTAAGATACTAGCACCACATAAAAATTGTAGATCCCTGAATAGAGTGTTCTCAGGGTGTCAGGAGGTGAGAAGATTTTGTTTGCACAGTGAACAGTGAGGTAGCAAGACAGTATGGCATAGTGGTTATGAGTGTGGATTTTGGAAGTCAGACTTCTATAAACTTCTATATACCTCAGTGGTATAGTGAGCTATATCTCTCACTAGCTATGAATCCATGGGTTGGTCAAACTGGGTCTCAGCTTCCTCACTCATGGAGGCCACAATTCCTGTCTTGCTGGTTATTGTGAAGATGTAAGTATAATACCCTGTGTAGAACACCTAGTTCAGTGCCTGGCACTGGTGCCCAGTAAATGTAAGCTAATGTGATGATACATTCTTTGAAATGTCTTTTACTTTGTAGGTCGTCAGCTTGTTCTGGAAACTCTTTATGCTTTGACATCAAGTACAAAAATAATCAAAGAAGCAATGGCAAAAGGTAATGTATGGAGTGCTTTCTCATCCAGTCATGCTCAGTAATGGTGAGGCTTATTTTGAGCTGCTTTGTATAGTCTGATAAACTAGAAGAATGCTTTGGAAGGCTTACAGTTTAAAAAAAAAACAAACTGCATTGAGTTGAAACAAGGTTGAAAATGAATTCTACTATGATTCTATGATTAGAAAAGTCATTTTTTTTTATTTAGAGTATAAACACTAATTCTTTCTTTCCTTCACAGGAGCTTTGATTTATTTACTAGACATGTTCTGCAATTCAACACATCCACAGGTTCGAGCCCAGACAGCTGAACTTTTTGCTAAAATGACAGCAGATAAACTAATAGGTCCAAAGGTGAGCACAAAATGGGTTCTTAGAAAGAAATTACTAAAGCTCTGTAACTTTGATAACGGATTTCATGAGCGTTACCAAAGTCTGAGATGGTGAGGAAATAACTTAATGTGAAAGTTGGAAGATCGACATACCTGAAATTATTCCTGTATATTACTAGTTAGAGAAAAACTATAGTCGGCGAAGCCTGCACTAGAATTGAGAAGTCTTAAGAGAGTATTTGAATTATGGTGATAAAACTGTTCATCTCCCTTGAAGAAAGAACAAAAGTATATTTAAGTTATGACGGATGATACGTTAGGTTAGACTTTCACACTTCGAGGATTGGCCTGTGGAGGTAGCTTGTGAAGGAGATACACCCCACACCTGTATTAGTTAAAGCCATATAGCACGTGAGTGTAACGGCACCTTTGCTTCCCCTCTCTGCAGGGAGATCTCCCATTAAGAATCTGGAGCTAACAAGATGATCTCTGGAACCATGGTCCAATTTGCAGAGCAGGAACCTGTTAGAACAGCACTTCTAAATAGAATTGCATTCAGACACAGGTGTAATCAAAGTCCCCTTCTTCTGTTATTAAATCAGTTTCACATGAAGTAATGCTCACTGAAGCCAGCCCAGATATGAAATGAAGGCTCCTGAGCCTCCACTTCCAGAGTGTTAGGTTTTACTTTACATCAGTAAAACACATTAGATTCAGTTGTTTTTTTTTCCTTGTCTGATCTCCTGAGAATCTGTCACAGGACCTGGAACAGTTTTACTTTGGGAATATGGTTAATAATCTGTCATCAACAGGGTTGATGGGATAAGGGCGATTGCATTTGGATACCTATAGCAAGGGTCCATAAAATCATGAACACTGATTTTTTAAAAAAAATTTTTGGCCACACCATGCGCGGCATTTGGGATCTTAGTTCCCCGACCAGGGATCTAACCCGTGCCCTCTGCATTGGAAGGCAGAATCTTAACCACTGGACTGCCAGGGAAGTCCATGAATATTGATATTTAATATTGAGTTTTCTTAAAGCTAGAGTTGGGTAGCACATAATTATAATGTCTAATATTACATGTTTTAAATAATGTTTTAGATATTTAAAATAAATATGTACTAGAATTGATTTTTGAGCGCTTCAGTAATTTTTTGACCTTTGAAATACATGAGGGACAGATTTTACCAAGGTGAATATATTTACACTTAAATTTTCTGTATAGGAAAAATACAAGTGTCAGCTCCTTAATTGAATGATTTGCAGCAAGAGATTCTAGAACTGGGGTCAGTAAACTTATTTTCCTTTTTGGTAACAACTTTATTGAGATATAATTGACATGCCATACAAGTCACACATATGAAGTATACAGTTCATTGGTTTGGGCAACAACAATCAATTTTAGAAACATTTTCATCAACCCAGGAAAAAAACCCATTCCCTTTAGCAGTCACTTCCCATTCACCTTCCCCTTAGCACCTGGCAACCACTAACCTACTTTCTGTCTCTATAGATTTGCCTATTCTGAGCATTTCACGTAAATGGAATCATATGTGTCTTCTGTGTCTGGCTTCTGTCACTTAGCATAATGTTTTCAAGATTCCTCCATGTTGTAGCATGTGTCAGTACTTCCTTCCTTTTTATTGCCAAATAATATTCCATTGTATACATATACCACATTTTGTTTTTCCATTTATCATTTGAAAATGGACATGTGGATTATTGCTTTTTGGCTATTCTGAGTGAGGCTACTGTGAACACATGTATACAAGTTTTTGTGTGGATATGTATTTTATTTCCCTGAGAGTAGAATTTCTGGATCATATGGTAACACTATTTTAAACTTTTCAAGGAATTATCAGACTGTTTTCCACAGTGGCTGCACCATTTTACATTCCCACCAGTGATGTGTGAGGATTCTGATTTCTCCACCTCTTCTCTGACACTTGTTATACTGGGTGGGCCAAAAGGTTCGTTCAGTTTTTTCCGTAAGATGGCTCTAGTAGCACTTAGCTGTCTTTAACTTCATTCAAAACAATTTTGTTAGATTGAATGTGACAGCTGTCATATCAACGTGCATTTAAAAAAAGACTTAATCAATATTGGTTAATTTTTGTGTAGCCATTTTAATATTGAACATTTTTGGCATATTATGCTTTATTATTTCAAGAAAGGTAAAAATGCAACTGAAACGCACAAAAAGATTTTTGCAGTGTATGGAGAAGGTGCTGTGACTGCTGGAATGTGTCAAAAATGATTTCAGAAGTTTTGTGCTGGAGATTTCTCGCTGAACGATGCTCCACGGTCAGGTAGACCAGTTGAAGTTGATAGCGATCAAATCGAAACAATAATTGAGAACAATCAATGTTATACCACGCAGGAGATAGCCAACATACTCAAAATATCCAAATCAAGCACTGAAAATCATTTGCACCAGCTTGGTTATGTGAATTGCTTTGATGCTTGGATTCCACATTAAGTTAAGCAAGAAAAGCCTTCTTGGGGCTTCCCTGGTGGCGCAGTGGTTGAGAGTCTGCCTGCCAATGCAGGGGACGTGGGCTCATGCCCCGGTCCAGGAAGATCCCACATGCCGCGGAGCGGCTGGGCCAGTGGGCCATGGCTGCTGGGCCTGCGCGTCTGGAGCCTGTGCTCCACAGCGGGAGAGGCCACAGCAGTGAGAGGCCCGTGTACCGCAAGGAAAGAAAAAAAAAAAGCCCTCTTTACCATATTTTCTCATGCAATTCTCTATTGAAACGTAATGAAAACGTTTCGTTTTTAAAACAAGTTGTGACGGGCAACAAAAAGTGGATACTGTACAACAGTGTGGAATGGAAGAGATTGTGGGGCAAGCAAAATGAACCACCAGCAACCACACCAAAGGCCGGTCTTCATCCAAAGAAGGTGATGTTGTGTATATGGTGGAATTGGAAGGGAGTTCTCTATTATGAGCTCCTTCCAGAAAACCAAACAATTAATTCCAACAAGTACTGCTCCCAGTTAGACCAACTGAAAGCAGTACTCCATGAAAAGCGTCCAGAATTAGTCAACAGAAAACACATAATCTTCCATCAGGATAACGTAAGACCACATGTGTCTTTGACAACCCGGCAAAAACTGTTACAGCTTGGTTGGGAAGTTCTGATTTATCTGCCATATGCACCAGACATTACACCTTAGGGTTTCCATTTATTTCAGTCTTTACAAAGTTCTCTTAATGGAAAAAATTTCATTTCCCTGGAAGACTGAAAAAGGTACCTGGAACAGTTATTTGCTCAAAAAGATAAGTTTTGGGAAGATGGAATTATGAAGTTGCCTGAAAAATGGCAGAAGGTAGTTGAATAAAAGGGTGAATATGTTGTTCGATAAAGTTCTTGGTGAAAATGAAAAATGTGTCTTTTATTTTTACTTAAAAAACCAAAGGCACTTTTTGGCCCACCCAATATATCTGTTGAGTATAGTCATCCTAGTGGGTATGAAGTGTTATCTCAGGGTTTTGGTTTGCATTTTCCTGGTGCCTAATGATGTTAAATGTCTTTTCATGTGCTTAAGTGGCCATTTGTACCTCTCTTTTAGAGAAATGTCTGTTCACATCCTTTGCTCATTTTTAAATTGGGTTGTCTTTTTACTATTGAGTTGTAATTGTCCTTTATATATTTTGGATACCAGTCCCTTATCAGATATATGATTTCAAATATTTTCTCCCATTTTGTGGATGTCTTTCCACTTTACTGATGGTGTCTTTTTTTAATTTTGCTGAAGTCCATACTATCTTTGTTGTTGTTGTAGCTTGTGCTTTTAATGTCATATATAAGAAGCCATTATCTAATCCAAGTTTACAAAGATCTATGCCTGTATTTTTTCCCAAGAGTTTTATAGTTTTAACTCTTGTATTTATGTCTTAGATCCATTTGACCCAGAAAAGTGACACACATCCTGTTTTGTGGATGCTCTCTATCATGTAACTGACACTGTTTCCTTTAGTTCATTGGCTGCTAGGAGTTCAGGGCTAAATTTGTAATATATTGCTTGCAATTTTACAGAGCTTTTGATGTTTCCTTTGTGTACTGACTTCCTATTAGTCTCATTCATTCAAGTAAGAATCTGAATGAGTATACTCAGAGTATACACTGAATGAGATATTCATTCAAGTATGTGCTTGTGACAGGGGCTGAAAATACAGCGACAGCAAGACAGACTTGGCCAGGGAAGTTTTCTATGAGATGAGATTTGAACACAGACTTGAATGACACAAAGGAGGGAAAACTATGTGAGGACCTGAGGGAAAAACTTATCTTTCCAACCTTCATTTTCCCTTTGTCCTTATGCCTCAGACTAATTTTCAGTTTGTGTGTGTGTGTGTGTTGGATATATTTTTTTAAGCTGTTTTTTAAATCCTTTCTGGAAAAAGGCACAGTATAATGTAAAACATAATATAGCAAAATAAATGCACTAAAAAATACTTGTACGACACAAAGGTAGCATGAGAAAAATTTGTGAGGGTGTGGGGTGTGGGAGGGGTGGAGGGACAGGGCAGCTAAGGGCCTTCTGGGAAGAGGGAACAGCATGTGCAGGGCAGGATCTGGCAGAGTGGTGTGCTCTGGGAACTTCACACACCACTGGTGCTGAATTTCTTAATGTTTCTTAAATTTGAGGAGGAGAGAGGAAATGAACCTGGATAGGTAAGTAGTAGCAGGTCGTAGTGAGTCTTGTTACCTTTGCATAAACCAAGGTTTATCTGTTCTCTCAATCCAGAATTTTTGGATGATAGTTGTGGCCCATATCAGCCATAACACAAATTACAGCAACATTCTATCTTAGAGAAATGTAAAGCAGACCAAATATTGAGATGTTTCCAATAGGTCTTTTTTCTTTCTCAAACCTCCTCATCTAGGTTCGAATTACATTGATGAAATTTCTCCCGAGCGTTTTTATGGATGCCATGAGAGACAACCCTGAAGCTGCCGTCCATATTTTTGAAGGAACTCATGAAAATCCTGAGTTAATTTGGAATGACAGCTCCAGAGATAAAGTGTCCATGACAGTTAGAGAAATGGTGCTCGAGTAAGTCAAGAGACACGCAGTAACTTAGGGCCTTCAGATGGGGTCACCGGGCAGGCAGGCATGCCTCACGTTGTCTGTCACCTCTCTAAGGCTTACTCTACGTGCATGAAAGTGTGTCTTGTGACTGAAGTTTGATGTCCTTTCCCCTTTTTTTTTCCCAAGGCACTTTAAAAATCAGCAAGACAACCCTGATGTAAACTGGAAGGTAAAGTATACTTTTATTCAGAGGAAGGAATTCTACATTTTACTGTAAATTTTTGTTGTTTTTTTAAATTCCTGATGAGTGAGTTTAATGCCAACCTTTTAGATACTTTGTCATTAAGAAACTTAGGTCTTCCCCTTGAAAATAAGGTTTTAAACATAAAAGTAGGAATACTCACTTTCAGAGTAAGTAATCAAAGGACTTTTTCTGAATTTTGTTAAGAGAAAACAATAATTTTGATTTGATTATATAATGACTATTTAAGGACTAGTTAATTTCATAACGATTTCTTTAATAGGGTTTTTATTTCTTGCTTAATGTACAACTAATGATGAGTAAGTGACTTGACTATTCTTTCTCTATTTAAAGTTGCCTGAGGATTTTGCTGTGGTGTTTGCAGAAGCAGAAGGTGAACTTGCTGTTGGAGGAGTTTTCTTGAGAATCTTTATTGCACAGCCAGCTTGGGTTCTAAGAAAGCCTAGAGAATTTCTTATTGCACTGCTAGAAAAGTTAACTGAGCTCCTGGAGAAGAACAATCCTCATGTAAGCTTTAGCTGTCAGCCAGACATTTCATATAGTTTGCTAAACACTATTTGCTAAACACGTTGATAGTGTTTCTGTTAAAACACCATCCTCATTGACCATACATTAAGAATTGGCTACCTCTTTCAATGTAGCAGCCACCCTTAAATTCACATATGCCTTGTCAAAAGTGAAACTTCTTGGTAAAAGTTGGAGTTATGTATATTGAGAGGATGCTATTTCTAACAATTATAGTAGCTCTGAAAGGTTTCTTCCGTCCCATTTCCAGTGATTGTATGGTTTTAAGGAGAAACCTAAATGTGCAGTGTAGAAACCTAAATGGAAGTGTGTCCTGCTAGGGCATGTTCTTCACTTAGCTTGCCATAGATGGCAGGAATGACCCTACTTAAAAAAATTGACAGGGGAGTCTTAACTACATGGGTGAACCCTGTACCTATGCTCAAAGCCAAAGGCTAGCAGGAAAGCAGGAGTGAGTAGGAAAGTAGACTTGGTCTTGGCTTGGCAAGTCATAAACCCTGATGTAATATAAGGTTTTGTTATTTGAACTCATATATTGAAAATAATTGAGGTACATAATTAATTAAACAAGCTGGCTATAGAGGTGATTAAGAGCCCGATCTGTGGTGTTAGATGGTCCTGGACCCCAGTACCAGCCCCACCAGTGACTAGCTCTGTGACCTGGAGTAATGCCTCCTGATTCTGCCTCAGTTACCTCATAGAAAGGTAACAGCATCTGCCCCTAAGGCTGAAGTTTTCATGAGTTTTGATAAATGTGGAGTACTTAGTATAATGTCAAGTACTTAGAAATCATTAGTTACTATCATTAGCTTTGCAAGACTTCAAAAAAAAATTAACATTACGTTAGATATTTACATATGTCTCTTTCTATAGTCACATTTTCTCTTTACTAGGATTTTTACTACATATATAGTTTGCTTAAAAAATGAAATCCTCAGAAAGGAGAAACTTGGAAACAGAAAAACGTATAACATTTTCCTTCTACATTGCTTTCTTTTTCGGTGCATCCCAGCTTCCATGTTTATTTAAGACATGTTATGTTATGGATATATATGTTTGCATATGGTATAAGCTACAGGTTTTTGCAATCCATTTTCCACAATAGAAAGTGCATTATGGCAGCCAGACATGTTAATTAGTAGGATTTTTAATAGAACTGGGGAAAACTTTTTCGCTAGTTCTTCATTCTCCTGAATTATTGATGTTCTTTGATATTGGCATTTCTATAACATTATCTGAAAATTTCTAGTAATATCTTTTGAGAGATGATTTCTTAATAGACATCTCTTTTATCTGCAGTAGAAATGAGATGTGGAATAGAAATGCCCAGAGAAAGGCTGCTTAGATTAATGTATCACATTCTTAAAAGTCTTTTAAATTCATGCCTTTGTCAAGATGGGGAAGTTTGTTGTTCTTTTAGGATTTAGGGATCCCTTTTAAGTATCAGCACTTAGAACTTGTGGGCCCTTAGTAACACCAAATAATTACCAAGGATGTTTAGGACTTCATCAGTATTTTACAGTTTGCTTGTTTGTTTGTTTTATACCCTCTCCAGGGAGAAACTCTGGAAACTTTGACAATGGCAACAGTATGCCTCTTCAATGCACAGCCTCAGCTGGCTGATCAGGTCCCACCATTGGGCCATCTTCCCAAAGTTATCCAGGCGATGAATCATAGGAACAATGCCATCCCTAAGAGTGCCATTCGAGTTATTCATGCCCTGTCTGAAAACGAGGTATTGATGAATCCATTTAGTAGCTTATAGTTCTAGAATTTATCTGTGCTCCCTCTTCCTGACTAATGTACATTGAAGTATAAATCCCTTTCCTACCATGTGCCTTAATCCATACGAGCCTCATGGTATTGTAACAATTCTTAAACTGGTTTAAATGATCTGATTAATAGGAGACTGAATTTGACTTAGTTCATTATTAAACTTGAGCTGAAGGGACTTCCCTGGTGGTCCAGTGGTTAAGACTTGGCGCTTCCACTGCAGGGAACGTGGGTTCAATCCCTGGTCGGGGAACTAAGGGATTTTTGGCGTGGCGCGGCCCAAAAGAAAAAAAAAACTTGAACTGAATGTAGGTTTTTCATATATTATTGTGGTATTTACCTTGTTACATAAAATATTGCTAGTCTACAAGTAACCTTCTCTTTTTGGGCACTTAGCTGTGTGTTCGAGCCATGGCATCTTTGGAGACGATTGGCCCACTGATAAATGGAATGAAAAAGAGACCAGATACTGTTGGTCTAGCCTGTGAAGCAATTAACCGAATGTTTCAGAAGGAGCAGAGTGAATTAGTGGCACAAGTAAGTGACTTTCTAGATTTCTATTTTAGGGAAGGCAACATACCAAACAAATAGATTTTCACTTACTTAGCACTGATTTTGGTTTCCCTGACTTGGCAGAGAGGTAACTTGTGAATTTGTGCATGTGTAATTTTATATTTTATACACACACACACACACACACACACACACACAGGCACATGTATATATACACACAGAAAAGGTGGGCCAGCTACCCAAAATCCTACCAATATCAAAGTACTTTTGTGATGTCTGAATTTTAAATTTTGGTTATTTACTAAGCATTTATCCTTAACTTGCTTTGTAAAATTTATTTTATCCTTTTTGGAAAGATTCATTCCTTTGTTTCTTTTAAGTCATGTTCAAAAAACATGCCAATGTTTTTATAGTCCTTTTCAAAGAGACTACCCATCTAATGAAAAGAAGACTTAGTGGGTACCAATGTTGCAGACATCAAGGGAACAAAAAAACATATAATAAATTTAGAAGCCACTGAGAAAGTGATCTTTCTAAAATACAACTCTTAAAAGTGTAACTCATTCTTCACTTAAAAATCCTTCAGTGGTTTCCCATTACCTGCCAGATGACAAAGTGACATTTGACATCCTTAGCCTGAATACAAGGCCCTTGCATCCTTATTATCTGGCCCTCCTATTTCCCAGCCCCTTTTCCTCTCACATCTTCTCTCCCCATCCACCCCCACTTCCATCTCTGTTCCTTGTTCAGTCAGGTTAGAAGTACTGAGTACATTTCAAGGAGATAATTGGATGCTCTGAGGTTCAAACTTATAATTGGCTAGGAGGGTTGTTGTATTGGAAAGAACATGAGTTAGTTCTACCACTTGATGGCTCTGTGACCTCAGGCATGATATTTACCCTTACAGTACTCAGATTACTCATCTGTAAAATAAAGTTATGACTTCTCACAGGGTTGTTCCAAGAATAATATCTGTAAAAAAGAGGTAGACTGACTTAGTTACTTTCACCTCTTTCCTTTGAATCTCAGAGTGGGCAGTGAAAATTGTGTGGTAGCAGAGTATTACTTAGCTTTTATTAGGCTGATAGAAAATGTATGGTGAATGCAAAGGTTGATGTTTTAAGAAAATGTGAAAACTAATATACTGCCAATATTGTTGCCCATCAGTACATGTCCTTAGAGGAAGCAGACCAGTATACTCGCTGAAGCTCAGGTTCTGTACTTTATAGGTCCAGACACAGATTCCATTACTATCTCGCTCTGTGACTGTCAACATGTTTTACCCTCCATGTGTTGATTTTTCCATCGGCAATATTATAGTTATGCCTACATCATTAGGTGTTGGGAGGATTAAGTAAAATAATCAGCATATAGCATTTAAAATAGTTGATGGAACAGAACAAAATCTCATTAAGTAAAAATGTCATTATTATTAGATACCCTCACCCCCAAAATTCTGCATCTGGCATTAAAATAAAATAAAGCAGAGTGTCCTCTTCCAGATATGGTTCTGGGGGTGAAATTATTTCCTCAGTGGATGGCTTACATTTTTTAAAGTGTATATATTTGTGTTTGTGTCTCTCTCTATATATATAGACACACAGACACATATACACACACATGTACACACATATGTATACTTAATATTCTCTTCTAGGCCTTGAAAGCAGATTTGGTCCCATACCTCTTAAAATTACTTGAAGGCATTGGCCTTGAAAATCTGGACAGCCCAGCAGCCACAAAGGCTCAGATTGTTAAAGCTCTCAAGGCAATGACTCGAAGCCTGCAGCATGGAGAACAGGTGAGTCTACACAGAGGTAACTTTGATCTGCCGATTACAAGGCATTTTCAAAGCCAGGTGTCTTGGCCATTGGTGATCTATGCATCTCAGCTCAGGTTCCACCTACAGGTGTGGTTCTTGACTGTAACTGGAGCAGATCCCAAAACCAGGGATGGACTAGCATAGCTGCCTCATAAAACACAAACTATATACTCAAATAGTCACTGGGAGGATTCTTTCTCTGGATAGTGGTAACATGTTGCACATTCTTCAACATAGAAGAATACTGAGCATTTAGTTGCCGGTTAAGATTAACTTTCAGTTCTAGGAGTTACTGTGGAGTAGTGATAACCGCATTCATTAACCATCCCATAATACCATTTTAAAAGATACAGAACATCATTTTAGTTTCATCTCCTTCCGTTATTAGCACTTACAAAGTGTTGGCTTCCTTTTTGTTGTAACTTAGATTCTATTAATGTGTTTCAGCCGCATGCATATGCTGAGTTCAAACCAGTTCAGTAATTTAATTTTCCTCATTGGTTTATTCTTAATGTTGCTTCTGAGGAGTTCCTTATTCAGTATTATTATATAGCCCTATCTAGTAACGCTCTCTTTTTTTAAGGTGAGGTGAAATTTACATAACAAAATTAACCATTTTAAATTGAACAATTCACTGGTATTTAGTGCATTAACAATGTTGTATAACCACCACTTTATCTAGTTCCCAAAACTCTGTACCAATTAAGCAGTTATTTCCCATTTCTTCTTCCCCTCAGCTTCTGGCAGTCACCACTCTGTTTTCTAGGAATTCACCAATTCTGGACATTTCACATAAATGGAATCATACAATATGTGACCTTTTGTGTCTGGCTTCTGTCACTTAGCATGTTTTCAAGGTTAATCTGCGTTATATAGTGTGTTTCAACACTTCATTCCTTTTTAAGGCTGAATAATGTTCCATTGTGTGTATATGCCACAATTTGTTTACCCATTCATCCGTTCATAGATGTTTGGACTATTTCTACCTACTAATGTTCTTCTGTAGGTTTAAATTGACTTAAAGCTCTCCTTTAGTGAATCCACTGTGTTTGTGTGTTCCAAATAAAGAAACATTTTTTATGCTGTTGTCCCTCCTAGCAGTATTATCATTTGAACTATTTAAGGTGATAATAAAGAAGAGAGACAGCATGTGCTGCTGCAGTCATTAACTATATGTTGAATAAAGTTACCTGTGGGCGTTCTGAATGCCAAGCAAAGGCACTCCTGTGTACCATGCACCGGCAATTGTCCTCCCCTCCAGATTCCTGTTGATGACAATTAGCAGAGCAACCTTGACCCCCACCTTCCACTCCCAAGGGAAGGAAAGAATTATGATAGTTTCCAAAATAGGAACTTTAGCACCTTCACAACTAATCACTTCCACCATTGCTTCTCCCCAAGGTTGGGACAAAGAGTCTTTTGGACTCACACAGTCCCCGTGTATATCTCTACTTTAATGCTTACCACTAAGTTATCTGGCATTGTCTGTCTCCCCTACTAAACTGTAGGCACTTCAGGGACAGAGAAAGTCTTTCTCATCTTTGTGTCCACTGTGCAACCCAGTGATCTGAACTTTGATCTGAACTTTGATATGCGAAAGATATCCTCTACATTGGAATTTCCTAAACTTTGTTTAGGAAAACTCTATGTCACAGAAAGAAACATGTCTTCCATCTTAGTCCAATACACATTTACACACATGTTATTTATACTCATATGTGTATATATATCACAGAACAATTTTGCCCACTTTACATGTGATACTCTGATGCTTTCTATATTAATCTATTTTATTTTCTCAAGCATGTTGATCACAACTGTCTTAATAGATTTCTTAAACTTCTAACAGGCTACATCCATAGTTTGAAAAAGTGCTTTACATTGTAGCTTGAGGGACTTCCCTGGAGGTCCAGCAGTTAAGACTCCGCACTCCCAGTGCAGGGGGCCCGAATTTGATCCCTGGTCAGAGAACCCGAATGCCGCAACTAAGAGCCTTAATGCCACAATGAAGATCCCATGTGTTGCAACTAAGACCCGGTGCAGCCAAATAAATAAATAGATGTTAAAAAAAAAAAAAAAAAAGTTGTAGCTTGAGTTTTGCAGTAGCTCCTCCCCAAACCCCTTCCTCGGGAATACTTCATGAACCCACACCACACTGTCAGCCAGTTGTTACTATCACAAGAACATCTTCATGCCAAAATTACATACAAGTCAGTAAGTTCAAATAGTAGAGTCCAAGTTTAGAGGGAAGACTGATTTAGGGACTTCTTTGCGTCTGGCTTAATGAGATGTGCCTGGTGTAGAGTGTCTGATGAATGTGAGGTCTTGGTTCATCTTTGGTTCTTTCCTCAGCTGGCCTCTTCCTTTTGTCTTGGAAGTTTGCTTTTTCTCTTTAATTTCATCTACCAACATCTAGCACTTAGTTTGTTTAAATTCAAAGAGTTTGTTTTACTTCCCTAGGTGAATGAAATCCTGTCTCGTTCTTCAGTCTGGAGTGCCTTCAAAGATCAGAAACATGACTTGTTTATTTCTGAGTCACAAACAGCAGGATACCTCACAGGTAAACCACACCCAATTCTCTTCCCTAAGACACATGGCAGAAGCCACTTGGACCTTTCTTTTGCCCTGTCTAGACTAAAAATGGCATTTAGAGGGTTTTCCTAGGTTCCTAGCTACCTGTCTTGGAGATGCTGTGGGCATGCAGTGGACCTCTGGTTCTAGCCCAGACAGCATGCGAACTGCTGTGGTGTTGAATGTGTGCTGACTGCAACGCGGACTCTGCTTAGTTTTGATCCAGTAAATCCATGGTGTCATATGTTGTATTTGGAGTATGGCTGTATTAAAATGTTTATCTTGAACATGTAACAAAAGAGTAGAGAAATATCTACTCAGAAATATCAGTATCAGAAACATGACAGCATCGTTCCATTCTGTCAGAATACTAGGTTGAAATTCCAAATATGCATACTCACATGTGAAATACTTTTTCTTCAAAGTTACCAGTGATTAATCTGAAGTTTTACTAAATATTTAGGGTTTATCTTTTCGTGGGAGGAAATATGTGGGTATCATAAAGGAAAGGATGTTTTACTGCCTAGGGATCAGAAGATAAAACACTTCAGAAGCTTGGGACATTTGTCCATTTGACAGACTTATTTTAGTAAGTCTGAAAATGAAATATGGTCTTTGGTATAAAAGTTTTTTTTTTTTTTGGTATAAAAGTTTTTAGTTTGAAATTAACCTTAGGAATATTAAGTGGTTCTTGCAGTCTGCCTGAAATTATAATATTTTAAAAATGTCAGCCCTGCGTCCTCCTCTAACCAGAGATGATGTAGGTAAATTGAGAGAAAAAATTAATTACCCAGTGTTTCTCACACCAGTGTAACTGTTTTAATAATCTTGATCACTAGTATAGAAATTTATAAATCCTGAAGACCAAATCTTAAATATTCAGAAGTGAGGACTTTGGAGAAAGTTTTACATGGTTTTAATTTTAGACGTGGTTGTGACATTACTGTTTTTTCCTCCACTGTGACCTCTTTAATATTAATCCACTAAAATTTATAATCAGACTTATAGAGTTTATGAACATGTGGTACATGTGTGTACATTAAGAGTAGAGTGCCATGGGTTTCCCTTCTACCTTTCCCATCCCCTGCCCTATGATGTCTATGGAGAGAAATACCTAGAATATAGTCTTAGTCTCTTCCATATCTCTTTCAAATTCGGGGTAAAGCTGTAGCTTCTAAGTAGGAGTATGTTCTTATAGACACACTAAAAACTTTACCTCTTTAGACTCTTTTCCCAAAAAGTTTACACAATACCACCTTTTCATGGTATTATATTCATTACTTTGTATGTAAGAATGGTATGATTGGAAAATCTGCTGTATTTTTTCTGGCTGAGAGTAAACTTATTTAAAATTTTACCTTGAAGAATAGGAAGATATAGATTACAAGCAGGGACAGGAAGCCCTCTTCTAATTCTTTTTGTTCTTGAGTGTACTTCACATTCATTGCATTCACTGACTTGACTGGATGGAATAAAAGACTGCAGCTTGATGTACTAACAGCTGTGGGTCAAAAGGTCTGTCGTTAGAATACAGAAGAGAGAAGGATTTATCTTCAGAGACCTACAGTTCCTTTAGAAATCACTTGGTCCTCACCCCCACCCAGATTCCCTGATAACTATAGGAAGAGTTCAGGGAGCCAAAAGGTTTCTGTCTGTGCCTTTCCTTTTACTTCGATCCCTGGCGTGGCTTCTGAATGAGTTATGAGAAGCAGCTTTGATGGGCTGCAGAAGGTTAGGGAAATAAAAAGGCTGGGGTTTATAAATTTCTTCACAGCCTTGGTCTGGCTCAGGGGGCAGCAAGTTCCATATAAAGCCATCGAGGGGTAGGTGGTATAAATCCCAGCCTGGAAAGGGCCTGGAGTTTTACTCTGGCCATTCTGAAGGTCATTGTTGAAGCCCAAGGGCACATCAGTTGATGTTGGACAATCTAGACTAGCTCTGAGCTGTGTTGGCCCCCAAATTGTCCAGTTCTTAGCACATCATCAGTCTGGGATGTTCTTTTGTTGTGAAAGTACTACCGGTTGAACCGATGTATATTTATCTCTTGGCTTGTCAAATGTTTTCTATTTTGTGTTTGAGCTTTTCCATTGAATTGTGTGTCATTGTTTGATAAAAGAGGCTAGTACTTCTAATAATGATAAAATTCCGTTATGTGGAACTCCATGGAATGTATACAGTGTTGTGTTGAATTGGAATTTTAAATTTACCCCACCCTGCCTTCAGTCTTGAGAAGATTCAGTTTGTACCAGCCTCTGTCTAATCAATTTGCAAATGAAATAAGGTGCTGTGAGAACATAAGTCGTCACCAGCCTTTTCTTCCAATAAGTCGATTTTGTTTAGGAGATGGGGAGAGATGAGAGAAAGCTAATTACTATTTCAAAATAAGATGGGAATGACTAATCACATTTATAATTTTCTTCTTCTTGGCTGCTGAGCAAATGTCACTCAGTCACATGTTCAGGATTTGGGGTAAAAATTAAAATGTCCTAGGTAGGATTAATAAATTGGGATGAGACTGACCCTCTAGCCTGGCATATTGTTTTGTTTTATGATAAATGTTCATCTAAAAGTGCCTCAATGGGACTTTACCCATGGTGCAGTTAAGCTGTAACTGCTCATTGTGTAGGGCCTTGGGTTACTTAGCCATTTATTTTGTTTTAGAAGAGCTTGGTGCTAACAAGCTCAAAGCCCTATAAAAATAATTTCAGCAGTGAAAATCCTCAGATTTCCTCACCTAGAAAATCAATAGAGAAAGAAGGAACAACAGGGAAAGAAAGAGTAGTGGGCCAAGGCAAAGATGCTTTTAGGAGCTAGACTTGGAGATGAAGAACTCTGTACTATATATTTATTTACTTCTATTTTAATTAGAGGCATGTGAAATAGTTATCTTGTTTTCCTAAGGTCATCAAAGGGAGCAAGGGTGCATTTCTTGGGCCTCTCATCAAACTGGTCCATTAGTTCTTTGCAGAGTTGGTTTTTATTACCTTTTGGTTTTCTTTTTACACATGTCCAAGACTACACAGTGGGAGCCATGTTAAGAAAGATTCCCTAAGGTCAGTGTCGGTTTATTGTAGGACATTGCTGCTAAGACAGGGCTTCTTTTTTCTTCCCCCCACTGAGAATCCCATGTTCATTTTCACCAAAGGCCGTGCTCCTTCCACTACTCCATCATGGCAGCAATTCCGTTCTGTGGGATTCTTGGTTTTCACATCCCTCTTAAAGAGTCCAGCTGCCTTACACAGTGTGCCATGTGCCCCGTTTCTGGCAGCCCCTACTCTTTCCTGCCATGTTTCTCTGGAGAACACAGTGTCGTATCCTAGCAGACTGTAGCTTCCAGCCCCTAGAAACCAGACGTGTCTGGAAGAGGCCAGGAGTGTGAGGGAGAGAGTATCTCAGACTTCATTTAGAGAAATACCAGGAATTGACTTGTCTTTCCTAAAGAGGCAAATGGTGGGGCTAGAATTTGGTCTCTTCTGAATAATTCTTCTAGGCCCATCATTCACAATTTAGATTTTAGCCCAGAGGTTCCCAAAATTTCTCAGTTCACAGTGCCTTACTATCTTTTTTTTTTTTTTTTTTGCGCTACGCGGGCCTCTCACTGTTGTGGCCTCTCCCATTGCGGAGCACAGGCTCCGGACATGCAGGCTCAGCGGCCATGGCTCACGGGCCCAGCCACTCCGCGGCATGTGGGATCTTCCCGGACCCAGGCACGAACCCGTGTCCCCTGCATCGGCAGGCAGACTCTCAACCACTGTGCCACCAGGGAAGCCCTATCTTAGTCATTTTTTTTCTTGATCTACCCTTAGGCCAAAAGAAATGCTTAATAATTAAGTTTATTAAGTAGTTATATCCAAACAACTTGCAAGTAGTTGTTTGTATGGTATCCAACAGATGTCACTTGTCTCTCAAATTTAAAATAGCCCATGTGAATTTGCCTCTGGGTACCTCAGCGTGTAGTCTGAGAACCACATCCTTAGTCCTTTCTCTATATGTAGCATTCATGATTTGGTCTCATAATCTATTCATTTGATGTGAACTAAGTTGAGCCCACATCAGAAGTGCTCAGGAACTGTACCAATCTGGAGTGTTTAGGGGTTTATTCTTAAGGGTTGCATCCTTGGTGTGTTCCCTAGCAATCTTGCTGCTGCCTGAAGTTCAGAGTGGCAGGTTGGTGGGAAGTGATGTAACCGTGTGGCGCTATTGCTCTGAACCGCTGTCAGGGGGGTATGGTCTCTTTCCTGAGCAGTCTGTGGAAGGCCTGGTGTCCTGATTGGTGGAAAGCAGGGGTTGATAGATGCAGGCCCACCTTGCCTTAGAAAAGGGAAAATCCTTTTTCTAGGTTTTCTAAGTTCCCGGGCACTCCAGGTGGCAAGCGGCACCTCACATGAGCTGAGTTGTCTCTGGCCACTGTGTAACCACGTGCTGCATACACAGTGTCTGCTTTCTTCACGCCCTCAGTACAAATGCTCATGAGGTTAAAAACAAGATGAATCTGAATTGTCCCCCTTTTGTCCTGCTTCAGTCCCTGTTATACCTTAGCCTTCATCAAACTGCTCTGCTGTTTGCACTTCCTTATGACTTCCCTTGCTGCTTATGTTTCTTTTTTTCCCCTCAGGTGTCTCTCCTTCCCTTCTAACTGGCAGCAGTCCCCTTCACCTCAGGAGCGGGCTTTAGATCCGCTCTGCCAGGCAGCTTGCTAACTTCTGTGTAGCTCTCTGAAGCAGGTAGAGAACCATTTTGCTAAATGCATGCCGCTTCCACTGCTTTTCTAGTCCTAACCCTTCAATGTTCCTTAGCTGTTTGCCTTGTTTCCTATGATCTCAGCTAAAAGTATTGTTCAATATGCAGTATTATGCTACAGTACGGTGTCTCTTGCAAGTACTCTGTACAGTTGTGCAGTGATTCTGAGGTGTAATTAAATGTCTCTGCAGTTCATGATAAACTAGAGGGCTAAAGCCATTATATGCTCATAGGCCACATCTTCATAAATGCTGGCATAGATAATGGCATTTTTGTGCACTAGAGATTGTTAGAATCAAGACATATAAAACTAAAATATTGATACTTTTTCCATAGCACTCTTATTTTTACCTATGAGCGATGTCCAGAGCTTGCGTTTTCTTTCTTAGAGACCTTGGTGTAGCAACCCTTGTTCATTTGGTGTTACTTGTTGTAGTAGCATTTCTTTGCACCAAATGAAAATAGGTTATCTCGAATGTGGATAGAAGTGTTTTTTGTTGGGAATTCATCACGTATGACTTTCGAATGGACTGACCCAAGTACAGAGTTTCTTTCCTCTGTTCCTATTTTTTTCTCATTTGACGTTAGCTATATCCTTCAGCGTCCAGGATTTTTTGAAAGATTGAACTTCCCAGATGTGAGAAGGGAAATTTTTTTCCATATTTCCACACCAGTGTTACTGTCCAGCATAAATTTTGAAATGATTTTTAACTTTGTCGTATAGTAAAGGCAAACCATGAAAATGGTGCTGTGTAGCTGTTTTAAAGTTTTCGTTGTATGCTTAGGTAATCCTAATAGATTGTATCAGTTCCTTGTGATGGGGTGCTTGACCTGGTTCTGACATTTTTGTAAAGGTCAGTGTTCTCACATGACTCTGCTCTTTAGAAGGTGTGTATTTTTCCTTTCTCTCTTGCAGGACCTGGAGTTGCTGGCTACCTTACTGCAGGGACATCGTCATCAGTCATGTCTAACCTGCCGCCTCCCGTAGACCATGAGGCAGGCGACCTTGGCTATCAGACTTGAAACTTTCTTGAGAGACAGTAAACGCTGAAAGGCCAGTGCCCCGTCCACATTCCTCCAGCTGATACGTTGAAGAAAACTCTTAACTGCCTTTCTTCTGGTTTCATGACAGTGTTATTCCTTTTTCTATAAGTATATTTTTATTTAGGAAAAAAGTCAGTGATTCTAATTGTATCACGTTATAAGAAAGCACTCTGTGGATCAACCTAAGCAGGTACACAAGAATTTTTTTTCTTGATGTATGTAAGCACATTTTGTTCCTTTATATCTGTTTACAAGACTGTGAATCAAAAAGACAAAACTTTCTTCCTAGTTTTTATAATGTTTTTTTGAACTAGTGTGACTGTGGGGTTGAACTGCAGTCTACAGAAATTGGGAAATCTAAGTCACCCCTAAGAAGGGCATTTCCCTCTCCTGCATCGAGTCTGTGTGGCTGTTCTCCTACCTATTAGGTTTTGTCCTTGCACCTGTTCGCTGGTATCCTCTCCTCAATTATTAACCTTCTGAGAGCTCACAGCATACGTCGGTATGTATAACTGGCTTTACCAAATTGAATGAAAAAGGAGTTGTGCAAAAAAATTTAAAAATGGATGTCAAGATGTTATGTAAGAGATTAGTGTAATTGTGAAATGTTCTATACATTATCAAATATATAAAGCTTTCTATATTGAATGTACATTATACAGATCATTCTTATGTGTACATAAAATTTTAAAAATAAAGGGAATTGACTGCTTTGTTAATGAGATATATTTGTTCTCGTTTCATTTTTCCCTTTGAAGACCTTGTATATCTTTATTTCTAAGACAGATTTTGTAGTAGTAGCAGTAAACAGACTTTGCCTCACATTTCTAGTATCTCATACAGCCACATTGACATATTATGTTCATTCCTAAATCCCTTCATTAGTATTTCAACCACATCTAAATTTCAAGACACAGACAGCATCTCATTTATTTTCCATACAATATTCAGGAATGGGTCAGGCTGTTAATAAATAGTTTAATGCATGTGACACATTAATTCCAATATTTTTAAGAGGAAAGAAATTTAAAGAGTGAGAGGAGATTTCACATAACACAGATTTCAGCACTGAGGTCTTCTAGTGTGATCACAGACTACAAGAAAATATAAACATGTAAAATATATACAAACACTTCTTAAAGAATAAGGAAATATCCAACCCTCCAAGTTGCCTTTGAAAGCAAGAACCAAGTTTATTCCACAGTTGATGTGTAAGAAGAGCTGGAATGGACACTTAATTCATATCATAAATTGTTAATTCAAAATTTTCCATCAGATTTATCCATCTCTCAACTTAAAGATTATGGAGTAATGTACCCATGTAAGTATTTTAACATATACCTAGGTGTTTAGTTTCTAAGAGGCAATATTTAGTTATAAAAATATGTTCACTAAAAGAGATTCTAACAGCTAATTTAGGAGTAGGTGTTTTAGAAGAGCATAAATCAATACAACAATATATTTTCTTTAAATACTAAACGTAAATATTGTGAATATTTACAGTAAAGGCCCATTTAAATAAATCTGCAAGTCACTGATGTTTGAATACCAATAACAGTTCATCTTTTTTTTTATATTTGAATTTTATTTATTTTTTATACAGCAGGTTCTTATTAGTTATCCATTTTATACGTATTGGTGTATATATGTCAATCCCAATCTCCCATTTCATTACACCACCACCAACTCATCTTTATTGAACATTATGCCAAGCATTTTATAAAGTGTCGTATGTGCATGACTTCAATTAATCCTCAGCAAACCTATGGGCTTGTTGCTGATATAATTCCCATCTTCCAGGTGAAGAACATGAGGTTCAGAGAGGCAAAGCAACTTACCGAAAGTCACACAACTAGTAAGTAACAGAGTAAGAAATTAAAACTACTTTTACTTGACACCATAGTCTGTTTTCTGAGCCACTATCCTGAGATAGTGATAATCTCAAATAGGTGTATGTGACTAGGAAGACTGAGTTTGTTTTTCTTTTTTTTTTTAATATTTGAGTTATTACTTTTTTTTTTTTCTTTTGGCCACACCTCACGGCATGTGGAACTTCCCCGACCAGGGATCAAACCCATGCCCCGTGCAGTGGAAGCACAGAGTCTTAACCACTGGACCACCAGGGAAGCCCCTGTTTTTCATTTTTAAACATTTTTTATTGTAAACTAAAACAGGTGTAGAAAATCTCACTGAACAAATTAGTGAATCACTCTTGACCTCCCAGGCAGGTCAAGAACTTTGCCAGCCTCTCCAGAAGCCCCAACATGTGCCCTCATCAGAATCATAGCCCTTCCCTTCAAAAGTGACCACTTGTCCAACACTTCCTTGTGTGACTTCGTAGTTCATCACCCACATGTACATTGCTAGACACCAGAGTTTGGTCTTGCTTTTTTTCTTTTTTAAATGTGTCTTTGAGTCTCTTTCAATCTGGCTGCCCCTCCATCCCTTTCTTTTCCCCACCACTTGTCTGTCAAAGTCCCTGTGGCCATTTGACTTGTTGGTTTTCCTACAGTTGGAAGTTGCTGATCACACAGTCGTGGTGTAATTCAGCTTGGTCCTCTGTCCTCTTTTGGAGTGGAGGTTTTATCTGAGATTTATGCGTGGGGAAATTTGCCCTGAGAGAGAAAAGTGAGACAGCATGAGCAGGGTAACAGGAAAGTAAGTATAGGATATCTGGAGGGGTGGGGTGGTATGGTGTGGGTGGCATATAGGGGTCCAGAGAGAACCGAACCTGAGGCCTAGGGAGGGGCCAGTTGGGCAGTGTCCTGAGTGCCAAGCTGAGGCATCGGCATGCAGGCCCAGATGTGGTTCAGGAATGAGAGCTGTGTTTTAAAATAGCAGTGAGCTGAGATCAATTTGGTGTGTTTGTTGGTGGGGGAGGGTGGTGAGAGGTGGCAAAACTGAAAGACACTAGTAACACACAGCCCATCTAAGGAGCAACGCAGGGGACGAACACGGGAAACGGGCAAGAGACCACTCTTGGAAGTCATGTAAGCCCGAGGATTGTCACTAGATAATCAGCTCCAGAACGCTTTTCAGTCCAGAAATTCTGTGATCCCTTTCCTAAGGCATATTGTCTGTTATGTGATGAAATGTCTCTAAATGCCTAAACTTTACTAGGATTTGGGGAAGAGCAATTTGCAAAAAGTATTGCAGATAAACTCAGTCTGCTTCTGGCAAACTGTTGACTAGAAATTTAACTACCTGCTTGGAATGCATGGCCCCCTATATGGTATAAGCACTTCCCTTTTAGTGGCCAGAGGGGCTGTGAGCAAGGAATGCAAAGGCTCCCTTGCATTTGTTCCCTTATCTATAAAATAATGATCATTCTTAACCCATCCTTCCCAGGGCTGTTGTGAGGATTAAATACGGCTGTGAGAGGGTGTTGGGAACTGTGAGGCCTAAGAAGAGTGATAATAATGGTGAGCTGTTGTATCAATAGCAAATTTTCTCATTGTCTTCATACTTGGGATCAGGAATAGGGTAAAACAAATTCCAAGGACACTTTAGGTCAACATAAAGTGATTTGTAATTTTTTGTTAGTTTTTAAAATAGTCATGTTGTTATGTAATCACTAACTAAAAAGTCATTATCTTGGCTCCAAAATCAGAGATTCCATAATTTTTGGTCAGCAAAACCATCTGTTTCCTACACACTAAAACATCTTTTCCCTTAAGCTGTTGCCTGTGTACCATCAGATAAGGTCCAAGAGGCAAGACCCAGAGAATGATTTAAATTTACTCCCAAACTGAGGACGCTTAACAACTGAGTTGATTGAAGAGTTCTGTACTAAAACTAAAACACAGACTGTTTACACAGTCAAATGAGTCTCACTATAAAATGAAATGTAGAATTCAGAGTTTGGAGTTGGTGGATTAGAAAAAGCTAGAGAATACAGAATTCCTTGGAAGGCTGATTTCTAGCAGGCAGGGATGCCTGGACAACAGCAACCAGCCTCCAGTTTCCATTTCACTATGAAGAGACCAGAGCTAAAACCTTGACCTGCAAAAGTCCGGTGGGTGGGTGCACAGGGATGGCAGCTGTGCCCATTGGAGAGCAGCCTCTGCTTGGCTTCACTGGGACCTTCTGGGGGAAGAGCAGTCGCAGTGTGCTAAATGCTCCCATGCTCAGGAAGATAGTATCAAGTCTGGATTTCCATGTGAAGTTGGCTTTTAAAACATGGGCAACCCATTCAAAGTTTTTAAAACCAAGTGGGCCATACAAAAGTATCTGCAGATTAGATTTGACCCAAAGGTATTCAGTCCTCTTGAAATGAGATCGAAAATAGGGGTTACACAGAGTGGGATGAATGTGCTTTCTGTCTAATGAGTTAATTAAGTCAGTTGTATTTTTAAATGACTGAACTGCTGTTGCAGTATGGGGTAGTTTCACCATCAGGTGCACTCCTGCTGCTTTCATGAAGAGAGGGAAGAGGACAAGACTTCAGCAAAGCTGTCATTATGGACAATATTTGTGCCCCGCCCCCACAAACTCATATGTTGAATCCCTAACCCCCAGTGTCTCTGGAAGTAAGGGCTTTGGCAGGTGTTTAGGGTTAGATGAGGTCACGAGGGTGCAGCCCTCATGATGGGGTTAGTGCCCTTATTAGAAGAGACACCAGAGAGCTTGCTCTCTCTCTCCTTGTGTGCACAGAAAAAAGTCATGAGAGCATACACTGAGATGGCAGCTGCTTATAAGCCAAAAAGAGAGGCCTCAGATGAAACCTACCTTGCCAGAACCTTGATCTCAGATTCCCCAGCCTCCAGAACTGTGAGAAATAAATGTCTGTTGTTTAGCCACCAAGTCTGGTATTTTGTTATGGCAGCCTGAGCTGACTGATACACTGGTGCTGGCTGGAGGACCAGTAGCAGAAGGGAGAGGAGAGTTTGCTCACAGATTAGCAGGACAAGAGCTGATCAGAACCAGAGCCACCTGAGCATTGGTTGCACTTAGTATAAATTCAGCTTCAGTACCTTTGTAAAGAACTGATAGCCTGTCCGGAAGTTGGGAAGGCAAACCTCCAAGGCTGGTCTACAGCACACACTGAAGTTTGGAATGGGCACTGGGTTAGAAGTAGGTAACTGGTTGGCTCCTAGGACCAAATGTGTGTTTCCTGTTTTGTTGATTTTTTAATGTGTTAAATTTTGAGTATCCAGATTATATCAGAATCACTAATGGATGCCCAAGGACCTAGTTGTTCATCCCAAGTAGTCCGTCCTCATTCACATCAACCCCAAGTGGTTGTGTGGACTTTGGGTTGAATTCTGTGTCTCCCTGTGGTCTTGCCTCACCCAGTCTGTTTAATTGAGAGCAAGAGAGAGGCAGCAATTTGTCCTGGAACCAGCATAGGCCCTGGAGTTGGGGCCATCCAGGCTGCGGTTCTGGCCCTCACTGTGTGACCTCTCGTCTTCAAATGGGGCTCATTAACACCTCCCTCTGTTCTGTAGATCAGAGATAATCAACACAAACACCTAACACGGCCTAGACAGTGCCAGCCTCCTAGACGGTGAGGTGGTGAAGGGGGAGAAAACACTACCTTAACAGGTAGAATCTGCCCTGCTTGGGATTCTGATCTTGGGCATAGATTTCTTCTCTAAAATGCCTAGGTTGAAAAAATAATAATAATAAAATAAAATGCCTAGGTTGGTCTGGTCAGGTAATATTTCACTGTTAAGAATCTCATAAAAGATAATATGAGCCGGAACTTCCCTGGTGGCCCAGTGG